GACAGTGACCAAACAGCCCCTGGAACCGTGACCCGGTGCTTGATTCATAATCGAAAAGCCTTCGAATAGGAAGGATGGTTGATGAGTGGATTCATGGATATAAATTGAGGTTGGGACCACATCTGTGGCCACGTAGGGCATCGTGCGGTAACATCTGTAGTTCTCAGCCAAGGCCAAGCAGCTCGATCATTACCTCGTATGGTCGTTGGCGCAGCTGGCTGCCGGCAAAACCAGCCACTACGACGCCTGGGGTCAAACGCTTCCCGGTGGAGACGATGCTTGCGTAACTTTATGCGGAGGCTACCGATTCGTCTGGGCAGGCATGAAAGGAGATCAGCAGTGGCTGAAGAAATGCTTGCAAATCGACCAATCCTGGGTTTCGGAGCAATGCTGCTGGTATTGCAAAGCCACTGGGTCTGAAAAAATGGTATCAGCTCCTAATAAGATGTTGGGGGCAGCATGTTGTGATAAGGTTCGAAGATCCTTAATCACCTATATATAACATAGCTGGGATCGGGAATTACACTAATCACGCACATCGATCCGAAACAACTATCGAAAGGCCAACCGCCTTACCAATTCGCCACTGCTCTACACTGCGCATGGACCAGCAGCTCCGCACCGCCAAACGAATGCTTGCTGCACTATTGCTTTTGGGTCGGATTCAGGGAGTGACCTGATCCCAAGACAGGGATGGGATGGCTATAGGCCGCCGTACAAAGAAACCGAATACTAAGGATGAGAACTTTCCCCGAGTTTATCGCTCTCATCGCTCGATCTCCTTGGGCATACGTGGGCGGCGTTTCCTTATCACGAATATGGCCGGACTTGCTGCACATTTTAGACTTGGCACTGAGTCCGGAGGCAGCAGCCAGTGCCGCTGGGCCGGCATCCATAGCAATTCTAAGACTCCGGGCCTTTACATAATGATCGAACTGATTGGTTCTAGGGAAGGGGATTGCAATAAGCACCCTAAACCTTCCCATGCGTGAATTTCCATCTGCATGGTTGGAGTTGCATCTCGAGATCACTAGACCCTTATAATAATTCCAACCCAGGCTCTACTGGAGCTCACAGCCACTGCCGAGCAGAGCCCGTGGCCGGGCCAGACGCAACAATTGCGGCTCTCTGCCGCTTACGCTGACTTCGTGAACATGTGCCGGGCGGACAAGGTTCGTCGCACAGCTGCACATATAACGATTGAAATCTATTGTTCGAAGGGTTTCCATCCCAAGCTTTTGCTTCGTTACCGACTAGGGCCTGCCTTCAGGTTCAACGATTTGGGCTTAACATATATAGACATATATTTGCCAGCCATGCCAGGCTGCAGGTATATAAATAAATTTAGGGTTTAGGGTAATTAGGGTTTAGGGTATAGGGGTTTAGGGTTTAGGGTATAAAAAATATATATACATGCATATATATTTTATATGTGAAATATCCATCTCACATATAATTTCTCTCTCTCTAAAATACCTCGGATCCTATACCCCAAGCACCCCCGTCCGAGTTCTTAAACCCGACTGTCCTATAACCCAAGAACCCCTGTCCCTAAACCCGACTGTCCTGTAACCGAAGAAACCCCCGTCCCTAAACCCGCCTGTCCTATACCCCAAGAACCCTCCTAAACCCTCCTGTCCTATACCCCAAGAACCCTATCCCTAATAGACCCTTTTTCATAGCCCAACTCAGAGCTCAGGCTCCAGAGCACCGCCGTTTCAGCTGGATGCGATCAAGGGGAACAAGAAGAATCTGAAGTTTCCCACGTTCGCTCAGAAACATCTGAGCGGGGCCGATTCTTGGATGGCATTCAGCAACTTTTTTTAATCGATCTCAAGGATCGATGTACCTTCGAACGATCTAAACCCCCTTTCAATGTTTTTATGATCTGGCCCCGATGCAAGGAGTCAGTGGTGCTTGTGCGATGGCTCGCGCTGGTATGTGCTCGAGAAGCTGAAAAAGATGGCAGCGAGCACAACAAGTTGCGTGCTGCACTGTTTCTGGGTTTGGGCACAATGAGGAAAATCCTCACGTCTGCTGGCTTTTACCTGAATGCCGAGGAGCTGAGAGAGCTGGAGTACTACAACTCAATGTATCACTCCGCTCTCAATGCTCTGGCTACGGAAGCCATGCATCATGGTCAGCTGCTGTGGAAGGTCCGGCCGAAGGGCCATCAGCTGGATCATCTTTGTCTGGATGCTGCGGTTCTGATGAACCCCATCCAGACTTCGGCTTATTCCGAGGAAGATCTTGTGGGGCGCATGAAGCGCCTGGCGTTGCAGTGCCATCCACGTCGGCTTGGACTGACGGTGCTGCAGAGGTACTGCTGGTACTGCTGCGTGAGGTGGCTGAAGACTGATGAGTGAATCACAGTTCTCAGCCACCTCATGTGCAGCAGATCCAAGCCTCTGGCAGCTTTTTGCAGCGCTTTTGCCAATACATCCTGGAGTGGTGTTTTTTTTTTGGGCCCTTACAACTGGCAACACAAGGCCTCGCCTGACAACTGCATCCTGGAGTGATGCTTTATGGGCCCTTACAATTGGCAACACAAGGCCTCGGCTGACAACTGCATCCTGGAGTGATGTGGGCCGATATATATATATATTTTTTTTTGGACTGGTTTTTACAATGGTGCCCAAGGCCTGGGAAGCACACACATCCTGGAGTGGTGTGTAGACAAAACTTGTTTGGCTGGCTTGCCGAAGACTGGAACTTCGGCCTGGAAGCACACTGCTACAGCTGGCTCCAAAACGGAGGAAAGTGGATCGTCCGCTTGTAAGCGTGCTCAAGGTGCCTTGAGTGAAAAGATAGATCGGAGGGACGAGTATGCCGAGTAATTCGAGGAGACCCAGAACCAAAACCTCCTGCTTCAGACCCAGAAACGAACCCTCCTTCAATCTCTCTTTAGGGTCTCGGTCTTTCCGAAGTTTAAGGGTTCAGGGGTGCTCTGCGTTCTTGTGTAGGAGGGATCCTGCTTCAGACCCAGAAACGAACCCTCCTTCAATCTCTCTTTAGGGTCTCGGTCTTTCCGAAGTTTAAGGGTTCAGGGGTGTTCTGCGTTCTTGTGTAGGAGGGAGGAGTATGCTGACTAATTCGAGGAGACCCAGATCCGAAACCTCCTTAAATGCTTAGACCCAGAAACGAACCCTCCTTCAATCTCTGTTTGTATGCACATCCCTGAGACAATGATCCGGAAGCCTAAACCCCAACGCCTGAGTCCTCACACCTTATAAGGTGTGTAAGCAGTTACAGTGTTTCCAACAACCCGAACACCCATCCCTCCTTTTCCGGGGTCTTCAGGTTGAGGGATTCAGGAGCTCGGGGTTTGTGAGGGACCTGGTTATCCTCGTCATGTCGATTCTAATAGGATCCTAGCCCAACGCCTGAGTCCTCACACCTTAATTAAGCAGTTACAGTGTTTCCAACAACCCGAACACCCATCCCTCCTTTTCCGGGGTCTTCAGGTTGAGGGATTCAGGAGCTCGGGGTTTGTGAGGGACCTGGTTATCCTCGTCATGTCGATTCTAATAGGATCCTAGCCCAACGCCTGAGTCCTCACACCTTAATTAAGCAGTCACAGTGTTTCCAACAACCCGAACACCCATCCCTCCTTTTCCGGGGTCTTCAGGTTGAGGGATTCAGGAGCTCGGGGTTTGTGAGGGACCTGGTTATCCTCATCATGTCGATTCTAATAGGATCCTAGCATGAGGGAACTAGCACTTTCTAACGGTGGCATATAAGCATGGTTTATGCTATTCTTGAAATGACCTCTTTTAAGTCCCTGTGCTAAAAACACGTGTGTTGGAAGCTCCTGGATTGTATCTTACTATGGTGTAGCATACAATGCTACATCCTTACTGTACAAACTGTTTTGTATTTAACTATACTTCAGTTCACAGTCTACTATACTGTCTTGTAACACATTGTTCGCCCACTTTTAGTTGTACTTTGCATAATACAAATACTCGCTACTGATATTCTAGTTGTAGACTTTATATTTCAAATATGCGCTTCTGATATTGTATTATACTATGCCATATCATAGTGTATTGTGTCGTAATGTCGTAGACGACTGCACTGTGGTACAATGGAGTACAGTGCACTATACGAACATCTAGTAGTAGTATAGTATAGTGTGGTATAGCATACTTTAGTATAGTCGCGTACATTATCGTATATGCTATGACATCATTACGCGGGAGTACAGCATATCTGTATATATATATATATATATATGTAACGTATGTCATGGACCAGGATCTTATGACATAAAGTAACATCTTCTAGCCCAGTGGCATATACTATAATAGCCTACAGTAAGATGTCATCCATAGTATCCATAGGTTATCATGTAGTGTTGTATATTGTAAAGCAATGTCATACCACGTCGTGTCATATTCTGAATCTAGTACAATCTAACATGTTCTCCTATTACGTGGTTCGAGATGAAAGGTATTCATGGATATTCCATAGCATGTGACAACAATACTACGGAGCATAGTACAACTTGTAATGCAATAGAAAGGAGTATGGCGTATAAAGCGCATAACACAGAATAGCATTCCACTGTAGAACAACAGAAAAGGCACAACGAATATGAAGTCACCATGGTGGGTTTGCGGGGTGATCATGTGAATTATATATATATATATATGTGTCCATGCACATGAACATATATACATATAAGTATGTAAACATCTGTAAATACATATAATATGCGCACTCCCACACACATACGAACACAAGGTTCTACATGCATGCATGCACATATACAGACACAATATGCATGAACCTGCAAAATTGGCCGTATGACATTAAGTAAGAACATATGACAAGTATTGTCGGGCGTACCTTGGGAAGCCTTGGCTTCGTCAATTCATCTGTTGGGCCTGATCCTGCTGCCAACTAGAAGCTGAAGTCATCCACACCCCACACATTTGCAACCTTCAACGCACAAACCACTCCCGAGACTCTTAGGCGAGATCCCATCACCTTCGAAGGAGCTGCAGGAGATGATCGACGAGGCCGATCGCGACGGCGACGGCGAAGTCAACGAGGCACAGATGCGACCAACCGACCGCTGGAGTGAGGTTTTCGTCTTGAGGGCTGAGGGGTCTAAATGCGTCAACAGGTAGATCAACGCTGGGGAAGTCACCCCCCGCCTGACAGTGATATGTATGTTTAGGTGCTGCTCGGATCTGCTCGTGTCGCTGGGGCTACCAACAACAGGGAGAAGAACTAAAGGGAGCTGAGGGCTTTGCTTGAATCTGAACCGTCGGGCATTTCGGCCGTCAGAGAGTCAGGGTGTGTAAGCGGGTCTGGGGTCTTAGGCTTGAAGTTTGCTGCAGGACGTTGAGGGTCTGTACGAGCCGAGTTGGACTTCATTGGTTTGACAACGCTTCAGGATTGTTCTCTGGCCGTCAGTCCAAAAGTCTAGTCTCTGTCAATTTACCATGACCCATAAAGTAAGGCCTTATAAGTGGGCCACACTGCATGAGTCTTAGTGACGAGTTTCAGCAAGAAGACCCAGCGGCCCCAAAGCTTGTGCCGCAGGACGTAAAACAACAACCTAAGCCACAAGTCCGCATCCCAAGGCGCACACACACAAACCCCAATTCTCAACCTCTTCCCCTTACTACTCAAGATTGTTCAACCCTGCATTCCCACCCCCGGTGCACGCGAATGACGTTTGATGGGTCCTGCCGCCGACTTTCAAGTTCCTTGCAGGCTAGGTCTAGGTTATAGATGGATGCTCCGTGCGCGGTGCTGGCACTGCATAGCATGGGCGGACTGGTGCTCAGGGTCCTCGCAGCATCTGGATGCAGCGACGGAGATTGGGGCTTTGGCCCTGGTAGTCTTTCCTACTTCTTGGTCTTCTGCTCGTCGGTGCAATCTGGCGAAAAGGGGATCTCGCGAGGTGTCTCCAAAACGTGCCGGGGAGAAGAGTCCCCGGGGGGCGGCTCACGGACTGCAGATTTTGGCCCGGTAACATGTATCCTGATGACGCGGTTTACGTGCTATATCATGGCGACCGCTGCGCGCCTACTTGCCGCCTTTCTAGGAAGCAATGAATGAGTGGCAACGATGCCAGATCATCACATTCGTCCAGCAAAGTACTGTGCACGCAGCCCCGATATCAGTCGATACTTCCATGTGCGCGACTGTATTGTGGTTATGTTTTGCTTCTGTCTACGCACTCCAGGCAGGGGTGGACGTCTGACAGTTCGGGGACATGCTTCGCTTGTTGGTGCGGCGGGCAGTTGTGAGACGGGTGCTGCAAACCGACTCGGAGCAGAACAGGACTGCTGAGCGACAAAAGCTGATGGTTTCAACCGATGCTCCACGGTTTCAGGGCCAGACGTTTCCCGAGCAGGTGGCAGTCTCCTCACAAGTGACGGTGGACTACATGCAGCCCTCGGTCCATGAAATACATGGGTTGTCAGAACCTCTCCAACATCTCGGATGCCCTGGACGAGTCCTTCAGCATTTGTCTCAACAGTGGTTTCGAGGACGAGCCGACATCTCCGAAACAAAACCTTCGCCGCCGTTCTGGACTCCAGGCCTGGCTCTTCGTGGATGGCACCCTGCCGTTTTGCATAAACCCATCAAGCGTGCCCCTCACAAGCAAAAGAGAACAATGGCAAAACCAATGGCCACAGGAGCAACAAAAACAATGGTCACAGAACCTGTCCGCCGTATCCCAGTTATGGCGACTGCGTGCACGTAAATGACGCTGGATGAATCCGGCCGCCGACTTTCAAGTCTCTTGCATGGTGCTCCGTCCACCCCAGCCACCTGACACCTGGTTGTGACGACTTTGTTTCCTGTCATTGCTGCAATTGGCAACCCATGAAACATCAGCATGCATCGAGCACTAGACCATCCTGATCCTCAATCGCAAATCCAACAACCTCTCGGACCTGGCACGCGCGGAGGAGTACGACCTGCAGTAGCTTGTTTGCCACCCTGATGAGAAGCATGCAGAGGTCCTTAACCTGAAAGAAAAAGCCCAGATGTTGCCAGTTAAGGTCGAGCGATGTCGAGGATAATTAAGGATTCTACCAGTGAGGTGAGATCTGGAGTCCTTCAACCAAACGCTAAGTCCGTTGAAACCTTGTTCTGCACGCCCGCAAAGACTTCCAGTGTGTTTTTCAGGAGGAGTTCCTGCGCATTATGAAGAAGACGACTCCCGGCTCCGGTTCGTGCACTTATTACAAAGCCAGACGTTGATAGCGTTCGGGTCTTTTTAAGACTCAGGGCTCTATATGATCCATTTCGGATGAAGTGGCTACGGTTTTAATTGGACGGGTTTCATGTCCAGCACTTGAGATGTATGGGGCTTTCTGCCTGTAAGGTGTAATTAATGCCGTTGTTCAAGGTTTCCCGCGTAATGGTTCAATGCTTTCTGCTTATAATCTGGTGTCAAAGGGACCGGAGTTTCGCTGGAAAAGTGCGAGAGTGCTCCTGACGATGATCGAAGCGTGGATGGAGGCGATGTTGATGATAATGGTGCTATGTGCGGATGGTTGTGTTTTCGTTGATGGTGACGATGAAGATAGTGGTAATGTTGCCATCAACCGAAATCGTTTCGTGAAGTCCACCGTCAAAACTCTCGAAAGTGCATCACCTTCTGGACATGCAAGAGCTCAGAGCTGCGGGCACCTAAGCGCTATACCGTTACTCTCAAGCAGCTCTTGTTGTCCAACAGAACTTTATTCTTGCGCAACAATACAGGTGTCTGTAGGTGGAGGTGAGCCCCAGGACGGTGAGCAGTGCCGTAAACGTCCTTTGGGCCACTGCCCCCAAATTCCGGGCCCTACACAGCCCTTTCAATGAAGCTTTCGGCTGAGGAACCTCTTCTGAGAATGCAATCTGTGCTGGCCCAATGGGGTTCGGCTGGGCATCCTGCCAGTTGGTGGCCTCTTTAGGGCTCCTACGGTTAAGGATGCTTAGGATTTAGAATGTTGGGATTCGGGCTCCTGATTTGTGAATTAGAGAGTAGAAGGGCGAGGACATTGACACAGTTTTGGTGAAGATCGGAAAAGGGTTTCGAAGACGAATCTGGGGTTTGGGATTCTAAAGAAGTTGTCGGACTGGTCCGGACTGGTCACAATGGTGTTGGAAGTTGTTTTGTTGGTTGGTTGTTGTTTGGGAGCTTGCGATCCGATTGCAGAGCACGTCGTCTTTTCTGGTTGAGGATACTCGGTAAGAACAGACTTGTTGGGTTTAGAGTATTTTGGTGCGTCGGGCTTCGGGTGCATCTATTCGGCTTTTGGGCTTAGTGTTCGAAGTTGGTGGCATTTGGGGTGTGGGGCATTTTGGCCCCTGTCCGTTCGAGCAGGCTTGGGACCTAGCGGTATAAGGTTTCGGATTGAAGCCGGTAATTTCCGTCTCCCTGAACCCTGAGACTCAACCCAGTCTAAGACCCACAGCAGGATCGGCTGGAGGATGAAAGTCTAAGGCGGCGCGAGACAACGCCTTGCGCCTGCTTCCTTTCCGTCAGGCTCCCTTCGTTCAGACCACCTACTATCCAAACACGCTAAGCACCTAGAGACCTAGACCCGGAACTCCGAAAATGTTCGAATCCCCGACGCTAAAGCCTTCAAACGCTACATTAGCTGACCCCTAGTCGTAATTTATATTGAGTACTTAGATGCTAGAATCATGACCAGAAGTACACCCGACTCTTGAAAGTTCCGGTGTCAAACAAAATGCGGTCCTGTATTATAATATGCTGTTAGTTCTGAATAATATAAACTGACCTTGACCCAACCAATATTCGGATGGTCGTGGAGGGAGCCTGCGCATGCTACATTAAGAGGCTGGCGGTCAGCAGCCGTGGCAGAGGCCAACCAAGCCCTGACCCTTTCTAGTGGATGACCCTTAGGCCCTAAGGCTGTTCAAAAAAATCAGCTTCCGAGGTGTTCCAACCCCTGGCTAAGGAAAATTATGCCCAGCCTGTTGCACACCCAGGGTGTGGCGGAGAGTTACAATAGACGGTCCAGGTCCAGGTGGCCTCACAGTCGTGATGAGGTCCTTGTCGGAATGTCCCTGAGTTGTCGCTTCCGTTCTCCAGTGCAGGTGTTGCTGGTTTTGATGCACCTCCTTTGGTTGTATTTTCTTGGTGCTTTGTTAGGGCTTGGACTACGTACACAGCGAACAGCAATGCCATATACGTACTGGTAGCAAGCCTTGATGGTTTGATGAAGGTGTAGTTGTAGCACCATAAACGCCTTAGATGCCCCAAGCCCAGAAACCGCATCTCCAAACCCTAGAACACCAAGCCCCATAACATCCTTACCTTCTTCAAAGCGAGGATGCCATTGGCCCGCAAAGCCCTCCACCTCAGACTAGCACCCGAAAGCCAAACCACTCTTGAAGATCGGACCTCTACTATTTTGCACCGTGAGCCCGAAACCCTCATACCGTACCCGACCGTATGTAGCTCAACCCAAAACCCCGAGCCCCTGAAGATCGAGTTTCGCTAACACCACATCCTAACCGTCTTGTAACCGAAGTCGCAGTTCCTCAAGACTAATCAAGACCTCAGCGATTGGATCTTCGCTTCTGACCGGATACAACAGCAGGACATGCGGGAGTGGGAGTGCCCAGATGTGCAGCTTCTATTCCTCAAGCACTGAACTCTAAGGGCTTTCGATCCCCCAATTCTGACTTGAGCCGTAAACCGGTAAGCCTATATCGTGTAAGCAGGGGGGATCCAGGCAAACCATGCAACTAGACTACGCCAGAGTTCCTCGCATTAGCATTTGTGTGTGTGTGTGCGCGTGCGATTGAGATTCATGGTATTGTAGTCTTGGGATTCTTCGAGTTTCAGGTTCATCGTTTTAGCTTCCTGTACTGCTATCCTGAAGATGGACAACACAAAATCCTTGGTTTTTTCATCCCGATGTAATCTTGGCATGAAGACTGCTGCTCTCTGCGGATACTCGTCAGGACGCCACCAATAAGCATGAAGGCGGTTGCTTGATGTTGTTGCCTGTGACGATGCAAGTGGTGCCATTCATCTGTAAGGATGACAAGGCTGAAAATCTTCTTGAGAAGTGTATGATACTGCATGATCGAAGGGCAGGGCGTAGCCGGCCCATCGTTTTTCTTGGTCTGGTCTGCGCACTCTCACTCGACGGCAACGCATGTGAACGCAGCAAATTCGAGCTCGTGCCCGGACTGACCTGACTTGGATCAGAAAAGCAAAGTGTGGCAAGGTTTAGGGTAGAGGAGCTCAGCTCCGAGTCTATCATGCGCCTACTGGCACATGAACTCAATGACCGCAGGCTGTCGTGATCAATGCGTGCTATGGCGCTTTAGATTATGCATCATGTGTGGGGTCTTCGGAGCAGAGTTCATCGCCATGATGTATGTAGAGGCCCGACACAGAGGCATGCGCTGGGACGATTCCTAGAAAGAAGTTTCAGTTTGCTAAAGTGTTTGCTGTAATGGGCCGAGGGGGAGGGTGGGGCGGTTCGAACTTGTCTTACACGGCAGATGTCACTTCGGTGACTTCCCGAACCCATCACGAGCTCAAGCTTCATGAGTCACAGACTTCTGTCAGTAACGAGTGCAGAACTGATGAGAGTTCAAGAACAGCACAAGTGGCAACACTACCAGGAACCATACTTGCTACAGAAATGATGAGTATGACAACAGCAGGAATGATCATTGGTCCATAGGCCGTGGAACAACGGTCGAGCCAATCGCAGTCATCATCATCATAACCATCACCATCACCATCACCATCACCATCATAACACTAAGTTTAAGAACAAGAAGAGCAACAACGGTAACGACAACCGAAACAAAAGCAACCGCAAGAACAGCAGCAACAGCAGCAACAGCAACAGCACCAGCACCGTCACCAACAACAACAGTAACACACAGCAGCAGACACCAACAAACAACAACAACAACAACAACAACAACAACAACAACAACAACAACAACAACAACAACAACAACAACAACAACAACAACAACAACAACAACAACAACAACAACAACAACAACAACAACAACAACAACAACAACAACAACAACAACAACAACAACAACAACAACAACAACAACAACAACAACAACAACAACAACAACAACAACAACAACAGCAACAGCAACAGCAACAGCAACAGCAGCAACAGCAACAGCAACAGCAACAGCAACAACAACAACAACAACACCAGCAGCAGCGACAACAACAACAACATAAACATCATCAACAACAACACAGCAACAACGATGACAACAACAACAACACGAAGAAGAAGAAGAAGAAAAAGAGGAGCATCAACAATATCACGAACAAGAACAACACCAACACCAACAGCAACAGCAACAGCAGCAGCAACAACAAGAAGATCGAGACCAAGATAAAACAACAGTATCATCATCGACATCAGCAGCAGCAACAACAACAACAACAACGGCAGCAGCAGCAGCAGCAGTAGCAGCAACACGAACAACCACAACAAACACAAAACAATCGCCAACGCCAACACCAACAACAACAGCAACAGCAGCAACCACAACAATCACAACAACACCAACACCAACAGCAGCAACAACAACAACACAACAGCAACAACAACAACCACATCATCATCAAAAACAGCAGCAGCAACCACAACAAACACGATAACACCAACGGCAACAGCAGCAACAAGAACACAACAGCAACAACGACCACATCATCATCAATAACAACAACAACAACAACAACCACAATAAACACAATAACACCAACAGCAACAGCAACAGCGACAACAGCAGCTCGACAGTTGCATTCACTGTCACTGTAGTCGGAGAACCTGGATGACCAGAAGAAGCTGATGAGCGAGTGAAACTGATCAGGGCTAGGCCGTTGAACTTGAAGCTGGTGTCCGGCATCTTTGTGTGGCCATTCTGCGCCTTTTTGCCGTTGCCTGATCTCTCTCCAAGGCGCCATTCTCCAACACTCTGCAGTGTCTCTTGAGGTCCATTCGGATGCAGACAACTGCGGCTGGGAGAAGCGGATCGATAAGCACCTACACTACACCAAGTACGTGCTGACCTTGGCGTGGGTCGAGTGTGTCGGGCTTTGGGTTGAGGGCTCTCGGGTTCAAAGACGAACTCGACTCGCCATCTATCTGGCTTACAGATGCTGTGGCTTGGGCTAGGTTCTTAAAGTTGGTAGCTCAGAGGTTGGTGTTGCGGTCAAGGGACTCAGGTCCTGAGATGTCGAGGCCGGCACTTTCAGGCTCAGGGCAGGGCTGTAACTGCCCCGAAACCTACAATTTACAACACCTCGCCGCATTTCGACCAGAAGTCGAGGCAGCTCTGCAACGCAGATACTCACGGTGTGCATGATAGGACCTTTAGGAAGGAGGGTGAGGGCTGAGAGCAATCATTTTGCACTCCTCTGTTGGGTTCAGCGAATGTCGGGATGCATGCAAAATGAAGTTCGAAAGGCGCGCTGCTTGTCTGGATTTGTTTTTCGAGTTTCTGCTAACGGTCGATGCGGCCTGCCCAAAGCCAAGTTACAGAGCACATAGTGTCTCCGAGCAGATATTGGCCTGACGCTTGTTGAGCGGGGCTGAAGGGGGGTCCGTTTGGTGACCCGTACAATCAGGGACCTCTTACGTAAACACCCTTCATTTCTCATACTGTTACTCCCCTGTAGACGTTGAGGCAAGCTTGGAGGTAGTGGCCTCGCCTACTGGGAGGAAACTCAAGTCAGGCGGGCCCCATCACTCCAAGCCATGAACCGAAACCTTCAGCAGCTCCTCGAAGTCACACCCAAGGCCTCCAAGGTCAGTCGAGAGAATCTTAGGTCCCAGAGCCACCGAGTTCAGGGTTTGGGACGACGCCAGTTCGAGCTAAATTAGTCCCTTCGACTACTGTGGTTCCTGTCTTGATAGTATGGAGGGCTTGCCTTCAATATTCAGCAAAGCTTCCTTTAATTCTTGAAAAGCCCCTGAAGAGCGCGTGCACACCGGCCTGCGTTCCAAGGATTACAACAAGACGCCCTTTTCACTGTCGGGCGCTTTGGAACAGGGACGTGGAAAAGCGGTTCTGGCCCTTTCATAAGCCGTAACTGGCAGCGTAAGCAGTGACTTCGGTGTCTACTGCGTTTAGTTTACACATCCGAAACTCTAAACCTGGACCAATCGAAAACGCAGGAAGTGCATTCGATGATAGGTGCAAGAGATTTGGGTCAAGGGTGAGGATTTGTGATTTGAGAATTTAAGGGTCGGAGGGGTTGGAGTCTCGGCATGCAGTTTAGACACCTCTCCAAACGCTCTCCCAACTGACAAATTACAGTCTCCAATTCCTGAGACGAAGTTAATTGAAATCGAAGATTTGGCGATGTGGATTTCACCACTTGGGTTTGGATAGTTTGCGGCCTCAGAGGTTTAGGGAGTCCTGTGCCGCGGATTTGGGAACGGTTGGGAGTTCCTCCTTTGTTGTCCCGTTTCAACAGCAGCAACTTCGTGCTAGGAGCCGTATCGGCATAGCCAGCATGAGCGGTGATCTTAGTAAAGATAGGACATGTCCTCGTTGCATCCAGCTTCCTGAGGCTACGTGACTTAGCATTCTTCAGGGCACGAATGCTAGAATCAATCAGCAAAGAGCTGTCCGACAGCCTGATGGTTTAAGATGGAGGTGGTATCAGGGTTGACCAAAATCACGTGGCTTGCGTGCAAGAAGCACGAAGCCAATCCGGAGATGCCACAAGCCTTCGGTCGGAGTTGCTCCACGTCGAAATTTCGAAGTATCTGCGGTCGCTAAAGATTGAACCCCCTCCCAACATCGCATGTCGGTCTACTCTATACTTGGGCTTTCGGGATTCAGTGTTCATGTGGAATGTGCAGTGCCGGAAAGCCCGAAGATCCTACTAGGCGATCTGCAAGAAACCCAGCAGCTCATCAGCCAAGCTTCGTGTTGGGGCTTAGATTTGTGGGTTTCACCTATCTTGACAGCAGTTGACCGTTAAGACGATCCTTTGCAAAGCGCCTTGCTTCCAAACATATGCACCCCTGATCAGTTTGGGGGGGTTCCAGAGTGGTGGGAGTTGGGCTTTAGGTTTATGACTGCTTGCGGCTGTGCTTTAGTGTTCCAGAGTGGTAGACTTTTTAGATTTAGGGCTCGTAGTGGCTTTCCAGGCGAGGTCAGGGCAGCTCAGACAGAAGAGAAGTTGGTTGACCGTTGTAGCAAGTCTCACGATCTCTGCCTTCTATGCGAAAAGGCACCCACTTCACCATTCTTGAACAGTTAGGAGAGGATTCGCGCTGAGCTTCCCAAGGGAGTTTGGCTTTGCAAGACTCTGCTAGGGGTCCCTATGCCGATCTTGAAGCTGCACCTGAAATCCGCAGCGCCAAATTCAAAAAGCAATGACAGACTACCTTCCCCGCAGTACTAAGCCCAACCCGGGCATCCCCGAGATCAAGGCCCGTTGGACTTGGGGCTCCAAGTTCAGGAGTTCAGAGTGGCTGCGGACGTAGGACTCTTATGGCATACAGGGTTTCCGGTCAGAGTCCCAAAAATTCCCTCAGGCCGTATCCAGCTGTGGACATGCAGCGGATCAGTAAGGTGCCAGCCTGGGGGGTGTGGCGCACCCCAGAATTCTAAATCCTCAGATCAGAGACAGAAATCCTAAACCCAGCATTCCAGAGCCATCTCGAGCCTTAAACTGCAACACCCCTGAGAATTCAATCACTTAAGCTTTAAAATTGGGCCTTGAAGACTTGTGTATCTCTTGTCCCGTAAGGCTTGCATCAAGAACCTACGGAACTCAGCGCACATGAGGGATGATCCCAGAGTGGATCCTGTGATGGGCAATGGCAATACCCATGAAAGGGAAGCCTACCACAGAACAGCCCTAACACCGGCACAATCAAGCTTCAAGGCTTCCCGCTGGGGCACGGGCCTAAACGCGCTGTTTAAATCGTTCTCCAAATCCTTGTTTTTTGAGCAGGCTTTCGAAGCTTGAATTCGGCGGGTTCTTGAAACCCGAGGGTTTGATGCTTTGGATTTCGGGTTCGAGGCATGTCGGCAACACAATGTGTTTGTTCCTGGATCCTTTCGCTCAAAACGGAGAGACCAGACCCCAAACATTTATCACGAAAAACTGGGTGATGACGAATTCGGGTTTGGCTTGTTTAGGTTGGAGGTTTCGGCTGGAGTTTCAGGATTGAGGGATGAGAAGTCTGCGATAAAGCTTCGGCCACTGGGAGTCCCTGACAGGCTTCAGCGTTTCACACAGTCACGAAGTCAAAAATGCCCGAAGACATGCAATCCCAATCCTCTAGGTAAGTTCAAGACGCTGGAAAGCAGAACCCCCAACAACTCGGACTCGCGCTTCGAATCTGTCTGTCAGGAAGCCTATTTCGTACTTTACGAGATCTGCCCTGAGGGGTCCATGCCCGCACCTTCGCGGGTCGAGCGTCGGGTTCTTGGCCTAGGACGGTTGAGGCTTGAAAGGGTTAAAGGATCAGTTTTCAGATGTCTCATGGTTTACGATTCGATCTCGGATTAGAGACATGATGAACGCAGTGATGGCAGCAGGGTTTGGGATTTTCGTGCCGAGGTCTGGCGATCCCTGAAGTTGCGGAGGTTGAGAAGTTCACGCTGGCGCTATCCTAAGGGGAAGCTTCCATGAGCTCTGCGGTTCAGGAATCAGCTCCAAGTTTTTCGGTTTCGGGGTTTTAGGGTTCAGGCCACGGGCCTTAAGCATCAAGGGTACTAGTATAGAAGCTGGCCTGTACCAGGGTTCGATCAGGAATCCTGTGGGCTTACATCCATGGTGGATTTCTTTCCTCCTGCTCACTTCGTTGGCTTGCACCCTAAGCTTTAAACACTTCTACACTGATATGATATTTGAGACATCCTCCTTCACGTCATGCACGAGACTATACATCTACAGGTTGCTGACGGCGAGATGGTCACGGAGGAGGACCTGCCCCTATGGCCTGAAAGACATCATAAAGTATATTGATCCCGTTGGCAGTATAGTGTACGAAATCATGTTTGGCCGATGCCAACCTGCACCAGTTTGGGCGATGTGTTTTGATGTTGTCTCCAGTTTCAAGTTTGACGTTCGCAATATCAATTCAACATTCGAGAGGATCATTGGGTTTGAATCTGGGCATGCTCGAGCTCTTGGTGCGTCAGGAAGCAAACCGCAACTCCCCAAACCCTGTCTCTGCCGCCCCCAGGCCGCTAAGCGCAGTCCCCGATGTCGCAAGAAGTTCCACCAGGTGATAGTCGTGCCTGGGGAGTTCAGTGACTTCACACCGTACCCAGCCCTTGAAGTCCGCTTTGTTTCGACCTGGGTGCCCCTGAACCGTCATGTCCTGAACGTTGAGTTCTACCTCTTCAGCCTCGAAGCCGTCTGATTGCTAGATTGTCCATGACTCGAGACACGAGAGAATGGTAATAGGCAATAGACAGACAGACCCGCGGACAGGCAATCAGGCAGGCAGGCAGAAACAGAGAGATGAAGCTACTATCATCATCCAAGACGTCCCGTCCGTAGTTTTGGGTCGCTCGCAAGGAAGCACCTGCTGCCAAACCCGTGTCAGACAAGGCGCCACTTGCCGTAGGGCATAGGGGCCTCATAAAGCGTTGGGCTGTGGATTTGGAGTCATAACATGCAGATAGCAGCATACGAAATCGTTGCCCTGCTGCTGGAACGGTGGACAGGTTCGTCCAAATTAGCTTCTGGTCGTTGCTAATCGTCGTTGATCCTCTCTTCCAACAGAGCCTTGACCGACCCCACGCAGGAGCTTCCATAACGTGCAACAGATATTTCCCTGTGATGGGGACAGGAAGCTTGAGCAGCAAACCAGGCGCCGTGAAGCCCTGGGCCCTGGACTTCATCAGGCCGAGATGGACGAGCTGGGGCCGAAGCCTGCGAAGGAGCGCACGACGCTGACAACGCGCGGGCCATGGCTGGGCTTCTCTCTTTTTGCGGAATTCAAGGCTTCCGGGTTCAGGGCTTGAGTCTACGATGATTGCACATCCAGGGCGCAGAGAATGCAGCAGCAGCACACTGCGAACGCTGTTGCAATTTGTCTTCGTTTGCATTAACTTGAAAGGTTGTGATAGGATACCAAGGATGGGGCAGGGCATGCATTGTGGGCGGAGTTCTGGCTGCAGGAATCATACTGGGTACCTCTGGGTACCTCGGCCTTGGACCGCCATCCACGAATCTCACGGCTGGCTCCGCTTTGGGAACACAAACCCGGCACAACCGAAGCCTTCAATACTAAAAGGAAAACCTGATCAGATCAGTCTTGACCGCATGCCCTGAGACTTGCAGAGGCCCGGCACGAAGATAACTACTGAGCCTATCATCAGCAGTGGCAGAAGACCTGCGTCCCTTGACTGATAAAGCCCGCATTTCTTGAATGAGGAACCTCTCATCCTGGTCTAATAGAAGCCTAATTCCGAGCCATTGACTTAGGCCTGTTACCGAGCTGCCAGACAAGGCGCAGGGATTCCAATTTGGGGTGTTAGGTTTGGCTTTACTTGCACGTAGGGTTTGGAGCAGAGCCGTAGGGGTCCTGAAGCATGACTTCGACGCCCTTCTACTGTGGGAAACCACGCACTTCCTGGCCTTGTTTGTGGCGCTTACTGGTGGACATTCAAGTATTATACATGCATACGCTTACATACACGCATACATACATACAGACAGACATCGCGCATAACATCGCCAAACAGTGAAATCCTATACTTAAGTCGTTCGCGAAAGCTAGTCCTGTTGTCTGTTGCAAGACCTAAAAAGGTGAAACAAGCCATCTATTCGACCTCTTGCAATCCGTTGAGGAGGAGGAGGTGAACGCTCTTCCGGAGAGGAAGCCCATCAAGGAGACCAAACCCCATCCCTTGAGGGTTAATGGTTGCCTCAGTTGTCGTTGCAATTAGCTGGGCCATGAGCATGAGCTCTGAGCATGTGCTAGTATTCTGGGGCTGGGCGCTGCCTTCAGATTCCGGGGTCCATGTTTCCCATAGTGGGATAGTTTGCGCCGCCGTGCAGACAGAACCGCGAGAGAAACGTAGATTGAATGTATATAAGCTAGCACAGAGGTGCCAGGCTCCGAGGTTTCTGTCAACAGGATGCGGGTCTGGCCGTAAAGCAGCATCCTCCTCAATATTGGGCCGACTCTGCAGCTGTAGGTCCGAGCTGGCAGTAGCTGCAAGGCTTTTGGTGCATGTAGCACTAGTGAAATGTAGAGTTTGGGAGCAGCCAATGTACAGACACCAAAAAAGCCTTCCAATAACTTGTCGTATGCCCTACAACCCTGTTCGACTGAGAGCGTGCGAGGTCCAAGCCTGAAGCTTTCAAACCTACACATAAACCCCTCAACTTGGAAGCCTCAGCCCAAAAGCCCAACCTCCTAGCCAGTCACCCTAAGCTCGAATCGCCGACCTGAACAGTAAGGCCTTCTAAATTGCGCAGGGCATTCCGGCCGTCGAGTTTCGGGCACGTTGCGACCTCATTTTCGAGAAGTACGACAAGGAGGGTCGGTGCGTTCGTTGCGATTTTGGCACTCGAGAGTTTGCGCGTTTGGGGGAGTTTGACTGTATACTTCTGTGTGGGCCGCTCACTGGCCGCGGGTGTGAGCAAGAAGTAGATCGTAGCTTCCCGCATGCTCCTTAGATGCCGTATAGGCAGACTTCTGCTATGGGCTGTGGGTTCTTCCTGCGGCTGGGGTGCAGATTTGGACCCGGCTTTGTAGGAAAAGGAAAGCCCAAGATATGACGCGAAAACCTGAGTCTTCACCAGGCCCTTGGGGCTCGCTGCGCTCTTGTCCCACAGCGACCCTGAAGCCCAAAGTGGACCCAAGATCTAAGCTTCCCTGAAAACGGTAACTTTTAAAGGGATCCGAGCTAAGGTCTTGAAAGAGAGGGTATTAACCACTTGGCTACATTTAGTTAGGCTTTGGGGTAATCGGCTAGGTTGTTGCATCCTCATCTGGTGTGCAGATTGACCGTCTTGGTAGTTGCTGGACCAATGTTTAACCCTAAGCCCGAAGCCTTGAAGACAGATAAAGCTCAGCACCATGAACAACCCACCTTAATCGTTGCTCATCCACAAACTGCTCCGAATAAGGGCACCTGTGCGTGGTCCGACTTGCATAACTGCTCGTGATACAAGTACCTGCCTTGATTAGTTTGCAAGATCCCCCATGTGGCACCACAGCCTGGCAAAGGACAAGGATGAGGTCCTCTGCTTTGAGGCAAGCTGGATTTGGGGGTCAGATGTTAGGGTTGTAGGTTTTGTGATCAGTTGTTTTACCGTGGCCTCTCATCCACTGGAATCGCTCGAATCCATCCGAAAGCTATCAAATAAGTTTGATTCCTATCGGTTTTGCTCGAAAACACCATGGAATCCCAGCGGGATGGTTTTCAATACAGGCAAGAAGGCAGTTCCGGGTAGACACGAAACTCACGCAACTGTAAAACATGAGGTCATCCGCTTCCGAAGCCAAGCAAGTCCTGCAAGTGTCGACGGACGGTTCCGGAATGCGCACCTGTGTATGCAAGACCAGGTCGCATCACGCACGAACAGTGCAAACGCAGAGAGCCAGGGCAACTAAGCGAAAAGAGCAACTAACTGGCCGCCACTGAAATTTTAATCTCACTCGAAGAAACCTTTGGTGGGAGCTCCGACCGCCAACCCCTCAGGTTCGCTCGAAAGGTTTTTGTGGAATCTGCAACAGCTGCACCAATCAGCAAATCCTGTAAACCCCCAAATCGTGAGCCTGATGCCCAAACATCTCTATCGTCCTTTGTTGGTATCCACAGTTTGTGGCTCCGGGTTCGGAGTCTTAGTGCTCGGGGATGCAGAGCTTGGTGTGTCCAGATCCGCCGGTCTTGAAATGAAATGCTCTGCAACGTTCGTTCGTCGGAGGGGCATCAGTCCCTGAACCTCTGAATGCCTTTACACCTCTTAAGCCTTGACCGTCCCGACCCTCACGTCTCAACCTTTAACCCTTAAGGCCTATACGCGAAGGCACAGACACCAAGTAGGCTGAATAGGGTTCCGCTGCATCCGCATTTCCAGCGAAAAGGAGCTTTGCAGTCTCATGGACGCTGGAGGCCGCCGGATCGAGGAGTATTTTGGCTCAAAGCTTTTGGCCTGGGGATTTAAGAGTTGCTGTTTGGCGTTTCATGTTTGAGCTGAACTTTGGTTTCAATGTGCAGGTCGTAGGATACATCCCTGGTCTTTTCCAGCTACACAGTCGCATGTCGCTCTTCCCCAAAGTCCTCGCGCAAAAGGCCTTCATTAATCCCTTCCCCCTTGTATTAAACGGGGGGTCCCCCCTCTCCCCCAACATCAACTCGGAACGTGAGTATAGGGTATGTGTTTTATCTCTGTTGCCATATTTGGGTAATGAGTTGCCTGAATGGCAATAGTATTTGATCAGTTAGAGTAGTAATGTCAGTAGGAATATTAGTTCTGCACGGGTCTTTTGGAGCCCTGAAACCCTCCCCTAATTCAGAGTAGGTTTTAAAGGGCAGAGATGATTTCGGTAGAATTCGCCCCAATGTGTTTTCATGATTAGGGAGTTTTTAATAACAGGGGTAAGGGATTAGCCGCCGAACACAAACCAACCCGCAACTGCAAGCAGGACGGCCGGACGCAGGAAGGCTCTCATAAAGCCTAGAGCAAAGCCCTAAAGCCCTTCTGCCTCCCACCAATGCCCAAGGTATGACGCTTATGCCAGCCTTTGCGGAAGGCGCTTTATACGGTACTCGGGCTCTAACTCGTAGACTCCAGACCCGAGGGTCTACTCACCTTCTGGGCTCTATGTTTTTACTGTAGGGATGTCGGATTTCGGACTCTAGAGACGTTGGGCTTCGGAGATGTAATTTTGCATCAGGGCTTTGGATGTTTATAGGCTTAGGGTGACTGTGCTTTAGATTTTCGGAGCGCGCGATGTTGAATGAGAGAGCTCAGCAAACCTTAAGTGCAGCACAGTACTCTTGAAAGCAGAGGTTAAAAGAGCGGGTGGAGTTCAGGGGCTTATGGTGGCAGGCAGTTCCAGGTAGTATGACGTGGAGTTGACGTCTTGTGCGTTGGGTTTCAGCTTTCAGCTGGGCTGCAAGTTTGGAATCCTGAACGCTAAGATGTCAAACTTATCCTCAATGCTTCGATTGCAACCCTAGCTGGGGTTATGATCTTCCCGACGAGCGTGAGACAGCAGTCACGAAAGGCTAGGACTCAATGCAGCCTGAATGGCTTTGTGTTGTCTTCGAAGGCAACAGCTTCAGAGGTTCAGGATGTTAGAGGTTCGACATTTGAACGGGTTTAGGAGTTTAGGACTCGGGATTTAGGGATTTCAGGTTTGGAGGTTCGAAGCCCAAGTTTGCGAGAGCAACTTTCGACACGACGGTGGATGATGAAACTAGCTTCTACACCACAAGCATCAAACATCACGGAGTTTGTGTAAGGATGATGGATGGCACATGCGCTATCTCACTCCGAGCCTGCCTGTGTTCTGTAGAAAGTACAGGCACATGGGCGGGCGCATGATGTTCAAAGACGCTTCCGCTTCTGAAGAACATTCAGCGGATCCGATGAGCTCAACATTTGTCAATGTCCGGGCCTAAACTCGGTCAGACAGGCAAAAAGCCCAAATGTAGCTTCTCATAGAATTCAGCACAGCTTCGTTTGTCCTCCTGGCGTGCGTCTCTCACGCTCCTGTGATGATGCGCTGGTCCACTTTACGTCGTAACATTCGTAACCCCAAATCCTACACCCCGACCGACCCACCCTCTCCCTTGCGAAGGGAAGGCCCTGAGCGGGTGAGTGTGAGCAAGTCCATAAATCGAAACGTCAGAGCCTATACACTAAAGACCAATGCACTACAGCCTGGGCATGAACCCTGCAAACCCCACCCTGCCTGAATGCCTGAATATTCCTGAGTACCCCAAGCCCCAAACATCCCAGAAGCGAGAGGCTGGGCTGCGACGCCCGAGTCGGCCTCGGCAAGAAGGACGGCGTGTGGGTCGTTTCTCGTGTTTTCTGGTTCCTGCCGGGTGTTGGGTTTGTTGGGTTGAGGGGTTCGGGCTCCATATTGCCCGAAAGTTCGATGGGAGCACTTTGGCGTGGAACGGTTTCAGGAATCAAGCCTCAAGGGAGGCAGGTATTATTACAGTATGAGAGTTTCAAGTGTTTTTTGTATGTCAGAGGAGGAGGTGAAGGTCTTCGACGATGCAGAAGATATGACAGGAGAATCCCTTGCCCAAGAACCTTCCACCTAAATGTTTAGGGTTTGCCTTCAGTCACCGTTGTCATGACAGAAAGAAGGTCACCACTCGGAGACTCAGCAGCTAGATACCAGAACCCCACTTACTTCACCGCAGTTGTGGTGAACTGACGAGTAAATGTGAGTGGGTCAGATGGGAGACTCGTTTAATCACATTGGCCTCACAGTTCCTCAAATCGAAAGGCCGGAAACGCCTAGCTCTTGGGATTGAGGTTGTGCGTGATAAATGCGTAATCGAGGGTACCGTCGCATGTGTTCAGTACTGATGTGTCAACACCACCCTCAACTTCGTTTCCTTTGCCCCTTCTCGTCTTCAGATGGAAGCTCAGTTTAGTCCCGCGGCTTGCAATGATCCTGGTGGGTTCCCGTCTCGCAAAGATTGGCAGGTAGTGCTGAAAGAGCCAGGTCTTTCTATCAGGTTCTCAACGGTTGCAGGTTAGAGGCGTCATGGTTTGGGCTTTGTTGGAACTATGAAGTACCAAGGAACGACATTCATGCCGAAGCGGTCAAGAGGGGTAGTGGTTCCAACAAGTGTTCGATGCACAGGCAAAAGTATTGCCACACCACACCCCCACAAGGATCCAGAAAGTAGACCCCCCCGGGTATCCTTTTCTACTAAAGGACACTCTGAAGGAAACCACTTGAGAGATGTTATATATATATATGTCTATAAGTAGATCCTCGCAGGGGTTTGAGCATGTTCTTTGATAATGCGGGCACCTATGTTCGAACGCAGGTAGGACGGAGAGAAAGGTGGCCGTAAAGGGAGCAGTCGCAGTTAAGCCAGGTGATTGGAGTGTGCGACTGCGTGTTGGCAATGCAAGTGTAGTAGAATTCAAGCTATGTGCACACACATACGTACATACATACATGCAAACATGCATATACCATTTGTGCGTGTATGTACATGTATATGCAGGGATATATGTGTGCATATGTATGTGTACATCACTGCAAATATGCATGTTATTTTGCATACGATGCGTAACTGCGTAACATTATATTGCAAACACATCATAAAGATGATAAAATACAATACCAAGTCCTATGTAAAATGTAACCTACTGAACGGCAACCTATTGTGTACCGGTAGGTAGTTAGGTAGATAAGTGGGCAGGCAGGGTAGGCAAGTATTCGACAAGATAAGCAAGTAAGTATGTATGTATGTCTGTAATAGCCTGTTTCGCGACCTATCCAGCGAACTACAATTTGTTTGTTTATTTGTGTATTCATGTGTTGATGTGTAAGCAGGTGTCAGAGTATGTTCGTGTGTGTTTGGATGTCGCATGCATGTATGTGCATACGCATGCATGTCAGCATGCATGCATGTATGTCTTTCTGTATGTCTGTTTGTATGGGTGTATGATGATGTATGTATGTGTATGCATGCATGTATGTATGTAGGTATGCATTTTGGTATGCCTGCCTGCAGGCATGTACCCTGTACGTGTGTATGTATGTCGGCACCCATGCACAGCTTCACATACGCATTCGCGGACCTACACGCACCCAGACATGCATACATGCATACAGTGCGCAGTCGTACAGGCATACATTCACACCCACGGATGCACGTACATACTTACATCGGTACTACATACGTGCATAACTAAATGCATACATACGGACATACATACCTACATACATACCCATACGCATACTCATACGCATACACATACACAGATATGCATACATGATGCATGCATACATATTGCATACATGCATACATACATGCATACACGCAGACATACGCGCGGACAGACGCACGAGCACGCAGACACACATACACAAGCATATACATGCACATACATACATATACACATATGCAAAATCATACTCACGACATACTTACAAACAAACAGACAGACAGACATACACATATATGATCATGTAGGGAGACACGTAGATGGGTGGGCAGTTAGATAGGTGCTGGATCTATGTGCCAATACCTGTTTTGGGAGGTGGGTGGACTGAGACAACCGTCATCTGCCCATGTATATAGACATCTGCAACTACGTCGCCACAGCTACTCATGCCTATGCACTCCCTCCACCACTGCATGTGCTGCACATACCTTCTGTAATGATTTCTTGAAAACATCCGTCAAAATACTAACAGCCGGCTCAATGTCGGAAGCTGGTAAAACCCCTCGACAACATTCAGGCCTGTGCATTCTTGAATGTTGGCTTTACATGGGCGACCGGAGCGGCCTTCAAAGCAGGACGTCTACAAACTCTTCGAGAAAGCTCCCCAGTCCGTGTGGGAGGAGGCACCCAAAGATAGGGAGGATCCGAACTTGGATACAGAGCCCCTGTCCAATGCCTACTTTACTTCGTGGCCTCGGAATTGTGGCCGCAGATGCTTCCGTTGTGTTCTTGGATTGTTAAGAATGTTCACGGCCGCTTCTGTTGGTCCTGGAGGCATCCAGCCCTTCCACATTTCTGCTTCACTACACGAAAGACCTCAGTGCAATGAAGAAATTTGGTTTTACGTGGCTTTCGGATCATGCTTATGGGCAGAGAGTTCGAGCGATTGTTCTGAGCCTCCCTTCGTGACCGTAGGTTGAGGTTTTTGGTGTTTCCAGCTATGCCATGGGGCCTGTTGCCGGGGGTTCGGACTCGCAGCTTGAAGTGCCTGGGGCCCAAAGACTGAGCGCAAAGCTCGAAAACCCCAGGTACGGCAGTGAGTCCGAGACCACAGAGAGGGGCTTCATTCAAACGCCGAGTAGCGCGGTGTCGTCGTGCAACAGAGAGAGCCGCGGCAGATCTGCCACCCATGCGCTTTGCGGTGGCACCTACATCCCTTTCCTTGCATGACTGCAAGCGGAATCATGAAACATCACAAAGGCTATAGTATATAGCAACAGACATTCTTCACTGTGCACGGCAATGATCTTCTTAGTTTGTGATTTGGCCACAGCTTTTGTAGGCGTCGTCGTCGTAGTAGTGGCAGTAGTGTTAGTGGTTGCAATGTAGTGCTGGTAGTGGTAGGAGCAGAAATTCCGGAGTAGGAGACCAGCAGCAGCTGCTGCTGCAACCAATCTGTAAACCTCCCTAGTACGATTTGAAGATCGTCCCAAAGGGAGGTGCTCCCTCCTTTTCTGGTCCTGTTATTGGCAAGTACTTGCGTGAATAGGTATCGGGACTAATCGCACCTGACAGGTTTACCGATCCATCAATCCGCTCGCCCAGATGGTGAAGAAGGGGGCGGATCGGTGGGAGACTTGGGTACTTGAACTCTTGGCTTCAGGATTTAGCGGGTGTTTTTTGGCTGTGTTGGGCTTGTGGGAGGGTTGTGAGATTCACGGCTTCTCAGGATTCAAGGTGGTGCGGTGTTCGGGGACTGCCTGCATTTGTGAATATGCGCGCAGCCATATGCATATTTTGCTCGTGTCCGCCGTTTTGTCTTTGAGTTTTGCATGTTGGCGGCTGCATCTACCATTGGTATCTGTGGAGCCAAGGCGGAGGCCCCAAACCCAGCCAAATCTTAAAAACCGAAACTCAAACTTCACGACGGTGCCCACCGATGTCCGACAGGTTGCCGGACACCTTCCTCGAGCGCCCCATAACGGAGTTCCTTTTCGAGGATGAGGACAAGGGGATTCAGCGTTCGGGGGTTGAGCAGGGATGATAGGTTGCGGGCCAAGCACAACTTGCGACAGTACAACCGCGAAGAAGACCAGCCATAAAGATGTCAAGCTTAAGCGCCACAACATCAACTTCCTAAATATGTTTAGTTTAGCCCACACGTTTGTTGCTGTTGGAGCGTGTTGCGCCACAAGCCTTGATCTCCATGCTCTATGCTGTAAATTTTACCCTGCCTGTACATGTACTTTTGTTGTCCTTAGCAGTTCTCTTACGCGACTTACCTGGGCTCAGGTCCCCAGCGGATAAAAGGTCCACCAGGGTTGACTTAACGTTAGCATACTGCGTGTAGCTGTGCACCCGTGAAACTTCATATGCTGCATAGCTTCATTCTTGGCTCTGGGTTGGAGCTACTTGGCTTGTCTATGGGCTTTGGAGGACCGCAAGTCCAGCGTCGCCCTTTCGAAAATCAAGACCTTGTAGGTCTTAAATCCTGTATCAAGATTGGTTGCGCCATGTTTTGCCGTAGGAGTCAGCACTGAGGATACGTGGTTCAGGGTTGAGATTTCAGGATCCATGCGATGCCCTAAATCCACGTGCATTGGGGCATTGGGTGACTCTGGCTCGCAGCTTCGTCCGATGCTCTGTAGGAACCCCGTGCCCACTGCCCAAGGCTTCTCCGGATCTTATCACTCCGAAGCCTTCCATGAGCATCTCGTCAGTATCAATCAGTCTTACTATAGTCTTATCACAGGTAATCAAGCAGTGTGACTCCTGCGGTAGTGCTCCCTCCGAGAACTGTTCCCTGCAGTTGCGGAAGGCTCTTAATTGAGAGCAAACAACCATGTCGAAGCTGCTGCTGACGGGAGACGCAGAGGCTAGCATGCAGAGTTATCTTTTAGCCGGCAGAGTTTTGTTCAGGGGTTTAGGGGTTCAGGTTTCCGGTCCTGAAACACACTGATATCATGAACCATAAAGCCATTGGGTACACTTGCCTCCCTCGTTCAGAGCTCTCACTCTTTTTAGCGACAGGAAGCAGTGCCGGCGCAGCGCACTCACGCAATTCTTGGTGAACCTGGTCGTTGGGGCGTTATGTATAGGCTCCGTATAGGGTTTTTTATGGTGTCGGACACTGGCATCGCGAAGTCTCGTAGCATCATGCACTATACCCGAGTTCTGGACCCCAGCCCGCGCGGGATTTAGGATCGAAGGCTGGGAAGTCAATGCACTCTAATGGTTACACTGAGTTTCCTACTGTATATTCTCATGCGAAAAACACAGACTCTTCCTACTGCTCTGTATGTAGGTCTTCCAGCCCGTGTTGTGCAAGACTTCTTTGGAGTTTTGAGCAACCCCAAGACCTGCACGCAAGCAGGAAGAACCTACATCGTAGGCTCTTCCCCCACAGCCCTTATTGAAGGTGCCGCAATCCACAGCCGACTTCGAGACCACCCTGATGACAGAGGCCTGGTTTGGGAATGGCGTTTGGGTGTTGAGAGCTTCGGGCTTGGGGTTTAGGATCTTCAAGTGGTTCGGCGTTCGGCTTTACCTGCCAATTCCTGGAGCCGAGCTCCTGCAACATGGCACGCCCTGCAGGCGATGTACAGCTTGTATCTGATGAGCCGAGGCCTGTCTCTGTTGTAAAGGAGGGGGATGACGATGCTGATGATGGTGCGAAGGATAATCGTAGCACTTCGGGGATTTAGGCTTCAGTTCTGTTGCTTCCGGGACTGACCTCCTGAAGCCCTAAACCTTATACAAAGACGCAAACCATAAATGCCAAGCCCTAAACTGCAAAGCCTTTCTAGGTAGAAGCTACTGGGGCTTGTGGGAGGTTCAGCTGGGCGTGTCAGCGGCTAGTACGTGACATTCCGTTTTGGATGCTCAATTCCTGTTTAGCCATTGTCTACCCTACAGCCCGGTCCTTACAATGTCTAGATTATGTCTTTTCGTCAGGGCCCTGAGGAGTTGGTCCCTAAACCTGTGTCTCTGAGACGAGCCTTGGGAAGTTACCCGCTTGAGGACGCTTCCTAGAGTCCTAGAACCTGATGCAGAGCCTTTACGAACCTTCAGGAGGAAGCAGTATAGGAATGCTTCGGGCCCTTTCATGGAGGATGAAAGTTCCACATGAAACTTGAAATCGTCACCTTCCGGCCTTCCTGGTGCCGGAGTTGAGTACAGTCTGGATGCGTTGAGGGGCCCTGTAGTTTTATGTAAAATACTTATATATGTACCCAAGGCGAATCCATGTGAGACCTTTAACCCGAAGGAAGATGGCCCGAAAAATGAGCGTCCAAGCCGCTGTGCCACCGGCATAGGGCTCCGAACAGGATCCTTGACAGCAAATGCCAAAACGCGAAGCCCGCAACCCCAAACCTGCTTTGGAATCCCAAACTCAGAACCCGGCCTCACAAGCCCTCGAAGCCCTAGATGCAGTGCTGGGTTCTTGTTGTGGAGAGTAACCTCAAGACAACGGAATGGTCAACACCTGTTATTATCATATACTAGATCCCTAGTTCAGCAGCTCAGAAATATGCAACCTGCTGTTATATAAATACTTTCCCAGTGCTTTAAAAAGAACCCAGATCGAACGCCTCAGACTCTCAGCTCCCTCCGACCGCCGTCTCAAAGCTGCTGGATGCACCCCCAGGGCCGCTTCGTCCAACAGATTTCTGAGCGCTTTAATCGGGGTGGGGACGTGGCTTGGTTCAGGGCGTTTTGGAGTTTATAGGGCTGTAGAGTTCAGGGTTTAGCGTTCGGGTGATGGCGGTGCGATAGGTGGTTGCTTCGGAAATTTAGAGGTAGCATGAAAGGTTCCTGCTGTGCAGGACTACATCAGTTTCGGAAACTGCCACGTAGCCCGTGCAGATGTGACGATGAGGAGGCTAAGGATGACGATGGTGGCAGGGAATGATGATGGTGGTCATCATACGGACGATGGCGGTGATCGACGATAACGATGAAGGCGATGGGGATGACCTCGATGATGATGATGCTGATGATGGTGCTGTCGATAGGGATGGTGATGGTGACGATAATGATGACGATGCTGATGCTGCTGCTGATGGTGGTGGTTTTGATGATGCTGATGCTGATGGTGATGATGGTGGTGGTGATGATCATGCTGATGATAATGGTGATGGTATAATGATATTCAATGTGATGCTGACAGTGGCTGCGATGCCGATGGCGATGGCGACGCTGAAGATAGTGGCGGTGATGGTCATGATCATGATGATGATGATGATGGCATCGAGAAGGACGTTTTCCCGAAACAAGGAGTCCGTTGACAGTAAGACCCAGTAGGGGTTCCATTCAGCAGAACATCCACAGGCACCCTGTGGTCGAAACAGCATCGCTTCAGTCTTCTCAGCATGGCTACCATCCCGAGCAGCGCCAGCGCCGTTGCCCAGAGGACCACCCAGACCTCCAACAACACTGAGAACAGGAGCCGGAACGAGAACACCAATGACGACAGCGGCAACAACTCCAGCGAAATCAACAGCGGTGGCAGCAGCAGGAGCTGCGCAGCAGCATCAACAGCAAGCGTCTGCAGCAGCAGCAGCAGCAGCAGCAGCAGCAAGAAGAACAGCAACGGCCGCGAGAGCCGGAGCAAGAGAACCAGAGCTACCAGCAAACAGGACCACAGGTATCATCAGATGTCCCATGTTGCTTCCTAGGCTTATGCGAATTATATCACAAGAACCGCCCCGACGGAGGCTGACGAAGCAGGTCAGCTGCGATTCGAAGGCACGGGGTAGTAACAGAGTATAACAGAGTTCCCTTTTCGGCTGCTCCGGGTTCCGGGCTCAGGGATTGCGGTTGCGAGTTTAGTAGTCTAGGGGGGTCTTGCCTTTAGGGTTTCCATGGATGTTTAGTTGTTGAAAAGAAAGGTCGTATCGGTCCTGTTTTCGGTGCCTGGGCATCCGCCTTCTTGCCATCACTGTGACAGCGTCGCGAGCATGATTGAATGGGTCTTGTCGTATTAGTAGGTATCACTGTCATGCTTTCGCATTTGGAGTCGGAGTTGAGCTTTCGCCGTCGGGAGTCCAGTATAGACCCTAAAGCAGAGGCTCGTCCTGTTCAATACCCAACCGACCGAACCCCTCCAAAGACAGAGTGTACATGATGTGAACTTCAGGTTCAGAAGACCAGGCAGGTCCAGTTGAGGTCTGCTGCTTGCATAGGCTCCAGATGTTGATGAGCCTCCTGTCCTTTAGACAAGATCTGACGCTTGCTCGGTGTAGGTTTGCTTCATCCAAGAGGTGTTCTGTGTAGGCTCATTGGCCTCACTCGTGCATTCAATCAAGCGTGCACACAACCATGGCCCTGGCTCCGAGAATCAAGATAGCCTGTGCAGCTGTCGCGTCCAAGCAAACTTCACGTCCCTCTCATCAGGATTCCCATCCTACCCTCATTTTACTCAGGTCTATTCCGACATGCATGTATGGATGGAAATATGAGATAGGTCTTAGGTGTATTCGGTGCACAACCTCAACCCTGAAGCTCGCGGCCCTGGCCCTCAAAATGCTTGCTGGAGTGCCAGACCCCGGTTAAACGAAGTCCAAGAAAGCCAGGAAGGAAGTTTGCTCCGCTGCCTGAGTGTTCCTAAAGCAGCGAGGCCCCAACATCCTAAGCCCCAAGACATCCCAAGACCTTCATCCTCTCAGTACAACACCGACATGCCTCGGCCCTGGCGAAGTCATCTGAAGATAGGAACCAAAGCAAACTGCCTGCTGCCCTTGAAAGGACGGGGCTCCACCCGGACTTCGCCCTGCCTCGCTTTCGGAAGCTGCGGCTCGTCAGAAGCGTGGCCGGGTTCCTGCATGTTTCTTCGGCAGAGCCGGCAGAGCGGCTCAGGGTCGACGGCCGTCGCAGACAGGGGGCATCTCCGACTGCCGGGTGTAGGTTTTCGATGGGTTTAGGAGTTCGGCTTAATGTGGTGGAGTCCAATGCGGAGTGACATCGGGTTTGCTGAGCTTGCTCGGCGCAGCTCCCCCTATCCTTTTTGGTCTTGATCTTGCTTATTCTTCGCGCCCTGGACCCTGAGATTTCGGGTGTACTCGTCGCGTGATGGCTTGAGACTATGATTCTGCCCACCAACTGTTTGTTCTTTGACACGATGGCGATTTTTACTACTTATTGTGATCATACTTATACACCAGTGTGTAAACCCAGACCCTGAACCCGCTTGGACGAGAGTCATCTCAAGCTCGACGCGGATGTGGAAAATGTAAGGTTCGAAGAGGTTATCGAGCCATTGTGAAGGATAATCGTGTCAAACCTGCCCAAGTTGATACGCTAGTTTATCGGGCCTTACACAGATAGATTAAAGTTGTTGGTGCTTTGTAGATGGACGGGATCCCTGTCAAACCCAGAACTGAGCCATCTGAAGCCTCAAGGCTGGCCCTCTGCAGAAATTGGCGTGTATTCGGTTTTTACGCATGATTGTAAATCAGTTGCATTCATGCATGGAGTGCGTGGGGCTTATTGAGTTTATTGCTGTTGATGCTCATATTCTACTTGTTGAGATACCTACCTATTTCACCCCCTGGCTGGTGGTCAAGACGCAGCCGGGCTTCTTTCAGGGCGGCTTTCATCGTTAGTTGTACCGACTGATGTTGCATCTGTTATGGGGTGAAGGATGACTGCATCCGGACAGGGGGAGTATGTTACCCCATCTCGCATTGATTGTAAAACCGCATCCTGCATGCGTAGGCACCCGAAAGTCCCAATGACAACCCCGACCTGAAGGAAACTTGCAGCACGATCTCCTGCGGTGGAGATGGCTCCTCTGAGCACGAGGCACACCGGATGCGCAACCCTAAATCCCAGAAAGCCTTCAGAAGGCCTTGGACCATTCAAGCCCAGATGCCTGACTACGACAATGGATTCCTTCAAACCCGAAGCTGCGACGACGACTACGAAACTAGCACTGCACTAGAGCTAGCTGACTAGCTAGAACGGAACTCACGACTGCAACAAGAACAACAACAGGAGCAGATTGGTACTGCTGACACGACTGATACGACAACTTATCATCTATCGTCTGTATGACAGCTGCTGCTATTACAACTACTAGTCCTGCCGCAGCTGTTGCTGTGGTGATTACGACTCCCACTACCACTACTGCGCTACTACTCCTCCTCTTCTCTTCCTCTGGCTGCTGCTACCACTGTAACTATTACTGCTCCTGCTCCTGGTGCTGCTGCTGCTACTACTACTACTCCTTTCTACCACTTCTGCTACTGCTACTACTACTACTACTACTACTACTACCACCACTACTACCACTACCTACGACTACTGCCACTGCTCCTCCTACTGGCTACTAGCTGCTAGCAACTAACTATTATTAACTAGTAACCACTAACCAGCCACCAGTCACCACTAACTAAGATCTGAGACTATCTTCCTAACTACGAAGTACGAGTAACTGCCTACTACCTACGACCTACTACCCGCTACTACTACTACTACTACTACTACCACTACCACTACCACTACTACTACTACTACTATTACTACTACTACCACTACCACTACGACTACGACTACGACTACTACTACTACTACTCCTACTACTACTACTACTACTACTACTACTACTACTACTACTACTACTAGGAGTCTGGTACTACTACCTACTACCTACTGCCTACTGACTGCCTACTACCTACTCCCTATATACTACCTCTTACCTACTCCTGCTTCTACTCCTACTACTACTACTACTGCTGCTACTACTACTACTACTACTCCTGCTACGACGACTACTACTACTACTACTACTCCCACTACTCCTACCTACTATTACTGCTACTACTACTAGTACTACTGCTACACTACGCTAGTACGACTGGTTGCAGTACTGCTGCTGCTGCTCCTCCTTCTCCTTTGTCCTAACTACTAACTAACTACCTACTACTAACTACTAACCACTGACTACTAGCTACTAACTACTACTGCTGCTCTGCTACTGCTACTGTTGCTGCTCCTGTTACTGCTACTTCAACTGACTGCTACTGCTATCACTACTGCTACTGCTATCGCTATCGCTACTGCTATCGGTACTGCTACTGCTACTGATTCAATTACGACTACGATTACCGCTACCACTACCAATACTACTACTACTACTACTACTACTACTACTACTACTACTACTACTACTACTACTACTACTACTACTACTACTACTGCTGCTAGTACTACTGGCAAGTACCGTTGGAATGAGGAATGTAGAATGTCGTCAGCAACGTGAGCAGCAAATAGCACATACAAGATGAATGGCCAGTCCCGATGTCTCGGACGCCTCTTAGTCATACTTTTGGCAGGGGCCGCCACGATTTCGGTGTAACGGGTTCTTTAGGCCTTGGAGTTTTGGGTGTCGCAGTTGCAAAATCTTGGGGTTTTCAGCTTGCGATGCAATAGCAAATTAGCGCATCATGTGGACGGTTCCTCTACTCGCTAAGAAAATCTGTGAGCTTTTGATTTCTCGAAGTCGTTGCGAATCTTGCATGAGAACTAACCCGAAACTAAATTAATTCGAAGTCCTGCATGCTAAATTCTGATCTCTCAACCGCAGGCAAAACTGGCTGCGACACCAGACCTCGTGAAGCAATAGAACCTATTCTCACCATGCCAGGCATCAAGCGAACATGACCATCATGACTGGCAAGGTTACGGCTGTACCGAGGTACGCTTTTTTCAAACATTGCCGTCTCATCTCGGTTGCCACTTCCAGACTAGAACATTTTTATGGTTCATTTTCAGATTAAGGGACTGATGGCAAGCCCTTGCACTGCTACTGCCCTGGCAGCCCTGGTTGCTATTTTTTGTCGCTGTCCAGCGACATTGATCACCTCACTTGGGGTTTACTACAGTGTGAAGCGCATCACTCCATCACAGCTCTGGCTCTTCAGTACATTCATCAGAGCACCTTATATGTCAGTCAGCCCCAGAGGCTTCACGCACCTCAGAACCGTTAGCCGAAGCGACCGCAGCTTGTGCCAGGGCATGCCGCTTGATGCCTTCGCCGACCCCTTCGCAAACTGCCGTTTGGCAACGAATGATAATTCTGTTGCGGTCCAGGGTCTTTTGCTGAGCCGAGTCCAAGGCTGCCCACATCCAAGCCCCTTGATGTTTATGCTAAGTATTCGGTGACCCCATGAGGGTCTAGTGTTTTTTTGCCGAGCTCAGGGTTCCGCCTGGAAGCCGAAGACTTCAACCAGGGTCAGGTACTGTTGCGAGACCTCCGGGATCCTTCGTTCGTAGTTTACGGCTTTGGAGCATTTAGAGTGGGGGTAGTTTGGGGCTGTCGGTCAATGCTTGTCAAGCATGAACACTTGTTGGAAGTCCTCGAACGACGATGCAAGCGCTGTGGATTTTTCGGCTCCAAGAGAAGCAGCTCGAATGATGTCCTTGTCCTGACTCCAGCCGCCTGTCTCCTCCACAAGTCTTCTTGAATGTGAGAACGGGTTTACGCCATTGAGCTTGGAAGTGTTGTTTTGGGTGTGCTTGTGATGCATGCTTGCTCGGGCGGTAGAGGTAGCGTATTCGAAGCTTTCCCTAAGACTGCAGCTCTTCCGCCGCTAAACAGCCCTAAACGAGCCATCATGTGAACCCTAAACCTAAACCACGGCCAGAAACAGCCCGAGGCTGGCAGCGGATGACGGCTCCCTTGAGCGAGGCTGGTTTTTCCTAGCGCTTGACTTTCCGACTAGCCGTAGCACTCAGAAGGGCGACTTTCTTAGCAAAAACTGCTGGAAACGATAACGTGACAACAAGACACCAATCAACTTCAGAAGGGCGATGCGAGCGCCACAAAAAGATTCAGCTACAACGCGTCGGGGTCTGGATAGACAACTCACAGACTCCTAGAAGACCTGAGAAGCCCCAGAGACCTTCAAGGGTCTCAGGTGTCGCCAAATATCAACCCTGCAAGATGTTGAAGATGACAGCCACACTGGGGACAGTGGTGGTGATGATTCCGATTGGGAGGGAAAGCATGGAAATGACATCGGAGCCACACTTGTACACTCAACTTTTAACTCGAGGCCTGGCCTACAGTCACCCTATGCCGACACCAGAACCTACGGACTGCAGGATCTCTTGGGCCTGCTCTCCTCGAGACGGGGGATCCTGGGCGGACGTATGAGCTGACTTAAGATCGAAAATTCCTTGTTAAGTGGTCCCTACTTCGTTTCGAAATGTCATTATGCAGGATCTACATTAGGGTTCCCTCTGTTCGTAGGCCGTTCACAGGCGCCCCCCAAACCTTTCTCCTTCGGGATTCGGTACGGAGATTGCACAGCAGTCAAAGATTCATTACCGCAAAACGCGGGTTTTGGGTGAGAGGCGAAGATTGTGTTTCGTGATACTGGTATTGTGATGAGCGCTCGGGGTTCGAAGGTCCGGGGCTTCGAGCGGGTTCCGGGTTTGAAGCTGGATTGCTGGTTTGCTCAGGTTGTCTTTAGAGGATTCCGGATTGTATAGGCGGAAGGTTTTGCGGGGTTTCGGGTGTGCGGCTTACGGAGAACAGCCGCTTTCAGGCTTGGGGTTTAGGGTTCGAGGGTGCCTTTAGGGATGCTCTTGAAGTGCTGAAACGGTATCGGAGAGCGGACATATGCCCAATCCTAGGCCCTAGCGCCAGCCTGCACACCCTGAAACCTTCCTTCCTTTACCTTGAAGCCATGACCCCTGCACGCTTCAAAACATGGTTTGCAGCGCTAAACTCCTAGTTTGTTGCATGAGCTCTCTCGATTGGACATCCTAGACACTTGAAGCTTCGAGGCTGAATTGAGTCAGATAGGCATTTCGGGTTTGATTGTTTAGGGTTTTACTCACATGGTTACGGGTTGAAGGCTTGAAAGGTTCCGTTTGGGCTTTGAGTTCAAGATCCGCTTTATTGCTGCAACATATGACCGCTTACAATCCCAATAATATGAAACTCTAAAGCAAAGATGGTTTTGGCTCCCGAGGTAGTACCGTAGATCGCTTACAAAGTCAAGTTCCAGACACCCCGAATTCCGCAGTCCAGGAAGCAGCGCCTCCGAGCGCTGCAGACCCAGAGCGGTGCCCACGCCGAGCTGGACACGTAGATTAAAGTTAAGGGTTCAGGCAGTTGGCAATGTGTGTTCGAGGCCCTGAACACCATGAAGACTGAACCCGCCCCGATGATGACATCAATCGAAAGCCTCGGTACAAACACCAGAAGCCCAGTGGGTCGCTGGCCCGACAATCGGTAGCAAACTCATTTTGCATGTGACTAGCATAGACCAAAAAGAGAGAAGGACTTGCGATGGCGGGCGTTGCACCTTTGTGGCACACACCATGCCATCCTGAATGCCCTGGCCCTCTTGGAGCTCATGGAAGGCCTTCGGACCGCGTCAGGGTGCTAAGTAGGATGCTGCTTGCGTGTGCTCGGACCTGCTGGCGGCTAGCGAGTTACGCCCTGTCTGGCTTTGTTTGCAGTAGATGCTTTGCATGAGAGAGTAAAGAAAGATCCGGGGCGGCAGCCCTTTGTCACAGTTTCAGCCTCTACTTGCCCCAATGGGCCGTCAGTACCAGTCCGAGACTGCCTTGATTTTCAGTCTCTCCTGCAGCACGAGCTTAGGCTCTCACCTTGCCAGCGTAAACTCCCCCCCTTGGCCGGTCGCCGCCCTACGCCCCCCCCCAACACCCCCCCCCGCTACTACCCCCCCCCTCTCTGAAGGAGAAAACTGTTCACAACTGCGGCTCTAGGTCCCCGCTTCCCGCCCAGGCTTCACCGTGAAGTTGCCCTCGGCGCTGTGGACGGAACTCCTTCGCTGCAGGAACCTCGGGGCCGGCACCTTAAATTCTTCTTGTCCTTCAACAAGGGTAGTGCTATTTACGGTAGGGCCTCCGGCCCTTCTGATTTTCTGAAAATCTGATTCCGGGCTTCAGGGTTTCGTCTGTTTTCAAGAGGTTTGCGCTAAAGGGCTGAAGGGGCCTGGGCTTCATGGCTAGGATCGCAGAGGGCCTGGGGCTTCGGGCAAAGAGGCATTCAATTAGTGTCTGCACAGATTACAATCACTGTCGGAAGGTACTATACAGGCTTAAAGGGTCCGCGATGGGGGATTCGCGCTCCTGTTTCGCGATACGTTGGTGGTCATAGAGCATTGGGGATCAGAAGATGCGAAGCAAGGAGTTAGAGCGGCTCGGGTCTGTGGGTTTCTCAGTGTTTTGGTGGATTCGACAGATGTGGTTTTGATTTAGTGCCTATAGGCCCTGAAGATTGCCAGCTTGCAATAGGCCCGGAAGTCTAGACCCTGCAAGCACGAATCAAAGCCTAAATCACGAAACCAACGCCTACATCATTGGCGTCTCGACGAGGTTGATGAAGCTCCGATGTCACTGGCACGGATCCAGGAGTGAAATCGCGAACAGGGTGGATCAGGGTGGGTTTCTTTCAAGGATGTTTAACGCAAGGGTATTGTAGGGTTGCAGGTGTGGCAAAAAGTCGGCCAGGGATTCTGGGTTTGGGGCTGCGGGTTCCATGAAGCAGCTTAGGACTTATGTAAAAGGGTGTTGTCGGCATGTTCTATGCTAGGGTGCCCATGAAGCCTATCAGTATTAAACAAAGGGAGCACATTTTATCTTGCATTCCGCAAATTCTTTCTAGCCCCTGAATCTTGCAGACTTTGCCGACCTGCATTCCTGGTGAGGGGGGCATCCTGCAGCCTCAGTCCACCTGAGGTTTCGCGTCCTTGTGGTTCTGTAGCTTATGTCACTGCAGCCGCTGCCACCTGCGGGAACAGTTGCGGAATCACTCAGCCCACATGTTTTAGTGCTTGCTCTCTTCCCTGCTAATCGAGATCCGAACTATTCGCAATTCACTATCGTCTTCCCTGCTTTGATTCGAGGGCATCCCAAGCCTGATAAGGGCTCCCGACAATAATGTTTGATTCTCGGGGTACCTTTCATGAATGGGTACCTGTCATCTTTGGAGGAGGAGCCGAATGGGTGGATTTACTGTTTCTGACATGTCTCGTGCTGGGCATAGGTACTCTTTCCATGAAGTGGTTAGAGGCTGTCCGCAGAGTTTCTAGCAATGCGGAGCTGGTCACCCCAGTGCATGATCATGTGCCCTTTGTCAAAACTGCGCACGACCGCAACACCTGCATGGAGGACATCGCCACAGAGCAGTGATTTGTGGAGGGCCTGCCCTCCGCCGGCCATTATACTCCTGCTCCAGGCCTTCAGCGAGTCCGGGAATTCCTTCAAGACCGTTCAAGCCGTGGTCACAGACGAAGGGCAGCAAGGAGGGCATTCGGAGGCGGTCGTCTTGGTGGCATCATTGACGACTCAGCTCGTAATGCGTACCGGTGGCAAGCACGTGACGGTGTTGGAGCAACAAGACGGAGAACTCGATATCACTGTCACCGTGTAGACACGGATGCGTCCCGTAGCCTTGTCGCTGACACCTGCTGGGGACAGCACAGCATCCATCGCCGTGAATTAACACCTTATGGTCACTGTTTGAGACGCGGGGTTCGGGGCCTCCAAGTCAGGGATTGGGGTTGTAAGTTTAGGGCCTCGAGCATGTTGGTTTTCGAACAGACTCCTCACCCGAAGGAAATTCTTGGCCGTCGTGTGCATGTGGAACGCGAGACATTTGCTCCTTGTCCTGGGGTTCAGGCTTCTACAGCAGAGTCAATTATTGTGGAAGTATTTTCTTGACCAGTATGATGCAGAGATCAACCTTGAGCAGAGTGTAGGACCGACCACAGCTAATAAGATCCTGAACTCGGAGATTAGGTTTAGGATTTCGGAACTACGCTGCTGAGTTGAGGATGCAATCGAGGGAGACGGGATTTGGATTCAAGTTTGGACGAGGTTGACTTGGAGCTTAGTTTCGATCACGACAAAAGCAAAGTATACTTATAGATGATTTAGGGGCAGCAAACAACTCAGGGCATCCTTCGTCCTCATCCGCAGAGTGTAGGATGGGCAGTTTGGCAGTCAGGTTGTCATGTAGCTCTTGGGATGTCGAGGTTCACGACAGGACTTGAGGCAGAGGATGATTGTAGGTGATGTGATTGAGCGCTCGGGAGATCAAAACAGGCACAGACCCTGCTCAAGGCTTCGGCTGGGTCTATGTGCCACTCCAAAAGGCAGCACCGACCTAGAAGAATGCCTTCCAGACCCGAAACCCCTTAATTCTCAAGAACAGACCGATTCGATGACGGGATGGCCAGGCACTTCGTGTCTTCGCCCCCCTGGCCGAAAGGGCAGCGACTGCCGAGGCTGTGCAGGCGCTCTCAGGCAGCAGCAGAACTGGGTTTTGGGCTGCTTTGGGCTACAAAGGGTGCTTTTGGGTTCTACCTGCTTTGGATTATTTCCCGCGGGGATAGGTTCTTTGCTGGGACTAGTGCTCCGGGTCACGAGTGTTCATGCTTTGGGGTTCGGGGTCTCCTGGCTGGGAGTTTGAGGGACCTCTTACGGGGAGTTGATTGCTGGATTTTGAAGAGTTTCGAGGGCGCTTTCAGTGGGTTGGTTTTGGGCTGCTTAGCGGGCGGCAGATCTTCAGATTCCAGGTGCGGTAGGCTTGAAGGTTGTGAGGATGTGGGGGGTTGTGCCTTCAGAGACCTTCCGGGCTGAGATTATTGCGATGCGATATCGGTGAGTCGGCGGGATCCAATTTCGAGGTCATGAGGGTTCAGTCATCGAGGGTCTGCGATGTTCCAACACGGCACGGGAAGTCACGGTCGGAATGAAGGTTGTTGCTGTCAGCTGTGGATCAGGTCTTCCATAACGGATTTCTGTACTACATACCACAGGTACTTCAAAGGCGGCAATAATATGATAAATATGTAATGTAATATCATATCCTGTCATATGACAGAATTATAATGCAATGTGGTTAGTAACCGTAACAAATATAGCGCCTCTTCTAAGGCTTGCGTCTATGTGCACCAAGCAAACGATCGAACTGCCGGCTGACTGCGCCTTTCGGACTTGATGGTGTGTTTGTCTGCAGTGTACGACTCTTGACTTGGGCGGCTCTGTTCCAAACCCATGATTTCACGGTGGCAGTAGGCAAGCCTTATATAGTTCTCAGTATAGAACTTGAGTTTCAGGGGTGGTCTGGGCTTTGGCACCCTTTTCTTTCTGGCCTCGGATTTTTTTTGTATGAGCCTCGTGTCACTTTGAGCCTCGACTACTTTCGTACGGTGCTGATAGACGCTGCAGTCTCTTCGTTAACATGGGTGTCTTTCTTTTAGCCGCTTTTTGTCTAAAGGCCATGTGTCTTGCCGCCTCGCGTGTCGCTCTCTTTACATCGAATGACTCTCGGAAAGTACAAGTAGTGGGTTCCTTGGGGGTGCGGGCATTTCTGTGATTGCCAGCAACGACAAGAGCGGGGGCGTTTCCTGGGATTTTTGTTGACCGCTACCCTGGTTTGACCACTTTTCTGCAGCAATTCTACATGCCACGCCTCGTTGGCAGGCCCCGTTATTATCCAACCCTCCAGCATGTTTGTCTAACCCCTTCTTGTTGTCGGCTCCTTCCCTTGGGTTTCTGCTTCCAGCCATGAGCAGGTCCGACGTCCTGTCTTTTTGACTGCAACCACAAGTGCTCATTTCGGACCCCTGGTTCCCGACCCCGCTCACGACCTCCCGGGGAGCCTCTTTCACCCCCCTTCCACTTGAGCCCGCACTGGCCGAGCGGGAGAACGTGGGTGCTTATTATAGAGCTACATGATCATGTGCGTATTCTTTTTCCGAGTAGCCGCATGGGATATCGATCTGGTTTTGGTTTGAGCGACCCACCTGCGGCCCCTATAGGCTTTGCACTGGCGACTGCGTGTTGAAATCGAGGATTGTTAAAATCAGAGTTTTCAATTTCAGGTGGTGGGCTTTACGCCTAAAGCCTGTGCTGCAAATTCAGAGTCAAAGGTCGTTCTGAATTCGGGCCTCTTTTAGGGTAAGTCTTTGAGCGCACAAGAGTCGTCTAAATCATGAGAATGAAGCTCCGGTATTCTAAGCTTCCGCCAGACCAGAGGGCTTCCAAGCAGTTTCCAAGCCAAGCCTAAAGCCCAACCTTAGAATCCTTTGCCCTCACATGTGTGGCTGTTGCTTTCAACTCAGGATTGGAATATCATCAAGGAGCTGCAGACATCGGAGAAAGTGACAATGAAGGCGTCCAGAGATCCAAACAGCAACCGTAAGCACGAGCTGCCGTGTGTGTGTGTGTGTGTGTGCGCGTGTGCGTGTGCACGTATATGGGGGACTATGCAGGGAAACCTGGCATCATCAAGACGGTGATAATTGCAGCCAGCAGTGTTTGTAATCGCTACAGTGACCTAAGTCAAGTCTGATCTGCTCACATCAGCATGTCACTGAGGACTGGTGTGCCGTTATCGTAGATCTCTTACAGGGGCTGAGGGCTTCCCACATCTTTGTGATTTCCTGGCGAATGGCAAGAAGTCGTGCATGTCTGTGTGTGTCACAGCGTCCAAAGCGTCCAGGAGGATTTGCAGTGCAGGCTAGCCGGGGTTTGAGGTTTTTTTGATGGCGACGGCCAGGCGCTAGTCACTAGTCTGCATGCGAGCCGAATTCAGGCCTTAGGCAATGGTGGAACAGGATAGCGGTCCGGATCTCGTGCATACTAAGTGAGAAACGGCCAGTCAAAAGATTACCAAGCGACCAGAACAAGTCGCCTGGTTTTAGATAGGTAACAGGCGCAAATCCTTACGCCCCAAACCCGGAAAACAAAGCCTTCCTGTCATTCCAAAGGCTTACGTAGCCCTGATCCTGCAGCCGCGAAGGTGGAAGGGAACCGGGTGGAGTTGATTGGCATCGTGGCGGCTGTGGAGCAAGCGACAAAGGCCAGGTCCTGTTCAGGTGTGAGGCTTTGACTGCCTTTTGGGTTTTTAGGGTCGTAGAGCATAGGGGCTTTGGAGATTTCCGGTCTTAGAGCTGAGGGTTTCGGCTTCAGGGATGTAGGGTATTAGTGTTGAGGGCTGAGGCCTCCTCTTTCAGATCTTGGGACGCAGCACCAGCGAACCGGTCTCAGTCTCACTTCAAGTCCCGCACTCCAACTAGACTTTACTTTGCAGCTGCTGAACGTCGTTGATCTGCTAACTGCTAACCTTCTCATTGAACATGACTCCCTAGTGCGACCCGGTGAATCGGCGCTAGACAGCGTGTGGAATTTCCAAAGGTCTTGGATTTGGTCCAGGCTTAGATTAGGTGGTTAGGATCTCCTGTATCCACAGGCAATATGGAGTTGTTGTCGCTGCTTAGGTTCTGCTGATGAGACCAAGGGTACAGTCGAACTCCCTGAGCGGTCTGGTTCTGCTGTGCTGCAGTTGGCATCTGCCACTGCCGGCAAGACCGGGGATTCACAGGAAATCCAGGCATTCAGCGCTGTACAGCGGTGCCCTGGATGCTTTACTGACGCCGCCTCCAGGCGAGACCGATTGTCAAGGTACCTGCCCGAAGCCTCACATGCATGCCAACAACCAAAGCGAACGCACGCCAACGCCGGAATTCCATGTAGGAGCCCCTGTAGATATGCCAGTAGAGTCGTCGAACACAAACCTCCAGGTTGAGGGCTCAGGCTTTTCGTGCTTCCGGGCGTTAAAGTTGCTGGGACTTGAAAACTGCTGAAATGCGGAGGATCTGAAGAAGCGACTTGACTCCGGTGCCGTGGAGACAACGGAAGAGGCACCTATGGACGCTGCGAGGGGTGTTTGCTGTGAACTTTAACCACGGATCTTGTCAGGGTGTTCGACAAGGTTCAACCACGCTGCGCTTCGCTTCGGCATGGGGTGTTCAGCAGATCAGTTCCTGTAAGATGCTTTTAGTAGCGACTGCAGCTTCGGGACCTGCCACTGGCTGGTTGACCTAAGTCGTCTCAAGTCGACTCCGCATGCTGTGCACCAGGGTTTGGCAATGCTTTTCGTATGATCCATACATTGTCTGGGCGTGTTGCTTTTGTTGTTATTCGCTGTTTGTTGCGGTGTGCGCAGGCTTTGCGGCATCTCGATGTTACCTGATTTTGTTGTCCGCCGAGGGGTTTGTGCCCAGCTGTATGTGGAACGACGTGCTGTCCCTGTGTTGCCGATGTGGAGGGTGGTGGGATGGGTTTGTTGTCGGAGGGCCATGATATCACACCGGAGGGTATCGTTCACCCCAATCTTGAAATCTACGACCGGGTATGGTTCAACCTGATGCAAAGCTGGAAGCCGCAGATGGAGCGGGCGGTGCATCCCTCGTGCCGGGGGGTGCTTGTGAACTCGAGCCTGCCCTCGCCATGAGCTCCGCTGTCGCCTGCCCCCGCCCGACCGGCAGCGAGACGACGTACCGTGTGGCAGGGCCCAGCTTCTGCAGATGCAGCAGCACATGACTTGTGCAGGTGCAAAAGTAATTGTGCATTGGGAATGGCCGCACAATTTCTGCAGTACTTGTCTCGATACTTTTGACACTCTATGTCCTTTCCTGCAAGTAAGCACGAGGGTGATGTGACCATGATGTGACCGCATCGCATCTGCCCAATAGTGCTGGTAGCATCTTCTAGCACAAACTGGCTAAGGCCCTTATAACTGTAGTATGACCGTTGTTACCAACGCCGTGCCGCTCGGTGTGCCAGTGAAACTTCTTGTCCATCGTCATCAAACCAACGCCCGTCGTGATCAAACCTATGGTTTTTTACAGCACAAACGTTGGGGATTCGTAGGTTCGGAATACAACGTCGGCTATCTCACGTGTGGTGTGCACTTGCGGAATGCTAAGTTTTCCAAGCTCTGGGGTCGACTTCCGGCGTGGGGTTGACTAGCGGTAAAACCCATGTGCAGGCAGCTGGGGTTGACTTACGGTCGCTGGGGTTGACTTGGGGCGGGCACCAAGCAGGAGCTCAACGGCCTGCACTTTGATCCTATATCTGTCAGGACCCAGCCCTGAACCCTATGCTGACCACCGGACCTTACAGCGTCTGTAAGCTTGACGATTGAGTCGTAAGTGCCTCTCTGAGACCTAAGTTGATTTAGGCAACTGGGCTTGTATGGGGCTCCAAATCGACCGCTTGGTTGCTCGAGGAGCATTGGGTGTCAAGGATTTCATTTGGCTTTGAGGAGATTGGGTTTAGAACGTAGGGGTAGGGTTGGTATCGAGAGTTCCGAGTTTTGAAGTGGTGTTTACCGAAGACACAGTGTCATGCCAAGTCCTGCTTTTTCGACTTTTGTGCAAACCCTGAAAGCCTGATCTCTGCACCCTGTCTCAAGCGCCACGTTGAATTGCATCTCGAATCCTGAGCATTGTGAGTTGCAGGAGATGGAGTTTTTTTGAACGCATCTCAATAGCGGGATCCTGAAGCATAGGGATCCGAAAATCTATCCCCTTCATCTTATCAAGGCCCCATGCAACTCTGCTTTTGAGGCAAAGCCGATGCTGCTGGGAGCTTCACTGAACAAGCCCAAGGCCGGCTTGCTTCACTTGCCGGGTTAGATGTCACGGGTCGGACGTTGCGAGGGTTGCACGTCTGTGGCGTGGGGAGTTTGTCGATTCTACTTGCTCTGGTTGGGCAGTATCGTCCATGAGGCGGCGTTTCTTCTGATTGTGTTTGTCTGCGGCTGTGCAGCTAGCACGATACTTGTTGCAGCTATACATTACTACCTTGCCGTCATCATCCGAATCTGCAAACCAATGACTCGTTATGAAAGTCGTCAACTGGTGAGAAAAGCACAACAAGTCTTGCAGGACAGAAGACGACTGATGTTGTCTTTATCCTATTCCGTAGGATGGGAACCGTGGGCTCTTTTGAGGAGTCTTGGTTCCGTGGCCTGGCCTGTTTGTCTTATTGTCTTGTCTGAACCTATGACAAGGACTTCTGAGTTTGCCACTCGGAACCAGTCAGCATGCGCCCCTGAGTATGGGGTTTGTGAAGGCTGCGGGCTGCGCTGTCATTCATGAGAGAGACAGCCACTTCTTTTGATGAGGGCATCACATTGATGCACAAAACTGCCGAGTCCGCCAGCATACCACTTGTTGGATTCCTGCCGCAAGAACGCTTGGAAGAAAACTGAGCACTTTTTCCACCCTGAGAACCCTAAACGCGCATGAACAGGCCGATGACACGCAGTGGTGTGGGAGAGATGAGACACCAAAGATGGTGTCGCTTATGAGGCCATCTTGCAGCTTGCAGTGCTTGCGGATGGCATAAACAGCAGGTGGTTGCTCGCAAAACCCTACAAAATAACTCCAAAGTGAGGTTGCTTCGGAGCTTGGGCGGATCGTTTCGTTGCTCCTTCACTTCCGGCTCTTCTGGTTTAACTCACACGTGGGGGGTTCCGAAAGCGACGCGTGACTTTTATAGCATCTGCATGTGATCGATGCTGCTTTTTCGGGTCATTCTTGTGGTCCGCTCTACGTAGGGTCTAGGGTTTAAAGGGTTTTAACAGCACGAACAGAAGCTGCTTCTCCACCTGCTGTTGCGGGAAGTCTCGAAGTTTCCAGAGTGATCAGAATGGTAGAAGGCTTCGTCATGCGGTAGCCTTCAGCGGAAACCGGAAGGACAGCCTTGAATCTACAACGCAGGTCCTCGACGTGGGTCTCACATCCATATCCACTACAGCCGTGAACCCGAAAACTCAAGTTGCCCTCCTACCTACCGACCGACCTACTAACATACATACATATACTGTATACAAACATGTAACTAACAGTATGTATATTTATGTATACACACATATACGTATATAGATAAAAACAAACGAAAAACATACATTTATATATTTATATCTACATATACACATGCATATATGTGTGTGTATGTAAAGTGTTTCTGCTTTGTATGTATTCAGCTTTTGGTTTAAATATTCAGTTGCACACACATGGACATGCATCTGCTTATGTGTACATATGCATGTATTTATGTATATGTATGTATATATGTATATATGTATATATGTGCATGTATGAATGCACGCACGTAGGATGCGCGTTTGTATGTGTGTGGATGTGTATTGGTTCAGGTGTGTACGTAGGTGCATAGATAGGTAGATAGATAGATAGTTTGGTCAGGTAGCTATGTAGATGGACCAACAGGCAGATAGGTAGAAAGATTAGTAAGCACACAGACAGATAGATAGGCAGGTCGATGAAAAGATCGGTAGATAATTACAATCGTAGACACGCAGACACAGACAGACAGAGACAGACAGACAGACAGGCAGACAGACAGACAGATAGATGATGATAGGTAGCTGGATGGATGGATAGATGGATAGAAAAGTCGCCTGTTAATTTTCAGGTTTTCAGGCTTGCAACTTGGTCAGCCTAGTTTGCGGGACAGGAATAGGGGGTAAGGGTGCAACAGGAATGTTCGCAAGCATGTTCTGCAGTACCTTCATGGTTTGCAAGCCCATGTATCTTACCATGACATGTATACGTCTTGCTTCCCGGAAATAGGTAGACAGGTATACAGACTCAGACATATATATATATATATATATATATATGAGATGTATATGGAGACAGAGAGCGAGAGAGAGAGAGAGAGAGAGAGAGAGAGAGAGAGAGAGAGAGAGAGAGAGACACCGAGAGAAGGAGATAAAGGGACAGAGAAGGAGAGAGGGAGAGGCAGACAGGCCGAACAGCTGCACGCTCGACTCTTGAGGCCACCCCCTGGTTTGACGCACCCAGAGGCCCAGGCCAAGACCGGCTGTGGCTTTCGGACAGTGCTTCTGGAGTTTTGGGCATTTAGGGCTTGGGAAGCAGGCTTTAGTTTTGCTTCAGGGTTGAGGGATTCAGGGTGTAGGGTTGTTGATGTGAATGAATGTCGGGTTTGAGTTGCTTAGGGGCTCTCAGCAAACGTGGTTTAGGGCTTTGAAGGCTTGCGGAAAAATCGTTTGTGTTTTGTGGGTCCTTGATGGATGATGGCAGGATCGTAATGCGGGTGTGTTTCCGCCGAAGATGATGAGACTGACAAGGGGTTGTCACAGGGCACAGGACTTCTTCTTACACCGGGCCCAGGTAGCATGTTTAACTTCACCAGGACTCAAGGTTTCAGGGTCGTCATGTTTCGGTGCTTTGTGCCTGCAGTGGATGCTGCCAATATCTACTGTCTAGCTGCGTCTCATATGTCGGATCGGAGTTTCGTGCTGCGGCACCATCTCCTCAAACTCAAACCTCGTTAGGTATAGGCTTCGGGAATCCTACACTTAAACCCTAAACCCAAAACTCCCCAGCAGGTGCATGACGACTTTCTTCAACACCGTCATGTGCAGGCGAAACCCAGCAGCGGCTCCTTGGATTCCTTGGAGAACAGTTGGCGAGCACGGGCTTATTCGGAGCTCGAGTATCAGCCGAAACATTTTACTGCATCGAGTGTGGATGCCCAGCAGGAGACTCTCAGGCCATCAACCTGAATGCAAAACCACCAATGTTGCATCACCAGAACATGCTTGGCGATGTTCTGGCGATGCCGACCCCAGCTTGGATTGCTACCATTCCTTTACAAACGCATTGTGCGTCCGTTTCCCGAATCTTAACAAAGCCGAATGCAGAAGGCATAAAATTGGACTTCCAAGGACTACCTGCTGCAGCCCTGCAGTGCCAAACGCCCGTACAATGCCGCAAACCCTTCATTAGCCGAGCAGCTCCTGCTCCATCCCGAGCTACAAACTTGAAATCCCTTCAAGTCCGATCTGCGTCCGAGCCTCTGCAAGTCCTCCATGTAGAGGAGGAGTTTAAGTTTAGTGGGATTGGAGGTTTAGGGTTTGGCGCGCGAACTCGAGCTCCACACCCCAGCGATGCTGCCTACCCACACATCCTAGGTTGTGGTGCGGACGCCTTCAAGGACCAGATCTGCTACGTCAGCGCTGACAACTGCGACTTGTCGGGCTCATGTTTCTGCTAGTGCTCAGGATTTTCAGCCATGCGAGGTGTTCAGGATCATGCCGAGATCTTTTCATTTTGCGAGAAAGGGTGGAACACCGCCTGGTTTAATATGTTGACTCGTAGCTCAACTTTTGACCATTTTCTGTACAGCTGCGTTTGGTCAGTTGGCCTACATATGTCTCGTTGGTGCAGCGTTTCTTAAGCTGCCCACAGACCGTTTACCTGCCAACGGGAGACGGACTGGGGTGAGAAGAGGCTTCGTGCTCCGCATCTGTCGACTCAGGCATCTACTACACCAAGTTCAAGCACACCTAAAACGCAGAAGCTCATGGGTAGGGATCACTCGGAATCTCGCGACGCGATGTAAATTCAGAGGACAATGAAACGCCAGATGAAGACTTTAGTTATTTTAGTTATGCTAGAGTGCTAGAGCATGAGCATGGCATTGGATTGAGAAAGCTTCCGCCAGGTATTGCAAGCCGAAGCCTTTGAAGCCTAGTGCTCGAAGACCTTCCTGTCAGCTCCCCCAAGTCCAAGGTCTGAGCCCCTCACGCTAAAAAGAAATCACAACGCGTTTAGGGGTGGCCTTTCGGATGCGCTGCGGATGCACGTGTTTGTGGCTCCGGGTTTATAACCATCTGCATCGGTAGTCAAGTCCAGCAGAACTTTCGCAAGTTCAGGGTTTAGAGTTGTGTTGGACCACGCAGACTCAGGTACAGAGCTGTGCTTCTGCTGACATGCCGATGCCGGACATGTACAGCATCCGTCGATCTGCATACATCTTGTGCTGACCAGGAAGACACAGCATGCAGAGCCCAAATTGGTGATACTAGTCCTCGGGGAGTCCCGCATATACATACATGCATGTACGCATACATGTACATACATACTCATACATACATATATGTTTATATATATATACATATATAGAAATGCAGAATAAAGCCCCCAGCCTAATCCAGCTTTTCAGCCCAGCTTACATTAAGCAGTGTACTGTAAGTGTCCACGGCTCACCAGGCAGAGCTTAAGATCGAGTTGCATCATAATTGTCAGCGCTATTTCTAAAGCTACCTTGTGGACTATTTTTATTCCTACTGCCGACAACAACAACAACGACGACAAATACCAAGACAACGACATCAACGACGACGACATCGACGGCGATGCCGATAACAATCACTATCATTGTTATTGTTGTTTGCTGTTGCCGTTAGTGCACGTCAAGACGTCCTTCAACACAGACTGTGTTTCGACGGATGGCTACATTGGAGAGGCATTGTTGGAATCGATTTTTCTATGCAGGCAGCATCCGCTTGTCTTGCGACAGCGGGTTGCCGGTTCCATGGGCGTTTGTAAAGTTCAGTGCAAAACCGGAGACCTTAATCTGCAGTCTGTACGTGCCAAAATCCATGGCCCTATAACCCTAGAGTCTCTTAGAGGTGACTTGTCCAAGATTTCATGATGCAGGTTCCGGCTTCCCAACCCAGAGACCCAGAGACGCGAGGTTTTCTCATGATCAGGACCTACAACCCTGGTTCGCAGGCCTTAGGTGAAAGGCAACTAACGCTCAGACAGAGACTGTCTCTGACAAGCCTAGAAATTGTTGGCCATGAAGGTAATGCTCAGACCTTTACAAAAGCCTGCCAAGCGGTTTTGGACCCAAGCTGGTGGACATCCCATGGGCTGTCGTCGCCCACGGGCCACTCTTAGATCCGTCTGCTTGTGAATGACTCGGACATTGGGTTCAAGGTTGGGGAACCCTTCTTACATATTCGGTTGACGGGTTTTGTTAGTTTTATGACTGCAAGGCTGTCTAACTGTGTCTAACTCTACGTAGAACTAAGTTTCGATGAGTGATGTCATCATCGAGTTCATCTTCCAGCGGTGTCCGTGACGCCTTTCAAGTTCAGGAGTTAACTCTGAACCCTTGACCCCTTGCATGGATTCTTGAATTTTGATTCTTTGGCACCGGAAGGCCTGAAAAGGAGGCCTTTGGCAGATCCGGTCGCATCCTAATTCGAGCCACAGGTCAAACTTGTAATCTCTACAAAATGCAAATTTTACGACCTCCCCTCCTGCCGAAGAGAAGGGGCGGTTTTGAAATTGTAAACATCAATCTTGCCATTCACTGGCAGTTTGCTCCTTAAGCCGGGAAGTTGTAAGGTGTACCCAGGTCCACTGCTCCATCGGGATGCTGGCCTGTACACCCGAAGACACTCGAAGCCTTCGGCCTGCACTCATTAACATATGCATGCACTATACCAAACCACTTAGCAAAAGCATGCTACTGTCAATGCATACGTACATTGTCTGTTTATTTGTCTGTCTGTCTGTCGGTAAGTAGGTAGGAGGGTAGGTAGGCAGGTGAGTAGGGAGGCACGTCGGCATGCATGTACTCGCTCCACACACGCTGTCCACACACAGCCGTGTGGGCGATTACCTATTGTTTACATAAAGGAGACAGACATAGAAACACACACTATAGTATGTGTGTGTGTCCGTATCCATGGATGATACATATTTGTTTATACATATCTGTATATTATATATATATATATATATATACATATGTATATATATATATATATATGTATTTAGACGTGTGTTTGAATATGCATGCAAGTGTGCATATACATATGTATATATATATATATATATATGTATGTATGTATATATATGTGTATATATGTATGTGTGTGTGTGTGTTTCTGGCTGTCTCGATTTTTGTTTCAATGTTCAAATTGTAGATGTGTATGCTTGCAGATTTAAAGGTAAACGTATGTGCATATACATATATACATGCACATATGTATATAGATATATATATATATATATACATGTATATATGTATATACACATGATGCAGGGCTGCCCCCGCTTCCCCCTTTGCTGAAAGCCAGAGGTTCGCCGATACATACGTACATACATACATACATACGCACATATATGCATACATCCCTTTTTGGTGTCATTCTAACTATCTAAAAATACATACGCATATACACAATCATGTATGCATGTTTGTATGTATGCATGTAGGTGTAGGCATGCATGGGTGCATGTTTGTACACACTATCTGAGTATTTGTGTCGTTTCACATACCTGCATGATACTCGTTTCACATACATGCATGATACTTGTATGTCATACAGGAGGGTTGAGCAAATTGCCTTTGCAACAAAACACTGTTTCAAACTCTAGTGAAACCTTAAGTAGGTTCTCTGAGATAGCTTCGGTGCGTAAGAAAGATATGGTGGAATGCAACATGAAAATCCCGTGTGCTTACCCCGATAGCACAGGAGGCTGGTACACCACGTGAACGGCAGATTTTGTTATCTCTTAGACCGAGTCTGAGAGCGCAGCAGCCGTACGGAGTATCCCTCCTCGCCGGAGGCATACGAGAGTGTCCAAAAAAGACTGCTCTGACAGAGACCGGAAACCCCAAACAGAGCGGTTATTGAAGGTTGTGTGTTCCCCTCACGCAGTTCTACGGTTTGGAAGCATTGATTCGCCAGCGTTCGCTGTTAAGACCCCCTCAGTGCTTCTGTCCTTGTCGCAAGAAAGGACACATTTGGTTGCTGGTCAGATGTTATTCGTGTTTACAGCCCCGCAAGAGGGGGCAGGTACTACTGGAAGACCCGAAACGCGAGTTCGGGCTTAAGGCGGCTTAAGGTAGGTTGTCAAGTTTGGATTCTGCGACGGTGTAAAAGGTATACACGATTTGCCTCCAAGCTTTGTTGGCTCCCAGCAGAAGTTGGGGTCGACAACGCGATGTACTCTGCTCGTGTCGGGTCGCATAGCCACAAACTCCGCGAACCCTGTAACAAGCCAACGCCCGCATTGGCGTTTTCATGTTGAGCTTGGGCAGGCTTCGGTGAAGCACGGTTCAGAGCTTAAGGCCCAACTCTTGTATCCCCAAGGCCGGAAGACGAAACAAGAGAACGACTAGGTGTCGAGTCCCTGGACAGGAGCAGTATGCCAAAGTTCACCTTGAGCTGAATGCTCACCTTTACTACGGTGCAGCGGAGGTCGGAGAGTCTTCGCACTAAGCCAACAGGATATTGAGTTAAACGGTGTTGCAGAACTACATACAACATCGCCAAAGGGACTTGGACATGCAGAGTTCGGAACCATTTTGTGAGGTTGGCTGGTGCATTATTTGGCTTGAGGTCGATGCTATTGCAACCAAAGCAGACAAGCAGATGGTGCCGCCTTGAAATTTTCATGCGGGCTCATGTCAGTGATATCAGGCTCGCATCCTTACTTACGTCATAGATGTCGTTGATGATGGCAGTGTTTGACGTCCTTCTCCATATGTCATACCCAGGTGTGCGACGACGGCCTCCATCATAGACTCCCAATCCTACAACATGCAAAACCGCTCATAGGGCCTTTTGCCGAAAACCCTGTGGGACTGCAGGACATCGCATGAAAGCAACCAAAATAAATCACCCTTTAGCCGCCCCAATCTTCCCAAGCCGTAATTCATACTTCGTAGCCAAGAGCTCCTGAACCTAGTCGATCACCACGGACCACGTGCAAAGCTACTTCGGCAAGCAGAGGCCCAACCCAGGGTTGGGGTTTTACCGAAGGCCCCTTAAAGTGAACATACGACCCTGTGTTGTGTTTGTCGTATGTTGTATGTAAAAGACCCTTGCTATGTAAGTATACTTGGTTACATATGTATATAATATACGTGTATGTATATATATATATATATACATACACACACAAGTACAACGATAATGTCCACAAATCTTCAACCTGCCTGTCCATTGATTAAGCAGTTTCATGTGGTCTTATCTACATCTATGTTTGAATGCCATGCATGTGTTGGGCATGATGTGTGTGTATACACTGGACTCACCGTATCAATTGCTGGTATTCTCGTCGGGCCTAACGAAGGACGGGTCTTCTTTCTACTTCTGCACTTTTGCACTGCCGTGGCCTACGACGGTAGCGGCACCTCCTGTATGCCGGCGATCGTACCTCTTACATTTCCGGTAATACGTGCTTGCGCCAAGGCAGTACTACCGATTACGGTTCGTTACTGATCCCACTCTCCCGCTGAAAAAAGCCTGATATCCCAGTCGCCGTGAGGGTTTGAGGTGAGGGTACTGGTAGTAATCTTCAGAAAGCGCAACTTTCCAGAGCTGAATCCCTTCAGGTGTATCAGTAAATCCGGAAGCCTCAAGCCCCGTCGAAGCTTAGGTTTAGAAAAGATGAGTCAAGCACCAGCCTCAAGTTGCGAAGCAAGAGACTCCAACCCTCAACTCCCAAGCTTAGACATCACACCTCGATGGAGACCTCCGGATGGATCTCGTAGTAAGGTCCCTGTAAGAGAGCCTGAATTTTGAAGGTTGGCGTTTCGGAATTTCAGGCTTTGGAAGCAGCAAGCAAGAGAGCTTCAAGCTTTTTCGCCTTATGTTGTACCTAGAGGCCGTGTCGTAGAAATGTTCGAGTCATTTCGTGTCGAGTCGGCATAACTTTCTATTCGGCTCTTTCCGACTGGCCCTTACTGTCGAAAAAACATGCAAATTAAGTGACATTCTCAAAATACACATGCTTAAGGTAAGACTCTCGGTTGCACATGCAGAGACGTTCGAACAACATACTGGTTGTAGTTGCCATGCTTTTGTTTTCCTCCACTGCTTGGTTTGTAGATGCACACGTCCAAGGCCTCCCCTTGGAGAGGCGGAAGGACTGGAGAACTATCTAACCCCGAGACTCTAGACCCCAAACACATGGAGAGCTTTCAGAGCGTTTCAGAGCGATTGGACCAACCGCGGCTCTTCGAACACCATCTTGCTGCAGCGGAAACCTGAAACTTTGGGGACCTGAATATGAGAATCCCTACTACATCTATCGTCGCAGTCCTACAGAGGTCATTCGCCCCGCACTGCTCGAAGCCCAATTGAAGATTGGATGGAAGAGCGCCAATCCGAAGATGTGTCCTACAGTCATTCCTGCACCCAAATCTTGACCATGATAGCCTCGTCCACGAAAATCCGTGAACTTCAACCTAACTGAACCCCACAGCCACTCGAAGCCCAAACCCTTACACCTGAATGCTTTGGATTCAATCCTCGCTGGGCGAGGTTGGAGTTGCACATCGTCGCACCTGGGTCCTACGGTGCCCAGGCCTTGTGCCATCACGCACGTGAGCACAATTCTGGCTCGTAAGGTGCTACAGGGAGTTGCAGGAGCCTTACGGAAATCAGAGGTACAGGTCGAAGCGCCTAGGCCTAGGATGTTCTTTGCGGTTTTCGAGGGCTTTATCGCCTCGCTCGGCAAAGGCTGGCAGGGTCTAAGGAAGGGGAATGGAGCAGCTCGAAATCCAAGGCCAGCATTGTCGGGAGACGTTGGCAGGCCTTTTGACCTTACGGCCAAAGTCTAAAGGGCCTTGAACCGGCATGACTTCGACAAAGCCTCAACCCCCCCTGCAAACGAGGCTTTGGCCAGTAAGCCCCCCAATCACCCTTGCACTCAGATATGTAAGGTCCTAGCTTGGCTTTAGAATTTTGCGGCTTCAAGACTTGGAGTCTGAGTCGTGAATCCTTTAGAGTCCTTACGTGTTCCAACTATAGTAGCCACACAAAACATAGGCAGGCTCCAGCTCTATCAACCGGCATGCGACAACCAGTGCGAAACCCTGTGCTTAAGGGGGTCTGAACGATTGGAACAGGATTTTGGTAGGTTACACTATAATTGTATATGGACGTAGAGGATGTTATTACCCCATATACGAAGCCCCAACCCCAAAACTAAACCCCACATCTTCATGTCTAAAGCTAAGCACCCAAACAGCTCCAATGAAAAGCGAAAGCAGCAAATCAAGGACCCCTAAGTTGTAAGGGTCCACTGCAGTTCATGGACCATTGTAGCCTTAGGGGAGCAAGTTGCAGTAGCCATATGGTAGGAAACTCTGAAAACCCAATCGAAGGACCTCTACCTCTGGAAGATGGTCATCACGCCGCTGAGTGGCGAGATTGTGCCGGAGGCGGTAGAGCTTTCTTTGGTTTCAGGAGTGTAGGACTCTTCAGGTTTTGCGGAGTTTTGGGTTCGGGGACTCGGAAACATATTAGGGGTTTTGGACGGTCTTAGTGTCGCAGGGTTTGGGTTTGTGGTTGGGGGTTTTGGGATTTTGGCGTTCCGGGTACTGGGGTTTCAGGACTTTGCCGGTGAGAACTCTTCGTGTACGCACAAGGATCCGTTGGCACCAGCTGTCCTTGCAGAGCCATTAGCCGTAGTGGTGTGATTGCAGCGATGATACGGCCACCGTCTGTTGCTACTGAAAGGTTCGGAGATAGACAGAAAGCTCTCCAAAAACCGCAACCCTAAGCTCCGTCATCCCCAACGGCAAGGCCAGCGTGGAAGGCGTCAGATGTAGTACTGAACTCTCAATCCTAAGCCATGATAGGGCCCGGGCCCGAAGCTCTCTGACCTTTCCCCGCCGTACTTTCCACGGGCCTTCCTGCTGCTCGATAAGGTTTCGGATTTCTGGAAGTTCCACAGCGTGTGTCATTTTCTGGAGTAAGGAGTCGAGCACTTCCGATTCATGATTTCGGGACTCGGTGTTGGGTGCTGGGGATGTGGGGTTGAACCAGGGCTGCATGAACTCAAGTCGCAGGATGCAGAAGTTTGCGGCTTCAGCTGCCTGAGCCTCCCAAGTACGCCCCGAATGCCCTCCCCCCACAACAACAAAGAAGATTTCCTTGAGGTTGAGACCTAAGCCCAGTAAATCCAATGAGAAACGACCCTCTCGGCCTGTTGGGTGTTAGGACTCGAGCCTTGAGCTCAAGGCGACCACGGGCCGTTTCGGAAGCGGCTCCGCTGTTTTAAGGTTTGGGGTGTTAGGGTAGGTCCTGACTGTCAGACCCCTCGGAGAGAGGTTCTCGCATTTTCCTGACACATCGCCATTAGTTGTTGATTCACCAGAAGAGAGCCCGAGAGTGGTTGAGGTGGGTCGCTTTCTGGGATTTGGAACGGGTTGGTGCGGACAGTTTGGGGGGTCCGTCTGGGGTCTAAGTCTAGGGGTTGTAATTAGCTAGTTGAGCTAGGTCTTGCCATACGTTCGATCAGTTTAATGAGAAACGGGTGCTCCCTCCCCAGACTCTGGATGTTTCTTATTCGGGTGTGCATGGCAATAAGAAATTTCCCACTGTCGAGGGTCCGGAAGTTGCGCGATAAGGCAAAGGGCTGATGTGGCTTGGGCTAGGGGTTGAGGCTTCCAGGAAGTTTTATTTTGGGATTCTAAATTTCCCGGTGCCAGAGCGAATTGAACCTGCCCACATGTGGATCCGAGAGCAGGCGCAGGGTTCAGGACATTTATTTTTCGATTCTAAATTTTCTGGATCATTTTTGCTGGTGCTAGGGGTCTGGCTGGAGGCTTGGGCGGCTTGCGCGGGAAAGCGTGGTTGTCCAGGAAATTTGGTTTTCAATTCTAAAATTCCGCAGCCTCGCCTGTGAGGCTAGTAGAGGCTCCAACTCAGACTTGCACAAGCTCTTCGAGCTTGGTGTTTTCAGGGTTGGAAGTTGGGTTTAAGAGTTTTGGGCGTGGCGGGGGGGGTTCTAATTTAAGAAATTTCGGCTTAGCGAGGGTCTAATTTCTTATTTGTAATGATTTCTTATTATATGCGTTGCGCTGCCCGTAGAAGAAGTGCTGAAGTTTACGGTTTAGGCCTAGCTTCAGGCGTGGCAGGGTTCGTAGGACGTGGGCTCTGAAGAGATGGGGGTGGCCTGTCAGCCTCTCTTCAACTTGCAACAGGGGTCCTGCTGACGGGTCCGAATTTCGGACAAGCCCAACGTGTGCCCAAATCCATCGCTGCTGCGTCCTGCAGTCGATGAGGCCAGAAGCTTACTTTGAAGCTCATGAAGTCCAAGAAGAAGCGCTGGTACAAGGTGCTTCAGACCTGAACCCTAGCCCAAAAGAGATTCCAACAGCTGTCACCCCAAATCTTGCAACAGCTCAACCCTCTAGCCCCTGAACCTCCGAAACTCATGAGCAGCCAGAACAACTCAGCCCCTACCCCACGAGATCCTCTGAGGTCGGAGGTATCCCGAGGCTCGAGACCCAAGAATCCCAGTCCGCCTACGCTCCATAGCCTCCCCCGCCCGAAACCCTCCCAAAACATCTCGCTGTTGCAATTGCTAAGACCCCCGACTCTGTACTGCTGGATTTTCCGAGAACATGATTCGATCGCCTTGTTTCCGTGGCCATAAAGCCTAAACCTGAACCTTAAACCCTCACCACCAGTGACGGTACGGTGGCAGCTGGGGACAGCGACGGGGTCGTAGGTACTGTGATATGCTCACTGTTATTATGCACGCAACAATAGTGAAAACGGCCATGGTGTTATTCTTATATTTCGTCTCATGAGTGCAACTCCTATTTTGCTTACCTCTTTCATTTATTGGGGTATTACGACTATTACGTATTGCTATCATTACGATCATTATTCTTCTTACTACTACTACTACTACTACTACTACTACTACTACTACTACTACTACTACTACTACTACTGCTACTGCTACTGCTACTGCTACTGCTACTGCTACTCCTACTACTACTACTACTACTACTACTACTACTACTACTACTACTACTACTCCTGCTGCTTCTACTACTACTGCTGGTGTTGTTGTCATTGCGGTTTACCTTGTACATCTTCTTCATGATCACACCGTCACCTTCCCATCATCATCATCGTTGTCACTGTTTACTTACGGCCAAGATTTGTAGTAGCAGTTGCCGCCTCGCGCAGGGTTGCTATTCTTGCAAATTTCCTTGCAATCATTGCTTTGTTTACCGCGGCCCGAGGGTTGCTCTACTGGCCGTCCTCTCGGAGCTCAAGAGTGCGGGCTGTGTGTGTGTGTGTGTGTGGAACACCTGTTTGCCAAGGTTTGCCGATTTGCATAGTTTTTGCAGGGGGACGTGGCATGAGATCAGGGACCACGTCCAATGAAGCTACCTGATCTCATGGGAAGCAGAGCTTGGCCAGCTCTGTGTACCTGCAGTAAAGTGCTAGTGATTGCATTGGAATGGCACTGGGGCCAAGCCATAAACCCCACATGAGTGCAGTTTTGTTTAAGGCCAGAGGTAAAGCTTAAAACCTCTTAAAGTCCTACACCTCTGAATGATTCGACTGAAATTCTCGAGAGTTACATTAGTCCAGAGGGAGGATTGCACGAGTGTGCTCTAGACGGCTTTCGTCGATCGTGTCGTCTACGGTAGGGTAGCCTACTGCCCGGCCCTGATCGGCCCAGTCAAAATCACAGGACCCTGATCGGTCCAAGCCCTGATCGGCTTCTTGCCAAAACAAGACCTCTTGGTCTCTAGAGATCGAAAATGCTCTACGGAGCAATCATACGCAGTTTAGGGCTTGATTGCCCAGTTGCAGACAGGACTGATGCCCTTTCGTTTTCACAACAGCCGTCAGTCTGATCAAGCAACTGTTCTCCCCTGGACAACTGATCTCGCCATGGCCTCTTGGTCATCATCATCATGGTCTAACAGCGACTCCAGCAACAGCTGGGACAACCGACAGCAATGGAATCGATGGAGCAAAGAAGACAAATGGGACTCCAAATACTCAGAGAAGTCGTGGGAATGTGTAGCCAGTCCCACGTATCAAACTTTTTCTTTGCCGTCTTCTTTTGTCTCTGATGACCAGCACTATGACAAGACCCCTTTGGGCAAAGGTGCTCATGTGCTGCATAAGTTGGTTCAACCCACAGAGTGGTCTCGCAAAGCTGGGCTGGCTGGCCGTGATGTCAGCGACATCCGTGCCTTTGAGCTTGCCCATCGAGGCCTTGGAGATTTCTCATTTCGATTGTTGTCAGAAGGACGGCACCAGAGTATCGTCTGGGCTCGAAGCGGCCAAGAATCGGTACTCATCACAGCACTGTTGAAGAAGCTTCGTGAAAGTGGTGTTTCTATCGATGAGGCAGCAAAAGCATGCCATACTTCGGCTCCTCCAGACAAGCATAAGGAAGCAATGCGATTCATGGAACCGCTTGCTCAAGAACTTTTGAATTGTGTTTTGGCCAAAGCGCCTCCAACAAATCCAGATGCCTCCGAAGAACTTGCCAAAGCTAAAGCCAAACTGGCTGAGCATGGCATTGCAATGTCCCCTCTGAAAAGGAAGGCGACTGAAGATCCTGAGCCTGACTCAGGACGACGGGCAAAGCCTGCCATGCCCATTGCTGAGCCGGAATCCCAAATGGAAGCTGAACAGCTCCTTAAAGATCCGCAACGAAAGCTGGATACTCGTCCCAAAGGAGCCACAGATGACCATGTCACTGAATGGCTAGCCACTTACAAGAACAAGCCAGAGTTTAAAGGCAAGTATCAAATGTTGGTTAAGCATGTACAGACTGTCCAGAAGCTTCTCAAAACTGAAGCATCTAAAGACCAACTGGTTGCAGCTGCTAAAGAGTTTGGTCTGGATCCAAAGTTGGCATCCAGACTGTCTATCAAGAATTTGTCTACTGTGATTGCGGTTGCACAATTCCAAACTGCTTGACTAGCAGTTCAATGCCAACATCTTGCTGCTTCAAGCAAACAAGGAATCAAGCAGCAAATTTGTATGTTGGGAGAGGCTGTGACGTTCTTTTTACACCACTGTCCGGGCTTCAACAAAGAGTCTGCATTGTGGGCCCAAGGCCTGCTTCATCTTCTGTTGCTATTTTACTTTCAAGAAGGATCTCCGTCTTCGTATGCTGAGACCATTCGACAGAAGCTTCAGCAGTTCCGGGTACACCCAGCCACCTACACGTGGCCCAGATTTCAATCACAAAATGCGGTGTATATGAAAACAGCAGTGGATTGGCGCCATTTTTCAAGCATTGAACATTACAGGCAGCCTTCCACATTCATGTACATAGGCTCCACCAGCCAATCTGTTTTTCGAAGAGAGTCCAACAGATTCTCAGTTGCCAGGAAGCTGGCAAACGGGGGTGAAGCTCAGGCCGAGCTAGCCATCCGATACTGGGTGTCCAATCAGTGTCTTGAGCAGTACACTTTGTTTCTCGTTTCTCCATGCTCAAATGTGGCAACCCAAGCTGAATCACCCGTACATCACCTCCTTTCTGAAAAGGAGTGCATTGGGCTTTAGACCCAACAAGAGAGTTCGACACAGTGTGTCTTCCAGGTTCGGGTTAAGACTGTGGAGAAAACTGAGAAAGAAGCTCCACAGACAACTTCAGCCCGTTCCTTTTCAACTCAAGAGACGGTCGGCATGGGAGATACTATTCAATCTTACATGCTTCAGCCGTGCCCCCTTTGAAGAGGCAAAAAAGCTGCGAAGCGACCGATACCTTCCAGATGAGATTTACTCTTTGGTTCGCTTGAGCAACTGCCTGGAAGAGCCTGGCAAAAGTAAAGCCAGGAAGGTGCTCAAAAGTGTTTGCCAATTCCGAAACATGTCCTGGCCAATGGCAACACTGGGCTTGCAGTTGAAATTCACTGCATCCCCAGTGAATCCCCAAGCTTTGGGTCAGATGTTTCTAGATGGATCCGAAAGCTTGTATTGGCACACAAGCCGATCCTTATACCTTTTCACCTTCCAGTCTGCAAAGTCAGAGAGCAACCTCATCAGTCTCTCAAGGACTTCATGCACAATTTCAAAGACTGGGACCACTGGTTACAGAATCATTCTGTTGATGAAGCACCATGCCCTTGTAGTTACTATGCCAAACTGTTGCCGGAACAGTGCCTCACTCGAGGCCATGTTGTAGCAGGCATAGAACAGCTTGGCAGCCTTCACCGCTCCTTTGAAAAACTAGGGAGTGGTAGTGCATCTTCAGCCTTTTTTCCTTCCAAAAGAGAATTTTTCAATCACAACACCCGTCTGTTTGCATCTTGGCGGCGCAAGCATTGTCTTCCTAAGGGTGTTGATTTAGCTTTTCAGCAATTTCTCGAGCAACAATGGAGCAAACACCTCGATCACCTGGGCCAAGAAAATCGGCTCACATGGAGAGATGTTTCTGCTGCTCGCGATTTACTGCATCGACAGTTCATTGTTCATTGCGAAGACCATGAGCCGAACCATCTTATGGTCTTCTGTCCCAAATTTTATCTTCAAGCTGCCATGAAGACCTGGCAGGATCCAGATGTTTTTGAGCCTGTGGAAGGCTCCCAAGAACTCTGGAACCAGAGAGTTTTCCAACAGATTCCCGGCATACTGAAACGACGATATAGATGGGGAATCAATGCTTCCGGCACCTTGCCTGTTGGGTTCGTCTTTCTCAAACGCAAGAAAGAATTTTTGAAAGGGAGGACGATAATATCGTACTCCAATAGCTGTATCAAGAAGTTGTTGATCGCAGCTGCACAAGCGATTCTTTTGATGGTTCGCTTGGTCTGGCCTGAAGCAATGGGCCTAGCAACTACTCCCCAACTTTGGAAGAAGCTGCATCAGTTTCTCCGCCGCACCCCTTCTATGGTGCACCTCGCTGAAATCAATGATGATCTTGTGGGATTTTTCAACTCTGTGCCCAGACAGCAAATCCTGGATTCGTTGTCGATGCTTGTACAGCTGTATCAAGATCAGGAGTACCCTCCACACATTACGGTATCCCTGAAAAAGCAACCCAACTGTGAGTCTGCTTGGCCTGGTAAACCCATGGCAAAGGGAGCCAAACACATAAGGTTTCTTCATGTTTCGGACCTGACTGCGATTGTACAGACCTCTTTCCAAGCAGGAGTGTTCACCACTCTTGGCTTATTGTTCAGGCAACACCGGGGCACTTGTATAGGTAACCAAATCAGCCCGGTCCTCAGCAGTCTTCCGGTAATTCAGCGAGAATCCTGTTGGCAAAGAGAATGGCACCAGTTCCTGGAATCTGCTAGGTTCTTTGACAACCAAGCATCGGAACTGTTTGTCTGCAGATATGTTGACAATCGACTTGTAGTGTGCGATGAGAACTTTCTATCGCACCAATGCATGAAAGATTTTCAACACCTCTCTTTTTACGGAGGAACTATCCAGCTGGAAGAAGTTACGAATCATCAATTTCTGGGCTTCCGGCTCAACATGGCCAACAGAACAGTGACCTACCTGCAACCAGACAAAGCCTGGTCAATCAGAAACCCAAGATCTGCAGGAAGTTGGTCCACCCGAATTTCAGGCTATTTATCTTGGAAAGCTTTGATTGTACAGTACGCATGGCCTCCGAGCAGTCGCAAACATCAACTGCAGGCACTTCGCCAATTGTACATAGATAGAGGCTTCCCTGCAGAAATGCTGACCTGAAAGTGTCAAAACTCCGATTTCTGTGGTCAGTGCGCGACGTCTGTATCGTTTGCTGTGCACATTTATTTCCAATACTGTAAGCTGGGCTCGTGACGACTTTTATAGTCTGTCCCTTGTGTACCCCAGCTATGGCATCGTACGTCTTTCAGTTCTTCTGCGGCGAATCCCAAGGATCCAACCCGCAGCCACGTGTTCTTGCATTGCAAGGACCAGTTGAGGAAATACATCCTCAACCGCGACCGAGACCAGCTTTATCACATCGAGCACACAATGCCTCCAGATCCCCTTCGAGGCGTCGTGCAAGACATTCTGGCTCACGGAGGCCACGGCGAAGCCGTACACCAAGAAGGACCCGGCCACAGATGGATACACCAATGTATCCTCCGGGCAACTGGAGAGCCCCAGCACCTTGGGTTCCACCACCAAGGCAGGTCATGCCGCCACCTTCGGTACCACCGCCTCCACCATTTGCTCCCCCGGGCAATGTGTCAGCATACTGGTTTCCACCACCGCCGCCTTTGTCACCACCTGTGGCTACACCTTTTGCGGCTCCAGATTTGCGAAGGCCAGCTGAACCTCGCACACCTCCGAGGTTAGCCAGGCCCAACAAGGCACCGCAACAGGCGGTACCAACAGCACGAGCCCCAGCAGCTGATCTTCCGGGCCCAAGCCAGCCCACAAAGCAGGCCAAGAAAGGGTCAACGGCCTCCAATCAACTGGCCCCATTGGAGAGCCAGCAACAGATTGATGATCAGTTTTTTCGGAGCCTCATGTCTGCCAACATCAATGATGTTGAAGACCAGCTGGAAGTCCAGCTGTCGGGATTTTCAGCAACAGATCATATACCGGGAGGGATGACCACCCTGAGTCAATACCTTTTCTACCGTCAACAACTTTTAACGGCTCCTTTCCCGGATCAATGGGTTATGGCTCCCTGGCAAGCACTGCGAAGCAATGCAGCCCGGACGGCACTGGTTCGTAAGTACCAGCGCCCCTTCGCATCTCTCAAAGACCCTGAGAGACAACGATGTGCTCGGTTTTTGCTCAGTTTGTTTCCGGAGCCGGTGCCACAGAATACAATCGGCACAGAAGAATTTTTTGGCTTCGTGGACTGCATTTTGCAGTCCAGACTTCACTATGAGAGGCACTTCGAAGAAGGTGCCTCAATGTTTCATGATGTGGAAGAAAATGTAGTCGGATATCGGTTTCGGTGTACAGGCTTTCCAGGCCCACCCTTGGCCCAGCAAAACTGGCATCTATGGGCACATGCCACTACGAGGGAAGGAGCCACCGGAATTTTGGCTACAGGCAAGATCCTCCCTACGGATCACAGTGTAGCTGGCCTGGAACCTCAAGAAGATACCTTTTCTTTTTACGGCAGAAGTACAACAAACCCCAACTGGGGTGCAGGAGTTGTACAGCTCGCCTGCAAGTGTTACCACTCAACCAAGAATTGTTCTGGAGTGGTTTTTGCAGGCTTATTGCCTAGCAACCACATTAAGGGCAAGAATGCATGCACCAGATATGAGAACAATCTGGCGAGATTTCATGCCCTGGTCCACAGCTGTTCTTCGGACAAACGCTGGGCAATTCGGTTCGCGGCAGCTCGAATTGATTTTGTCTTCGTTCTTTCAGAACGAAGCAAAGCTGACTATCCTCAGCATCAGAGCCGACAGCGCCGCAGAACTAGAGTCAAAGCTGTCGGAGATGAGCCTACTTTGGCTCTAGCAGATGGCCCTCCAGATGACGACTGGGGCCCATGGGCTAATCCGAAAGCCCCTAAGATAGAGCTGCCTGATGTAGAGGAACCGGAGGAAGAGAACCTCATGGCAGCAGCGGCAGCTTTTTCAAATGCTTCGGCTGCAAGCTGATTCAATTCGTACAGCAAGAAAAGAATTTACATGCCTCTTGTGCTCAGTGTTCAATGTTGCAATGTCCTGCATATGCAAATCTATGCCAGGATATAAAGTTTTTGGCTCCCATGCTGTCCGGTTTGTGCACTGGCCATGGATCAAGCTGTGGAGCATCGGCAGCCTTCACCTGTTTCATCAACGTCCTCGTGGCATTCTGCTTTTGATCCTCCTGAGGAAGCTCGTTCTTCCCGTGAGCAGAAGGTAAGTCTCAAAGACGAAGCTTCTCGCAAGAAAAGCAAGAAGCATAAATCCAAGAAATCCAAAAAGATTTCAAAGGACAAGGATCAAGCCAGTGTGAAACATTCTTTTACAGTTGAGCCAACCACCTCCCGCGTGGTCAACACCGGGGACGTGGTACTTGATGCCATTTGCAATAGCAAACCTGTTTCTGCCCCTACTGGGACCAATACCAGGGTGTACAAAGGCAGAGGAGTAGCCAAGATGATGGCTCGAAGCGGTTTCCGGTGTACATGCCATTATGTGCGTGCCCACCTTTGTCCAGCTAGGCTCATCGCCAATGAATTTGGCGACGGGACATATTTTCACACTTCAGAGTAAAGCCATTTACAGCTTCGTTGTGTTAGCCAGAAAAGCCGATCTTCCCTTTGAGTGATTTCCTGCCGAAAACCTGCGACAAATTTCATGAACTGCAGGCTCCATCGGCTTTATTCAGTAATCCACTCTCTCTACAAAGCCACATGTCGGCCTTGTCGCTGGTTGTGTCCGAACCTGCCATTGTGGCAAGAGTGGTATCATTTGTTTCATCGCGAAAGCACATCTTCTTCTTCTACTACAATCCGGCGTTTTGGACCGAAGAAGATCGCGATCAACTTGAGCTTGATGATTCTTCCGAATCAGAAGAGCCGTATCCGGACAGTGCGGCTCGTGTCATTTCTGATCGCATTCGTCAACGTTTTCGCTCTGTTCTGCCCGCTGATACTTCACTCGCACTTGGGAGCCTTAATTATGGGTCCATTCGCGAACATTTTGTACAAAGGGAGTGCCCAGCACAGCCACCTGGCTGGCCCAATGTACTCTATGTACCTATAATGTACAATGCGGCACCAATGCCACAGATCACCTTTTATGGGGCGGTCAACCGAGTATTCTTTCGATCTGTCCTTTATCTCTATAAAGGAACACTGTACATCGCTTTTCGGCAATTGCTGCTACAATCTCAGCAGAAAGCCATCTTTTTTGATTGGCTCTGCACCGGTCGAGAAGATCGATTTCGAGTGAGCTCTACCCTTATTTCCGATTTGCGAGTGTTCCGTGTCATTTCACCCCTGGCTGATATGCCATAATCATCTGATGGCGACGCTGAAAAAATCACGGCTGATCGCAGAAGATCCTTGTTTTCAACGATTTCACTGATGAAATACCTCCGTAGTCTGTGGCTTTCAGTGGAGTGTACTGAGTACATCATGTCGGACCGGAGCCGATCTCGTTCTCCGCAGATTTCATGGCGTTTCTACTGGTCTAAAAGCACGGCAGCTGATGGTCAAGACCATTGGTGGAAAACGTGGTTCCCTGCAACACAGCATTGGATCCAAACTCGCCTTACTGCGGACAGGTTGTGGAGCTCAAGCTCATATCAGCCCGAGACTACCAGTGCTCCTTCCAATCGCACTGATTGCTCTGAGTCTCCTCGAAAAAGGAAGAGGAACACTTCTCCGTGAAAGTTCAGTGCTGCATGTTTAATTCGTTCTTGCCAGCATTCAAGCTGGCCATTAATTTCTTTAACAGTATGTAAGGCTGCGTACCCATCAATGGGATTCGCAACCACCATTGATCTGTGTTACACAGCACCAACTGGGCGGTAGTGTAAAAATGCGCCCTGATGTTCATCAATACTGTGACGCCATCAAAGGCTACCCCGCTCTGCGGGGTGTGTGTGTGGAACACCTGTTTGCCAAGGTTTGCCGATTTGCATAGTTTTTGCAGGGGGACGTGGCATGAGATCAGGGACCACGTCCAATGAAGCTACCTGATCTCATGGGAAGCAGAGCTTGGCCAGCTCTGTGTACCTGCAGTAAAGTGCTAGTGATTGCATTGGAATGGCACTGGGGCCAAGCCATAAACCCCACATGAGTGCAGTTTTGTTTAAGGCCAGAGGTAAAGCCTAAAACCTCTTAAAGTCCTACACCTCTGAATGATTCGACTGAAATTCTCGAGAGTTACATTAGTCCAGAGGGAGGATTGCACGAGTGTGCTGGGCTTGAGGGATTGACGCATTAACCTAACCCCTCAATGAAAGTTGCCACATCCCGAAAGACGCATCCCCAAACTATGGTACAACTTCCAAATCCCATCAAGAGCCCTTGGCACCCAAAGTCCTCCGACAGGTCGGACAAGCTGTGACCGGGCAGCGCATTTGATTTGAGAGCAGTCCTCCTCCTGGCAGGTTAGGGGCACTAGGATCCCCTTCTGACTCTGGGATCTTTCCCTAGTCACATACATTAAACAGGAGGTGCATAGATTTATTTTCTGTCTATGTGTATGTGTGTATATGTATATATGTACACATGTATGTATGTATCTCTCTCTCTCTCTCTCATACGTATGTGTATGTATGTATATATGCACCTGCGTAAGAACATGTGGTGCACGGTTTGGCCTACTTATTATTTGTTTCTGGGCTGCACATGCGGTGACGATGTATGAATGTATGGATATATGGATGTCTGCATATGCTTGCATGTACGCATGAAATGTATTCTAATGTAGCGTATGCAACGTACATGTCTGTGTCGCTGCGTGCCTGCCTGCCTGCCTGCCTGGCTGTCTGTCTGTCTGTCCATATGAGCATGATGCATGTACTGTATGTATGTATGCCTGCATGCATGTACTTCTGCGAGTATGCATATGTGTATGGTTATGCATGTATTTATGTGTGTATGCATGTGTATGTTTATGCGTATGCTTATGCCTACGTGTATGCGTATGCGTATGTGTATGTGTGTGTACGTATATATGTATGCACGGATGGAGAGGTGGATGTGTGCATGCAAGCATGTATGTACGTATGTACTGTATGTATGTATGTAAGTATGTATGTATGTATGTATATCGTTTGATATATGTATGTATGCATGCATGTATGTTTGCACGCATGCATGCATGCATGCATGGATGTAGATATTTATGTATGTAACATGTGCGCAGGCTGCTGCCTGCCCGGCTACCTGATGCCTGACTGCCTGCCTGTCCGTTAGTGTGTCTGCTTGTGTTGTGTGTGTGTGTCTTGGTACATGTATATGCATGCACGCATGTATGTTATGTCTTTGCTTTTGTTTGTGGTTAAGTTGCTGTGTATGTATGCAGGTAGGTATGCAGGTAGTTAGCCAGCTAGCTAGCCGGCTTGCTCGGTGGGCTGGTGGGACGGCCGGTGGGAGTGTCGGCTTAGGCGTCTGAAAGGTTAAGGGGTTGGCTGAGCTATTGAGGGTTTCCTTGATGAAACCTGCTGTGGCGGAGGAATTTTGTAGGATGGTCGCAGGAAAGTCTGCTATGCGCAGGTCGACCGCCAGAAGGACCTCACAGTCCCATTTGCCGTACTCGCAATGTAGGTTCCGCATTGAACGCGCTTTTCGCAGAATCCCCTAGCCCAGGGATACGTTGCAGCCGCGGGCTAGAGAACGGCAGATTGCCTGGTGCATTGTGAGGTGGGGGGGCCCTGAGCTTCAAGCCTCACGGCAGGTTTGGGGCAAGCTCCCGTCTCCCAAACTGTTTGTCAAGCTTTATCCAGGAGTGTCCTGCCACGACGTGCAGAGAAAAGCTGACTCACGTGGAGGGATTTTGAGCTTGGTTTTATCGATGTCGACATCATAAGAAACCGGCAGCCCCCAATGTCAGAATCGCTACTGGGAGCAGCAGAGCGGTGTTAGACTCAATGTAAAACCGAAATGCTTGGAACCGCAACCTTCCAACCCTCCGACGTCGTCCGGCGCACCACGCCCAAGCGCCTCCAAAATTAAGCGTCAGAGTTCACGGGAAGCCCCCCTGGCTCATGTTCCACACCATGATGAGACACTTTGCACTTAACGTCGGGTTGGGCCGGGGCTGCTTTGCCTTGCAAGTATCGGCTGGCATGGGTAGTCACGAAGTCTCGTGCAACTTCACAGTATTAACGTGTGTTCAGCAATGAGCTGAAGATTCCAGAAGTTCCATGAGCCGTTGTGTGATGAAATCTTTAGAGCCGATATTCGGATTCAGATCTTGAGGACATTGGCTTGTCCAATCAACTTTTTTTGCATCCCAAAACCCTGCTCTGCGCATCGGGACCTCGTAGTTTAAGGCCTTGGGGGCTCGCTTATGGGTCTCAGCTTCTGCCAAAGCGCGGCTCCTTCCTCTGCCAGGCTCAAGAGCCGATTTAAGGATTCTGGATACATTGGTGTTTATGGCAGTTTATGGTTTCAACAGCCTGCACGTTAGATGGTCGAGGTCTATACCACAGACGCCGTCTAAGCTTAGACTAAGACGAACACTTCCACCCCGACATCTCACGGCGAAGTCCCTGGACTCCCAGATCCTCGAATTTGCTGGCACGTCTTCCCAATAAACAGCCTCACCACCAACTCAGTTTAGAACTCCCCTCCTTCATTGAAGCTGGTGTGACTCACCTCCTGAAGCCCAGCCATGCGCGCCCGTATTTGGCACCTTTGGCTTTGGGCTGCTGCTACCTGGTCTCCGCTGTCCTGCACAGAGACCTCTTGCCACTGTGCACCGAAGTAGAAACATAGGACCAAAGCAAAGCTACGACGGTAACTAACAGTAGTTAGTGCAAGAACTGACGCAATAGTACTACTGATCTTTCCTACAGTCAAGAGCCTGCAGCTGCTGGAATTCAATGATGTTCGGATATGTTTGGTTTCGCCGTAGCAGGAAGGCTAATCAGCAGAACGATAGTCGAACGAGTGCACTGCCGAACATTTCTCTAGTGCTTGGCAGCCAACGACTCCGGACTTCAGCTCTGCGGACTGTCTTTGGGTCTCGGTGTGGGTCTTGGAGTTTGTGGCCTAGGACGAAGGGGTCGACTGCCAGACTTGGCCCTGCCCTCCGCACTCAGGACCCGAAGCTGAGGACAAGAGAGAAAGAGAGAGAGAGAGAGAGAGAGAGAGAGATTTCACAGGTGCCGTACGCCAGTAGCTCTAGCCTACCGCACTTAATACAGTGCGTCCCGCCAACAACGGGCTGCCCCCAGCGGGGGGCTCGCCCCTCAAGCCTGGCGAAAGAAAGAAAGAGAGAGAGAGAGAGAGAGACTCATAGAAAACGCCAACACGCACAGAGCGAACTCATCCAGTTTTGAGGTCACAAAACAAATGATTGCGCTTTCACTGTTGTCGTGTCGGAAAGGGATAGGATATGCAGCTTGACGAGAGCGTAGCAGACAAGCTGATTTTAAGCAGGGTCTTCGTGAGCCTGCATTGGTCCTTATCACGGTTGCTCATGGTGTTTTTGGGATTCGTTTTCGGGATGCTAGAAATGGAAAGCCCTACTCACCTACTCCCCTTGAGATCGCATATCTTGTGGCGAGATCGAGTCCCAAAGCTATTCTTCGGAAGCGTTAGACTCCCTGAGGTAGCGCCTGAGGAGATAGTCTCTTCACTAGTTGAAATCTAACTACGCCCCATGCTGTGCAGTACTGTTTTACTGAGGTTTGAGGTCCATGGAATCTAGCTCTCGTTCGAGTTGCTTAATTACACTCTCGTTCGGGTTTGGGCATGTGCACTGTTGAGCTTGGAGGGCTGACAGGCGGCTAAGGCGGCTAGGACTAGGGGCTTTGGGACAGGCTCTGTGCTTTCGACTTGGGGAGTTTCAACTTTAGGGCTTCTTGGGATAAACCGGATGCAGAGACCAGAGATCAGGTGGGCAGGATGAAGACCAACACTGCCTCCTGCAGTCTGCATCGTCCTTGGCTCCAGAGCAAAGCTCGAGCCAGGCGCGCAATCAGGGATTCGGCTAGACTGTGGGAGGGAGTTGGGCATTCCGAAGAGCAGGAGTGAAGTCTGACGCGTTCATTATCTCGCCTTAGCCGTTGCTTGCTTGCCCAGCCACTTGCTCACTCAATCCTACTGTAAACCCAAGACAGAGGACCCCTTTCCTTCCACACCCATGCATGGGGATCCCAATCCTGCCGAGAAGCCTCTAGAGCCTCCAGACGGGTGTTTGGGATGTTCGAAAGACGGAGCAGAGACTCCGTGACTGCGAGACGTTTGCCGGTTGAGAGTTCACGTCACGGTTAAGACGATTAAGCGGCGAGGCTTCAGGGTGAGGGTGTTGGTTGCGGGCTGTCGGATTTAGGATTTGGCACAGCAGGACCCAGAGTATGACATCCGGGCTTTGAGACCGAGAACGCCCAAACGGCGACGTCGAGGGCTCGATCTCGAATCATGGTTTCGCTTGATTCATGTACACTAACGCAGTACAAACATGTTTGAGGCGCAGATTCAGGGTGCGGGGTGTAGGAGTAAACAGCGTTTCGAGCTGAAGGTAAAGTCTCTCGAATTTTCGTGTGCTTGTAGTGTTTTCTGTCCTGAGTAGCATATTCGTTCATTTTCATCATCGTCCTCGTCATCGTCACATGGATCGGTCTTGCTCCTAACTGCGATTTGGGCTGGCTTGTTCAAGCTCGAGGAACAATTGCTTTCTTGACGGACAGTTGTTCGAGCTCCTATCCTCTGTACACAGCTCCGAGTGAATTCAAGACATTCGCACGGTTTGGCAGCTGAAAGCCCTTGGGAAACACTACTGCTTGTTTGGTCCCCCGACTGCGCACTACTGAGCCACATCCTAAAGCCTGTCAAAGCCAACAACTCTGACCCTAAGCTAAACCCTACGCCTTTACCTTAAGTTCTAGCCTCGTCACGCCTGTGGCAAGCATGGCAAAGACGACGTCGACGATGAATTTGACGATGCGGATAAGGATGAGACTGGCCGCGGTGACCGTCCTCGCGACATTTTGAGCGCTGCTCACAAGGTCGAAGTTGTGGCTTTCCACAGACAGGTCAACTCTGGCTATACGGGGACTTTTCGCATCCGCGTTGCCCGTGGCCGGAGGAGCGCTCTGCGCCCAGCCCAAATGAAAGCGATGTGCGGGCCATCCAGAAAGACATCAGGGTGTAAGTGTCGGTATCTGGAAGAGGCTTCTAAGGCTCAGGGTCGTCCCGCGATCTGCGGTTTGGGTTTGCAGTGGCACTCATTGTATTGGCTGGACGGCGATGTGCAGTCTGAACTTGAACCGAACAGATCGGATGATTGCTAGCAGAATTGTTGGGGTTGCATGACGGCGCAGCACGGTGCACCGAGGATGTCAGCAAAAGCGAGCGAGAAGCTTGGCAGCGCGAGATTAGGACATGGATGCCAAGAGTTCATCCAGGGCGTCCCCGGTTTGAATAGGGATTGGCATTTTGGGTACGTGTGATTTGGGATCTGTTGTCGGACTTGATTTTGTTCGTTGCCGGATGTGTTGAGGAACTTGCGTTGAGGTTTGAGGACGAACATGCCGCAGGCATCAACAGGCACGGGTGATGAGTGGAGTCTCGTGCATGCGTCAATCCCCAAACTTCCCGAAGCATATTCTTCAGTTGCATGCATGGGCTCGCGTGTAGCGGATTAAAGTTTCCGGTTGTGGGATTCAGGCTCGGATGTTTCCGGATCCGGGCTTCAGATGTTCAGGTCTCTTCAGATCTGAACTAGTGGGCATTGCTACAGACTGAGACTATGTGAAAGAATCTTGGAGATTAACTTAAGACTGCACCCAACCTAGACCTCGATCACAAAGCAATGAAAGAATCGTCAGACCCCAGAATCATGAAGACAAGCGGCTCCAGCACAGATAAACAAGAAACCCCATCTCAATGTGGAGTGCAAGGATCGCGTTGATGAGGTCAGAGTTGAGGTCTTCACAACGGGACCGGTTGGGTCAGCAGGCAATGGGGCTGCGGGCCTCGGAATCAAGGAACTTGAGACCACAAAGCCGCTGAAAGCCACCTCGGAACCCCATTCGCGCCAAGGATGGCTTCCTGCCTAGAGGCAACCTCATCAGAGATTTGGGTTGCTGGCCTCTGGATCCGGAGGACATGGATTCATGGGCCTGTGGGTTTGCATGGCAGCGCCGGCAGACCTAAGTCACAAATCTCTTTTTTGTTGTTTGCGGGTGGTCCTACCCACCATTTGTTTGAGCCCCTACAAGAAGTCGGTACTCGGAGGGCGGGGGGGGTGCGTGGATCTCGGCGGGTTTCGGCTGACAACCGGGCGTCGGGAATACTCAGATCTCGGGGGTGATCATCGTGTGATCGGCGAGCTGCAAAAAGTCGAAAATCAACGCTCGGAGCGCGGATTTCGGCAGGTTCGGGCCAGCTGCGGTAACAGCAGAGCATCAGCAAAACAAGCGAAAGCCTCGGGATTCGCTGCTGCACATGCAATAAAGGAGCATATAAGGATCAAACTACATGTGGCGAAAGAAACACCGATTTCGGAAGCTTGATTCGCGAAGCCTAGGTGGGACCAGTGCCCAGCTCTTCTCGAGCTTGTCAGCCAGCAGGGCTGGAAGTCCTTTCACGGAGTTCTTTGCATCTTCGTGGTTTCCGTCAGGCATCCTCGCGAAGTGAAGCTACTAGTACAGTCGTGTCACCCCGGGATCCCCATCAAGCTCAGCCGAAGGCCAAAGGAGGCTCAGGGTCTCAGGCTCGCTGTCGCAGGGTTTGTGCTCAAACTGCTTAAGAGTCGAAGGACGAGGATGGGCGACAGGACGCTACCTTTCATGACAGGACATGTGCTCCTTGCCGCAATCTTGGCTAGAAACGGAAACATTGCGATCTTCTGGAGTTACATGAAGAACTTGAAAGTGCCAATGTGCCAGATGCAAGATTTGTAGCCAGTCAGACGGCTTGAGTGATTCGAGGCAGCTTTCCTGTCAGCCTATGTCGCACAGACCTGGGCCGCACCCCAATCCGCCCCGCACCCTACCCTAGCCCTATCCTGCCCTCACCTGAAACTGCGGCATGGTAAGTTTCCGTACACACGCACAGACACACTCTCACACACACACACGCAGCAGGCACGCAATAAACTTAGTCCTCGCAAACCTTGAAGTCTGAAGTAAACCCAAACCAGAAAATCTCAAAAACCCAAATGGACCCAACTCATGATCAGGTTCATTACAAGGGGCCCGGCCGATGTCGGTCTGGCTTTCCTTTTTTCCGCTTCGCAATGCCACAAGGCTGAAGGGTTGCTGGTGTTGGAGTTCCGCTATTGCTATGGTTGGGTTGAGCAGGGGGTTATGTGGACACCGGGGGGAAGTGTTGAGTAATGGCAAGACTAATTTCGGATATTGAATCCACAGTTGCAAGGCTAGCGACAGGGGAAGCAGTCACTGAGGGGAGCTTAAGACAACAATGTGGATCCGGGTAATTGAAGCAGTGTACGACTTCAATGACTAGCACCTGCGAATGCTGGAGTGTAGAGTGCTAGAAATCGAATTCTGCATCCCAAATCATCCTTGAAACTGTGTGGACTGATGAACTCGGGTAAAGGGAATTGCAAGGTTTTTTAGCTCAAGAGGGGTTGAAGGTCAACGATCCCTGGAGGGTTTAGAGGTGAGGACTCAAGGTCTAGTACGGTGTCAGTCGAAACTCTAGAACCAAAGGTCTCACTCGACACCTTGAGGCAGATGTTTTCACCGGCTTTTGGGGCACTGGGCATCCGCAGAACCTGCTACACCCTCAAGCCGCAGGTTAACAAATCCGAGCGCCTCCTATGCCACCCCTGACCCTCAAAGGACTTCTAATCTTCCCTTATTTCAGTGTTAGTGGGCTCTTGCCGGTCTGTGTCTTTGGGAGTTTGCTTTAAGTCGTCAATACACCACACAAATGCTGAATTGTGCTACTGCCACTGACGGTATAGCTGCTACACTACCATGACGACTGGTGGTGCTGCTACTAATCCTGCGAGGGCGTCGACGACGAGTGACGACGACTGCACTGCTCCTCGTGCGGCTGCCACTGCCACTACCACGCCTACGACGATAACTACCATAGTATGTGCCACGAATAAATTGTTAAACATGCAGATCACGCATCTTTTGCTTTGAACTCCTAAACCGTAAAGCTAGGCACAGAGCCCCAGACGACAAACAGGCATGGATTCCCGCGAATGCCCGCGATTCTGCATGTCAAAAGGCGGCTGGGATCTTGCAAATTTTCGGAAGACTCGGCAGCCTTCGTTGTGGTTTGGTAAGAGGGAGCTGTACAGCATGGTTGAACCAAGTTGGCTGGAGCGCGACGAAGGCGTGCGTTTTCATGGCCTAAGGGCCAGAACTATGCCCCTATTCTGAAGGGGCCCTGCACGGACCCGAAGTGCAAAGAAGGCCCTGAACGCTTTCAGCCCTGCGCAAGGATGCTGCGCTTTGCTCTTCGAATCTAACATGAATAAACCAGAGTCAAAGCTCCAAGCCTAGGTCCCTCAAACCAAGCAGAAACCCAGCAACCCCAGAACGCAAATTTAGGAGGCACCCGACACGGCACCAGTAACTTACTTCAGGTTCGGGTTTGGCGTTTGGGACGGTTTGGGGTTACTCTCAGAATCTCGACAGGTGCTCCAATCAATGCCCAAAGGCACAATAATCCAAACACTCAGCAGGTCAGCCTGCGCAACTAAAATTGTGACGCCTTGCGTCTTCACTCCCGATGATACCAAGATGCCAAAACGTTATGTATCCGGAGATCTTGTTCTCGGTGTCCAGAACCTTGCACCAAGATCCGATCTCTGGACAGGCTTGGACATGTCTGCGATCATTGAGCTTCGGTTGCGTTTGTGCCCGGCTGAGGATACCGTTTATGATCCCGAGAGGCTTCAGCATGGCTTCATGTGGGAATTTGGGATATCGGATGGGGGGTGTTTCCAGGGTTTCGAGTTCTAGGAGCTTGGGCTGCTTCTTTCATTTGATACTAGAAAACTCTGGTCGCCAACCCCGGACGCAACAACGCCCTAGCCTTGGAACACTGCGGCCTTCGGGCCCTGCAGCCCTCCACGGAACCTAGTGGCTGAAGCAGGATTTAGGATGGCAAATGTGTAGAGGTGTAGGGTCTATGGGGCTTTTAGGATCTTTAGGGTTCAGACCTCGAACCAGCCGTTGCGCCGCAGCAAATCCGCCTTGCCATGAGAAACGTCCAAACAGACCCCATCCGAGTATTCGAGGATCCATTGTTCCAACCATCATGACGTCCACGCGGACCCCATCATCTATGGGCCAACCCTGACTACGTCCATCAGACCCCATCCCAGTACCAGGACATCCATGGGCCAACCATGACAACATCCGCTCAGCCTCCTCCCAGTTCCATAGCATCCATGAGCCAGACGTGATAACGTCTACTCAGACTCCTAGCCAGGAAGCTTTCACGTCTATCATGGTCTTGCACAAGTGCAACCTGACCAAACAGCAGGTCAAGACCCCATGCAGGAGCAAGACCTGGAGCATTCTGCTGTCAATGAAAAAGAGCCCGTGGTCGACTCTCTAGAAACTCAGACAAAATCATAATGGGTGCCTTTGGCCTGATATATGCGCTGCCGCTGCAAATGCCCAAACTCTTCCAATTGTTCATGAGGTTCCACGCCTGCATGTCCGATCCTGGATGCAAAACTATTCCCTTGCAAAAGCGAGCTCCAAAGTGCAGTGCTGCCATTTCAGTGCAAGGTCACACGGGTTGGGTTGGAGCACGGAGTGTGCCAAGTTCGAACATTAACGGTTCCCTTAAGGAGGCATGAGGAAATTGAACATCAAAGGAAACGGCTGCAGCTCGGCATCACGTCGCATTTGGGCGTCTAGACTGAGGTTTGGGTAGTTCCCCGCCGACTAATCTCAAGCAACCAGGAAACAAAGGGATGCCACCCGAGGGAGTGTTGTAATCTGGTGTCTACGTTCAGGGTCTTCTTATGTAGCTAAATGTCAACAAGGCTCTCTTGAAAACTCACAAGAAAAAATGATAACAGATGATATCTTGAGCCCGAGCTCCCTGAAATACCAAGCCGGGCCCGACACTCCAAGGACATCGACAAGAAAGGCGCAAATCTTGCACTTTTGGGCTTCTGGAATTTTGGCTTCCTTCTAGGGCTTAAAGTTGGTACTGTAGATTTTTAAAGAACTAGAAAAGATAGATCGATAGATTGTATAGGTTTGATCAGATTAACGTAATAGCTGAGATCGATCGATCGTGAGGAAGTTACTTAGTTTCATAGAAAGATAGATAGACAGGAACGCAGATAAAGACATAGATCGATAGATTGCTAGAGCAGCTAGGCAGGCAGGTAGGTAAATAAGCAGATGCAAGTAGGTAGATGGAGACATAGATAGATAGGAATGTCGGGTGATAGACAGATAGATACTGCGACAGATCGATAGATCGTTATGTTGATACTTAGACACAACGACAGACAGATAAATTAGTGGGAAACAGATACAAGCAGGCAAGGGGAAAGAGAGATAGGTAAGTAGCTAGGTGGATCGACAAGACCGGTAGATCCAGATGGTCGATAGACCGACAGACCGGAGAGCTAGATAGATGGATGGATACGTATAGTTCGGATGGATGGATAGATAGAAAGGTTCTTAGTGCCACTGACGAGCGGGATCAGTGGCCGTTACAATTAGCAGTGATGCTGCTGATGGTGTACAGGGATCAGTGGCCACTAATCTCTTTCATTTTTGTTTTAAACACCCCCCTAATAATTTTAATAAAAGCACATTGGGGCGAATCCTCCCGAAACCATCCCTGCCCTTTAAAACCTGTTGGGGATTACGGGGGAGGGTTTCAAGGCTCCAAATACCGTCAGAGCACAGCAAGAGCGAGAGCAACAGCAAGAGCAGGAGCAAGAGCAGGGGCAAGAGCAAAAGCTGAGCATCAGCAAGAGCAGCAGCAAGTGTAAAGCAAAAGCAAGAGCGGGAGTCAGGGCAAGAGCAGGAGCAAAAGAGGGAGCAACAGGAAGAGCAGGAGCAGGCGCAAGAGACGCAGCAGAAGCTGGAGCAAAAGCCGGCGCGGGAGCAAGAGCAGGAGCAAGAGCACGACCCCTCAAAAGTGGCAGTATAGATAAAATCAGTGATACCTCCAATTCACAAACACTTTCAGAGTTTCTATTGCGGGGGGTCCGTTTAATGTTGGGGGGGAAGGGATTACAATTAGCAGTGACGCAACTGGTGCTACCAGGAATTGGCAGTTCTGGCAAAACAAATGAATGGCAGTGTTAGTCCTACTTTACTACTACACTACTGCTGCTACTGCTACTGCTACTGCTACTGCTACTACTACTACTACTACTACTGCTACTACTGCTACTTCTACTACTTCTACTTCTACGACTACTACGACTACTACTACCACTACTACCACTACTACTACTACTATAGTACTACTACTACTACTACTACTACTACTACTACTACTACTACTACTACTACTACTACTACTACTACTACTACTACTGCTAGTACTACTATTACTACTACTGCTACTACTACTACTACTACTACTACTACTACTACTACTACTACTGCTACTGCTACTGTTACTAGTACCAGTACCACCTACTAACTACCCACTACTTACTAACTACTACCTACTAGCTACTACCGACTAACGACCAACAACCAACTACCAAGTACCTACTGCTACGACTACTATTACTACTACTACTTGCTACTACAACTACCATGTCTACCATGACTACTACCACGTCTACGACCGCTACCACGACCGCGACCACTACCACTGCCGCGACCACCGCTACCACTACCACTGCCGCGGCCACCACTGCCACTACCGCTACGACCACTACTACTTCTACGGCTACTACTACCACTACTACTACTGCTACTACTGCTACTACCACTACTACGTACTCCCTACTACGTACTACCTTCTACCTACGACTACTACTACTACTACTGCTACTGCTACTGCTACTGCTACTGCTACTGCTACTGCTACTGCTACTTACTACTACCACGACTACTGCTGCTGCTGCTACTACTACGACGACTACTACTACCACTACTATTGTACTACTATCGCTACGGCTACTGCTACCGCTACCGCTACCACTGCCACGGCTGCCACTGCTACTGCTACAACTCTTGTTTTTTGGCAACTACCGCTACTGCTCCTACCACCCCGACTACCACCACGACCGCTACCACTACTTTCGAAACCTGCTTGGTGTTCTGTTGGTGCAGAAGTCTTGATATCCCTATTTGTGATGGGGTCACCAGGCTTTGAATGCCGCTGCGGGGCGACTATGTTGAATGCAGCGGCATGGTCCCACTCTCAGCTACGGCAGTTTCAGCGGGGTCCCCAAAATTGAAGGCCTGGAAGCCCAAAAGGCCTCTCTCCAGACTGCGAGGTTTGAATGCAGCGGTGGCAAACACTAACCGTGCAGTCGCATCAGGAGTTGTACTAGTCGTCCTCCTCGTTTTCGTCCTCGTGTTCGTCGTCGTCCTCGTTTGTGTATGTTGTTGTTGTTGTTGTTGTTGTTGTTGTTGTTGTTGTTGGTGGTGGTGGTGGTGGTGGTGGTGGCGGTGGCGGCGGTGGCGGTGGTGTTGGTGTTGGTGTTGGTGTTGGTGTTGTTGTTGTTCTTCTTCTTCTTCTTGCTGCTTCTGCTGCTGGTGCAGCTGCTGCTGCTGCTGCTACTATTCCTGCAGCTGCTGTTGCTGCTTCTGCTGCTGCTGCTGCTGCTATTGCTATGGCTAGTGCTACTGCTGCTGCTTCTGCTACTGCTATTGCTGCTACTTTTGCTTCTACTTTTGCTGCTGCTATTGCTGCTGCTATTGCTGCTGCTGCTGCTGTTGCTGCTGCTGCTGCTGCTGCTGCTACTGCTATTGCTGCTGCTGCTGCTGCTGCTGCTATTGCTGCTGCTGCTGCTGCTGCTGCTATTGCTGCTGCTGCTGCTATTGCTGCTGCTGCTGCTGCTGCTATTGCTGCTGCTGTTGCTGCTATTGCTGCTATTGCTGCTGCTGCTGCTGCCATTGCTGCTGCTGCTGCTGCTGCTGCTGCTGCTGCTGCTGCTGCTGCTGCTATTGCTGCTGCTGCTATTGCTGCTGCTGCTGCTGCTGCTGCTGCTGCTGCTGCTGCTGCTGCTATTGCTGCTGCTGCTGCTATTGCTGCTGCTGCTGCTGCTATTGCTGCTGCTGCTGCTGCTATTGCTGCTGCTGCTGCTGCTGCTATTGCTGCTGCTGCTGCTGCTATTGCTGCTGCTGCTGCTATTGCTGCTGCTGCTGCTGCTGCTGCTATTGCTGCTGCTGCTGCTGCTATTGCTGCTGCTGCTGCTGCTGCTATTGCTGCTGCTGCTGCTGCTATTGCTGCTGCTGCTATTGCTGCTGCTGCTGCTGCTGCTATTGCTGCTGCTGCTGCTGCTGCTGCTGCTATTGCTGCTGCTGCTGCTATTGCTGCTGCTGCTATTGCTGCTGCTGCTATTGCTGCTGCTGCTGCTATTGCTGCTGCTGCTGCTATTGCTGCTGCTGCTGCTGATGCTGCTGCTATTGCTGCTGCTGCTATTGCTGCTGCTGCTATTGCTGCTGCTGCTATTGCTGCTGCTGCTGCTGCTATTGCTGCTGCTGCTATTGCTGCTGCTGCTATTGCTGCTGCTGCTGCTGCTGCTGCTGCTGCTGCTGCTGCTGCTGCTGCTGCTATTGCTGCTGCCGCCGCCGCCGCCGCCGCTGCTGCTGCTGCTGCTGCTTCTATTGCTGTTGTGGTCGGGGAGCAATGGTTGTGGTGCTGGTGCTGGTGCTGCTGCTGCTGCTGCTGCTGCTGCTGCTGCTGCTGCTGCCGCTGCTGCTGCTGCTGCCGCCTAAGTTTGGGTATGCCGAATTCAGTCATTCAGGGTTTGCGAGTTTGAATGCTCCAAAATACAAAGCCAGAGATTCCAAGACCCATGCCGCAGTTGCAAGATGTGTGAGGCAGCGCAGGCTTCCCCGGCGCAGTGTTCTGCTCGACTTCACGGCGAAGGTGCTGACAACGCGACTTCAGGGTTTGATGTCTTAGGTTCTGGATCCAGCACCTTTGCCATTTTAGAGTTTTAAGCTTTTCTTTCGGCGGTCTTCAAAGATCTAGACGATCTTCATGTGAAGGAGGTGTAGTGCAACGAACAGAACAAGACCCATAACATCCATACCATACAGTTTTCAGTCGTAATTGGTTTCGGCTCGTCCGCCTCGGTTCGGCCGCAGGTGAAGATGTAGTCGAGTCAAGCACCGCCAGACGAGCACAAAAAGGGGTTTGGGGATATCTGGAGCAGCGGAATGGGCGGAAGGGCGGTGGGGGGGTTCCCTGGTGAAGAGGGGAGCAGGGGTCCCAGTGAAAGGCAACCGCAGTTACGGAACTACCTGGCATTTCACGCACAGTACCCGGCGAAATCATGGCAGAGAATGGCCAGACCATGGCATCTGACAGACAGGATTCAAGCAGAGACGGGGATGCAACCTACGGTTGCATGGGCACAGGAAGGAGAGGTTAAGCCAACTAAGCTGCCCCCCTTCAATGCGGTTGTTGAATAATGAATAATGAGCAGGGCAGTGTAACTCTTATCTTCTCGAGGTTGCGATCGACTCCCCTCGATGCAGGATCTTTGGCATGAAACTGAGCCAGTTAGTCTTGACACTTCAGTCCTTGGTGATCCCTTGCTATTATTCTGTTGTTATACTGATGATCGCAGTCACTGTGAGGGCTACTGTATTTAAACAATGTAAGTTCAACTGACATGCAGATGCACAGTCCTAAACTCCTAAATCCTATTGACCGTGAGCTCACGGAGACCAAAAGTCCTGAAGCCGGAGGCCATACGGTTGTGACCCACACAGGGTCTTGGGGCTGGGATTGTTCACACCTTGAAGAGCTTCGATTTCACCTTCCAGCTCGTGTCGGCCTTGAAGGTGACTCTACATCTTGCCGCTTGCTCGGCAGCCGAAACCTACAAATGGGTACAATGGGCCTTTATCCTTTTCTCTCCCACAGCATGCAAGTCCTGCTGCCTTCAAAGCATAAAGCCCAGGCGTGCGACAAATTGAATACGAAACTCCCAGCGTTGCGACAATCCCAACAGCCCCGTTCGAATCGTGTCTCCACTCGTGAAGCACAAGCCTTCCAAGACTTCAATTTTGTATGCCGAGGATTCTGGTCTTCCGATACGCCGGCCACTTCGAGCATGGGGGACTTCCCAAATCTCGAGTGGGAGTTTCGGCCCGTATGTAGTGTTAAGGGCTTTTGGGGATTCGGTGGTTCAGGTGCCGCGAGGGTGGGCGGGCAGGGAGAGAGCATTTCTGCCCGCTTAAGTGAAGAGGTCACTGTGGATAGGTTACGGAGGAGGGCTCGACACCGCTTCGGTCGGGGTCGAGGCGAACTAGAGGGGGAGCTTTTGGGGTGTGGCCATGGAGTTGAGAAGTTTCGAGGCCTTTCCGCACACGTGTGGTGGGACTTTGGCGGTTCACAGGTGTATCATGCAGTTTTCAGCGGACTAAGTAGTATGAGTCTGAGTATCATCATGACAAGTGGGGCCACTGGCATGTTTACCAATGTTGGCTGCCACGAAGAAACTCTACATGCCCTTGATCTATGGGTTAATGCTCGGGTTGAAAACGTGGGTTGCCTGTTCCCCTCTAGTTCAGCCTTTCCCACGGTGTTTTTCATGTGGGATTGAGGGCTTGTTATTTCATTAGGGGTCGGAAATCAGGAGCCAATCTGCCCGGAGGCAAGCCCTCGATCCCAGTAGCCCCTTACGGTAAGGATGCCTGCGCAAACAATGGTGGAAATCTCATCTGCCTTGCACCCACTGCTTGGGTTGAGTTTTGTTTCGGACCCGGGTGAAGGGCCCAGGCTTCTCTTATGTATCGTTTTTGGGGAACCATGCGAGATCCTACACAGAAGCAGCCCTTTCAATTGTGAGCTCCTCTAAGGAACAGCAAGCTCCTATGCACTACAGACTACAGTGACTACAGGCTGGCCATCAATCGCGCACGCCAATCCCTCTTTCATGCCCAGGAACTTTTTGAATCTAGCCACCCCCGGCCTCTGAATGTTGAATCCTACTTCAATCCTACTCAGCTAGGCCTTTACACGTAAAGCTCGCGACCCTTGCACTCCAAGGAATTAATGACCATGACCGGGACTACATGATGTCCGTCGCCCTGGGGCTCCTTAACGGAGCTTCTTTTTTTGTCCCGGGATGCTGGATGTTAATGTTAAGATCTACCTGTAGTGCCTATGCTATACCAGACTGTACCATGCGGCTTTGCTACGGTATACCGTGCACCAGCAGAGCATACTACAAGATGATGGCAGTACTGCAGTCAATTGCTATCTACTGTACGAACTACTAATGACGTGTGATGCTCCACCATGTACCGGAAGATCTGGCTTGCAGTACTTTTCGAGGTCGCTTCAGACTCTGATGCACGATTGCACTACCGCACATTGAACATAGTCCATAGCCGGCTCTAGTGTGTTCTGTTGTGCTCTTGCAGCATGCTGTATAATCTGCGCTCTAGTACTGCACTTGACTTTATCATTACAATCCACCGGCAACAGGGGGGCAGTTTCGGGGGAAGGGGATCAGAGGGACTGAGAGTTGCAGGCTTCAGGATAGAAATCCAGGCCGCGGATGTCACTTCTCGTGTTGCACTGTGCGGGTTGCCAAAAAGTGCAAGTCTGAGCCCTGCTTGTGCAAAATGCAAAAAGCAGCCGTGACTGACGCGGTCGTTAAGCTTCTCGGGGTGCGGGTAAGCCCTATTCCGAGGCTGGGCCGCAACCCACCAATGCAGGTGGTTATGCATCGAATGGTTGGAGTTTCTGAGGTAAGTCCGTGCAGTTTGTTTTCCAGTTGCAGGAAACTCTACACTCCTAGCCCAGCTTTTGGCCGCGGACTCTGAAGTCCAACGCCCTTAACTGGTAAGTCAGGGTAATGTCATGGCCACACCGCTCTGCTGAGTCATGGGCACCACGACCACGGCTCGGTGGACTCGGACGAGGCAACGACTTCTAGCTGTGTGTTATTTGTCTGGTTTTTTGGATATCAGCGTAGGTCGTAACATCAACTGATGAAGCGTTTCATGATGATCCGTAGCATGGTGTTTCCGTAACGGTTACTTATGCCGCAGCTACTGCTTCCTAAGGCTCGTCGTGCTGCTGTTTCTTCTGCTCCTGCTGGTGCCGTTGTGCTGCTTCTGCTTCTGCTCCTACGAGAACAAAGAGCAGGATAGTCGTCGTCGTAGTAGTCCTACTCAGCAGTCGTGGTGGTAGTGGTAGTGGGAGTGGTAGTCATCATCATCATAGTAATAGTAGTAGTAGTAGTAGTAGTAGTAGTAGTAGTCGTCGTCGTCGTCTTAGTAGTAGTAGTAGTAGTAGTGGTAGTAGCAGCAGCAGTAGCAGGAGTAGGAGTACGAGGAGCAGCAGTAGTAGTAGTAGTAGTAGTAGTAGTAGTAGTAGTAGTAGTAGTGGTAGTGGTAGTAGTAGTAGTAGTAGTAGTAGTAGTAGTAGTAGTAGTAGTAGTAGTAGTAGTAGTAGTAGTAGTAGTGGTAGTGGTAGTAGTAGTAGTAGTAGTAGTAGTAGTAGTAGTAGTAGTAGTAGTCGTAGTAGTAGTAGTAGTAGTAGTAGTAGCAGTAAGTACCAGCAGCAGCCGAAGTAGGAGTAGTAGTACTCGTCGTGGTAGTAAAAGCGGCAGCAGTGGTAGTCGTATGTAGTCGTAGTATTGGTTACGGAATCATCCGTGCTGGATTCAGAATCAGCCGCTATGTTTTCTCCATCATTCCATCCACATCATTAAGGTAATCTTGATAGTAGCAGAAGTAGTCGTCGTAGTAGTAGTAGTAGTAGTAGTAGTAGTAGTAGTAGTAGTAGTAGTAGTTCATGGCGGTGGAAGTGGTACTGGTGGTGGTCGTAGTAGGGGTGGCAGTAGTAGTCGTAGTAGTAGTAGTAGTAGTAGTAGTAGTAGTAGGAGTAGGAGTAGGAGTCGGAGTCGGAGTCGCAGTGGGAGTCGGAGTCGCAGTAGCAGTAGACGTAGACGTAGACGTGGTCGTAGTAGTCGCCAGTGCCAGTCGTCTCGTAGTCGCGGAAGTCGTAAGTAGAAGTAGCAGCAGAGTCGTAGCATCAGATAAGCAGTAACAGCAATAGCAGTGACGACTTCGCGATTTCAGTGTATGTGGCACAGAGGTGTGTCGGTTCATGGTTCACACTTTCACCCTTCAACTTTATTTTCCCGAAGCTACTGCGACAGGTTGATTTGGGCAAGGATCGTGGCAGCTTGGGCTCGTCATCTGCAGATGGTGAGCCAATCGACACACATTTGGCATCGGCGGGGCCGGGATGCAGGGTTGCCTCGGCACGTTGTGAATTCACCTCATGAGCCCCCGAATGAACCCCAAAGCCTGCACAAACCGTTTGAGGCCGCAGGATTCCATGGTGCAACTGGGTAATTAGCTGTCGAGGTTGCTGTTTACGCAGGACTTTGAAAGATTCTGTTTTCCAGACTTGCCCCGGCTAATTTCAGAACGGGTGTTGGCAGGTTCAGGTGTCAGTTGCTTCAAGGGTGTTGATTCGGGTCTCGACACTGATTTTCTCATCGCGACTTTATTCAACCTACTTCACAGTTTAATGCAGATGAAATGTAGTCCGAGAGGCAGAGCCTACATGCGTTGTGGGAGCCTATTTTCCCGTTTAGGAACTCCGCTTAAAGGAAACATGGTTCGCCACCCAAGAACTTAATTCATCGATCTCGAGCGTTGAATAGCTTTGCTCGTTGTTGCTCGCAACATTTTTCTCGAAAGCCCCGTGGGGCTGAGAGTGACTTGGCCAAAATGATTCGGGTCTCGATTTAGGGAGTTCCCCAGATCAAGCTGCGCTGGGGGCATCGTAGTGGGGACGCGAGAGCATCAAGAGAGCTGATTAAGCATAGCCTAGTAACGGGATCCTTGTTGTAAGTACCCTCAAAAGTGCTCCGTGAACCCTGAACGGATGACTGCTGCGCGATCGGTCTGGCTTGTAACAACTGGATCGAGAGCCACAGCTCCTTCCAGGGTGTGGCACACCTCCATGCTAGACATTGCTAGACTCTACGCCCTGAATCGGGCTGAGGGCTTCGAACTTCAAGTTGCCAGGTCAAGGCCCAACACAAACAAAGCCTCCAGGCCCCACGCAGGCTGAAGGGTTTAAGGCTCAAGGGTAAAGCCATTTCTTTGGCAAGGATAGACCACCTGCTCACAGCCACTGAGCGAAAGTCCATCGAGCAGAAGTCGAAGCCGCTCGAATTGAGTGTCAAGCTTTACAGAGTTCTTGGCCTTCAAGCGGCAAGTCTTTGGATGAGCAGGTGGGATGTCGAAATCAAATGCACTGTCGTTTTCACAAAGCACGTAGTACGGAAAGGTATCTTGCATCAAGCATGCGACAATAGAGTTGTGGATTCGGAACACTGCTGAGGCCTTCGCTGTTTGTGGATTCCAGGTGCCGTCTGCTGCTAAAGATTCAAGCTACTAGGAAAAGAGCAGGTCCCCATATCTAAACCGAACAAAATACCCACAACATTCCGGACTGGGCAGACGAGCTTGGTACTCATTCCAAGTTGAAGCGGTTGTAGGGTATAAAGGCTTTGGTGAACGTCTTATGGCGCCTCAGGACTGTTAGAGAGCACGCTTACGCATTTGAGTGGCGTTTTGTGGATGCGAGTAATGGACGTAGAATTCTGTTACAGTACCTGTCTTCACATGCACGCTATGCATGGAAATATACATCCACTCGGGCATGCACACCTGACACATATGGTGTCGGCGGTTTCAGATCAAGCCAAATCATTAACATGACAAATCAGATTGAACTCTTACTGAAGTTCCTTAGTTTGGGCACCCTTGCCAAACCCGCGTACGGCACGGCACGATGTTCAGCGAAGAGCGTTTGGGGTTCTTGGGTCAGCTCCGCGCCATCCAACAGAAGCAGAGCATAGCATGTTACGATATGATACGATGACGGCACGTTTATCCGTGCCTCTCCGCTGGTCCCCGGGCTGAAACCAAGCAACTCGCCACAGCGGGACAAGTAAGCCGAATCGATCCACGTCAAGCGACTGGAACTGATCAATGTTTCTGGCAATTGTGGACTTCAAAATGTTTATGATACCGGTACTTTCGTACAAATGACCAAACAGGACTTAGCAGAACCGCAAAAAATGGTTTTCAGAAGGCTGCATCAGGCAACCACTCCAGCCCTACAAGCGCAGAGACTCTCAAACACGACCCAAAGCCCAACGTCCGCCAAGAACCCTAGGACACCCAAAGGGAGCAAGGCCACATCAGCTTCAATGCCTGCTCCTCAGTATCTGGGAACATTCTTGTTCCGTGGGTTCATAGTCACATAAGAAATACAAGCGTTTCAGGCTTCGGTGCATGTGAAGAACCAAACCAAAAAACTACAACTGGGCTCCTACTTATATAGGCTTGATGAACTTCAACACGAAACCCTCAGCCTGAGTGTTCCCAGCTGTCTCCGGCTTGGGACTCAGATGCAGTGGGTCAAGACAGGGAGCAATTTCTGCTGTACGAGTGCTCGGCAGTTGCATATATTCAATGTCACCACCACGAACAGGACGTTTCAGGATTCATGGTGTGAAGTTTGCAGTCTGTGTCGGTCAAGCTGTATTGACGCTGACTTGCGTTTGCAAACGGACAACTTGGCGAAAGCTCGTTACAATCAATCCCCCAGCTGATCCAGTGTCTGTCTATCTGGTCTGACTGAACCAACGGAGGGGCCTAGCTCAGGCTGCAAGCCAACCGCTCGCAGGTGTCAATGATGTGCCACTTAGCCGCTATGCGAGGGCAACCACACAGCACATGCAGCACAACATTAAATTTCCGGCCCCAACCTTCTGATTCTCAGATCCCCGCAACCCTGAATCCATCACTCCTCAGTAACCGATTCGGAATGATCGGTCGGAAGTGTAGACATGTGTTGTGGAAGTCCAAGGTTGCGATCCTACATGAGCTTGGGAGAATGAACATTGGTACGTATGCGTTAGGCTTAGGTGTAGTTCCAATAGTGTTTAAGCTGCATCTTGCATCAAAGAATGACTATGGTGATCATCAAGCAGCAGCAGAAGCAGTAGCAGCAGCCGCAGTGGCAGGGGCAGGGGCAGTGGCAGCTGCAGCAGCAGTAGCAGTAGCAGTAGGAGAAGTGGCAGCAGAAGTTTTCAGCCCACTCACGACCACGACCTTTACTTGCCACCACCACCACCACGACGACGACTACTACTACTACTTCTACTACTGCTACTTCTACTACTAGCACCATTACTACTACTTCTACTAACTGCTACTACTACTACTACTACTACTACCACTACTCCGACTCTTACTCCTGCTCCTGCTGTTGCTGCTGCTGCTGCTACATTGTGCCGGGCATTGAGGGTCTCTGTTTGTGACCAAGATTTTGCGAATATTGCCCATTTTGGTGTCCAGGTGGGGCAAGTGGTGCCAGGCAAGATGACCAAGATTGCACCCCCGCCCCCCCCCCCGCCAGGCGTGCAAGTGGTTTTTGGCAAGCTTGCGCGCCCATGTTGCCGCCCCCCCCCCCCAAACAAGAAAAGATTGGCAAGTTCGCCGTACAAACTTGGTTACTGCTACTGCAACTACTGCTACTACTACTACTACTACTACTCCTACTCCTACTCCTACTACTACTACTACTACTACTACTACTACTGCTACTGCTACTACTACTACTACTACTACTACTACTACTACCACTACTACTACTACTACTACTACTACTACTACCACTACTACTACTACTACTACTACTACTACTACTACTACTACTATCATTGTTCTTACGACTACCACTGCTACTTCTACATACTACTGCTGCTGCTACTACTACTGCTACTACTACTACTACTACTACTGCTACTACTGCTACTACTGCGACCGCGACTACTACCACTGCTGCTGCCACTTCTACTACCACTACTACTGCTACTACTACACCTGCTGCCACTGCGGTTATAACTATTACCTTTTGATACTCATGGCTGTAGTTTTGTTGTTGTGGTTGCTGTTGATTCGTGGTAGCTATCGCAGGTACTGACGACCCGGCTCCGAAAATCAAGGTGGCTTGCCGTTTATAAAGTCGCACAGCGCCAGATAGACCTTACACCTAAACTTCGTGGCTTGGCACTGTGGTGTTTAGCTGATCGCATTCTGTGCAGCAGGTTCATCGCTCCGCAGTCCGTAGTCGGATTGGGTGAAACACGGATCGACTCAAGGAAGGGCTTGGAGGCTTCAGGCTTCCAGTGCACGCTGCTTCACTGGAGGTTTACGTTCGGTGAAGTTGTGGGCAGTTGCGGGCTCTACTGCAGCGTCGGGCTACCGGTCCACGAGGGTCAGGGTGAGTTTCTTCCGACCGCATTTGCTTCAGCGGCTCGGAGTTGTTCCCCATCAGATACCTTAGGCTAACACGTTTTCGTTGGATACATAGATTCGGAGCGCATCCTCATGCACAACAACCTAGACTTATAGATTTAGGATTGTGCGATGCTGTGCCAATCGTCAGAATCAGTGCCGTCGTTGCTGCTCGTGTGCTTTCCTCAATCTTCTTGCCGTGAAATATTACCACATGATACAAAGACTCCATAATATGACGACAGCAATGACAACGTAGGATTTGTGCATAGTAGCATGGCGCTAGGTTGACACGTATAGTATTTGCCTTCTGTTTTACCAGCTTGTCGTACTGTAGGCTCCGCCATCTTCCCTGCGAGGTTCAAGTGCGAAGGATGAAGTTCACAACGCTCAGACAGAACACCTGCAGGGTTTGGAGTTTTTACGATTAAGGTCGAGCTCTCAATTAATCTAGATTTCGTTTGGGGATCTGGTTGAGCCAAGCCGTCTCCAGACTTTCTGTTTCTGAATCCCCGACATCCAGGATGCCGAAGCCTGTAGAGGCGGTATATCTTACACCCTTATCGTAAGCCTGTATAGTATACTGCGTAGGTCAACTGTCCCGACCAAATCCACAGCAGCCACTAAGGTTGCAGGTCGCACCCACACCTGCGCGCAGTTGATGCTCCTTGACTTGTTACATTTGGAACAAGAGCAGCAAACCCTACTTTCCTAGAGCTGCCGGCACAGAAGTCGAGGCTGTTTTCGCATAGTTTGTGCCTTAGCCATTTTCCATTCAATACGATCCCAAGTCTAGTCGAGGAATGTGCACCGACAGGCGTGATGAAAGAAAGTAATAACGATAACGCTGATACCCAAAAGTTCTTCATGAACACCTGACTAAGCTCCCTTATAACTGAGTACCGGGTTCTGTGGGGATCCTTTGATTTGCTGCCCTTCGAATGCAAACCGAGGCAGCCAGAGCCGATACAATCTTCGGCATTGAAGCAGTCCATTATGATTAGGAGATTGGTCGTGTGTCCATTGGAGGTCATTCTTTGTCAACAATGACTGGAGATTTTGCAGACAGCTTGTTGAATGAACTCGGCATGGCAAGCGATCCTAGCAGAATTTGAACGCGATACCCTAGAAACTCCAGACCCAGACCGTGGTTTGCAGCTGCCGACTCCTGCATCCCAAGTTCTGAAAAAGTTGAGAGCACCATGGCATCCGCACAGGTTAGAAGTAATTGTAGTCGGTGCCGTAGCCGCAGTAGTAGTCGCAGTCGTCGTAGCAGTAGTGGTAGTCGTCGCAGTCGTCGTAGCAGTAGTGGAAGAAGAAGTAGTGGCAGTAGTAGCAGTAGTAGTAGTCGTCGTCGTCGCAGTAGCAGTAGGAGTAGGAGTAGGAGTAGTAGTAGTAGTAGTAGTAGTAGTAGTAGTAGTAGTCGTCGTCGTCGTCGTCGTCGTAGTCGAAGTCGTGGTATTGGTATTGGTATTGGTACTGGTACTGGCTAGTAGTAGTAGCAGTAGTAGTAGTAGTAGTAGCAGTAGTAGTAGTTGCAGCAGCAGTAGTAGTAGCAGTGGTAGTCGTACGAGTAGTAGTCGTAGTCGTAGTAGTAGTAGTAGTAGTAGTAGTAGTAGTAGTAGTAGTAGTAGTAGTAGTAGTTGTTGTAGTTGTAGTAGTAGTTCCTGATTTCTTCTTATGTCTACTAATGTTGCACGTGGCGAACACGCATCAACAACGAGTACAGGTGGCGCAACGTCTTGCTGCGGTGAGTACTGTCAAGTTTGCAAAGAGGTCCCAGAACCCCCTAAGCTAAGGATTCTCTGTCATCGGCCGGATGCGCTTGGAAGACAGGTTGGCGTTAGAGCTTTCGGGAGTTTAGGCCTTTTTCGGGTTTGAGATAACAGGACCGGTAGCTGGCAGAATGTGGCTGATAATTTATATGTTGCATAGAGCCGCAAGGATAGTGTGTTCGAATCATTGTATCTTTGACGCGATTCGCAGCATCCGTGTTTTGGCTGCTTCTGGTGTTGCGCAGGAGCTGGCAGCTTGTTTTCCCGGGTCAATCATGCTTTTCTGTAATCCGAGCACAGGCAGGCAGAGGCTGTTGAGCCAAGCGCTTACTGTAGCCGGTAGCATGTCCTATACTTGATCTGCAGAAAATGCTGCCTGTGTTTCTGCAACAGCCCACTCAAGAACCTGTAGCGGATCCTGGGCGCCAAACATCGCCAAACCCTTCGTAGTACTGCCTTCAACCCGAACGAGACCGTTCGATGGTTGGCATGTTGCAGCCTTTTTACCCTCTTCAAGACATCAACGAAAGACCCTTGCACACATGTGTTCAGCCCCAAGCTAGAAACGCCGCAGCTGGAAGGTTACGATGGCTTGTCCATTTACCTGCGGCCTTTGCACGACTAGGCGAGGTCGGCAAGCTCCCGCAAGCCGAACATGTTGGCCCGCGATGCACACGCAAACGCCTTCCCGAAAGGTGCTGAGGGTGCGCGACATAGCTGCGCCACTCGAGGACACTTCACGAACGCTGCGCGGATGCTTCGCGAACTCAAGCACACGACATTTGTCAACTGGTTCCCTGGAGACCAAAAATTTGAAACGAGAACCCTTCTGCTATGCATTCCAATAAAACATCCTTGCCATAAGTGCTGTGGCTCGGCTTGTTGTGTTCATGTCGTATCTCATTGTTGTTCGTACCACCCCTGTGTCAGAATCACCAAAATCGGTTAAGATGAGTGATCGTGGCTGTGTCAACTTGCGTTGGTCTTGTTGTGTTTTTATTTTGGTGTTTTGATTGCTTGATTCTGTTAAGGTTTGGAGCTCACTGCGCATGGTTGCTGGCACAGCACTCATGGTTGTGCTGTTCTCCACCTGGGTTCGTTCAAGGCTTGAGGTAACTGTCTTAAGTCTCAAGGTTTTACTCGAAAGCAGACCCTACACGCACGGGGGCCTTTATGTTTATGCTAAAGTAATGTTGGTGAGTGTACTGAGACCTCCGTACGAGTCACCGCAAGCATCTTAGAAGCCATCCGAAGCCCACATCCAGGGATGCCTGGACACCGTGTTTCCCGCATACCTGCAGTGGCGGCAGCCCATGGTTGACACAGGAAGAGTCTGGCCTCTTCACTTGATCTCATGGTTTTCGGTTCGCTCGAATTCGGCTTGTCGCTTACAGGTCGGGAGTTCGCCGTACCTGTTTGCAAAGTGGTTCAGTTCTTCAAGGACCTGAATAGCTCTCCTGATTCTCGCATACGTCTTACAAAGCCCTGACAATTCCTTACACAGGACAGCTTCCTCGCTGAACCTGCCTATGTCCAGCCGAAGGCATGAGCGCCCCCTCAAACCTCAGTCCAGGAACCCTGAGCACAAAACCTAACACGAAGCACGAAAGGTCAGTCGAAACTGTAAGAACCCAAGGCAACTTTATTATCCCCTACGTTTTCGACAAAAACGTGGACCGCGTGCGTCGCGATGCCTTCGTCGAAGCTACGAAGGCCTGGGAGGTGCGCGCCGCACGGAGACCTTCTATGGGCAGGAAAGAACAGTGTAGTACTGCATCGTTTCTTTGGTTACCTTTCGTGTTGTCTCGTGTGATGCCTGGGCATTATCACATTCTGTATACATACATCGGTTCATATTGAGTCCAAGGGTTGTTGACAGGGATTGTTCCGCGTTCATAAAGAGGCTCCAAGCGTGTTTTGTGTGCCCTCGTCCGGCTTAGATGGTTCAAACCCTGACTAGTAGCAGGATGCTCGCAGCGCCTCTAATTGTAAGAGACTCTCATGAGCCAAGGCATGAGAAAGCTGTTTCGGGGCTAGGACCGCATGGTTTTGTACGGTTTGCGGGTTCCAGAACTTGGGATTTGTGTTACCTGTACCAGCTTGCATTTGGGCTCCCGCGTCGTAGGCCGTAGGCTTTCCGGATTGATGGGGCTTGTGCTCGTGGATTTAGAGTCTCGTCTTTGAGGGTGATTGTGTTTGCGGGAATCGAACTGTCAACAGGTAATAATCTATGCAAAGATGACGTGGTAGGATGTGGTAGGTTCCTTCAGTTTAGAGTTCCTGTGAATCTCTGGACGGATACCTGTCCAAGGGTGTCGAAGGTGTCCTTGGAACAAGGATCTTGCGGATGCGAAACTACGTCGAGCCTAAGCATGCCTAAGCCCTACCTACATCTGGGGTCCGGTGCAAGATCGTCCGAAGGGTGGCTCCGACGGAGTCCTCCCTGGCGGGTACGCCGACCCGTTGTTGGCGTGGGCTACATTTGTTAGTGACTCGAACAGACATGAACCTCCCAATGCAAAAGGAGGAAGGACTGGGCGCTGTCGGCGTCAGACAGGCTCATTGAAGTTGTCAATCGACAAGGCATCAGTCGGCAGCGACGAGGTGCTGCGTCTGGTGTTGCCATTCAACATCGAGCACGGCTTATGGTCGACCTTAATCGCACAGTCGAGAAATCATGCAGCCTCATCATCCTACATAGTCAGACTTAAGCAGGGCCCGTAAGTGAGCTATAGGGCTTGAGGGCTCAAAATCTAAGTGGCCAACGAAGAAGAGACTTCAAAGCGTCTGTGCCAGGAAGATACCTGCATTCGTTTTCAACAGGGCCACTTGGACCGACAGGCTCCGGGTTTCGGGGCGACTTCGGTGATGCTGAGAAACCTGATCGTGCGACAAGGAAAACAGAAAGCCAATGTGGAAAGAATCCAGCAGGGTCTGTCAAAGGCTCGTTGCACAAGAATTGGCACGTTCGCCAGCCTCTGAGCCGCAGAAGGCCCCGAGCCGCAGGGCTCCACCTGAAAGCTCTGAAAATCTGAAGCCCGCAACCTTCAATCCCACTGGGCCCCAGCCTCCACGGAAGATCCTATTCTTGGCCAAGGGAATCTGTTGTTTTCGGCTTACCGAGGTGGCAATGAGCCGAGGATACGGGTTGTGCTCGAGGACCTGACTTGATCGGACAGAAATTTCTGTGCACATGCCGAAATATCATGCTTAGTGTCGGCTGAGGCTTTAGATGCTTTCAGAGTTTAGGCGGGTTGGGGTTTTGGGTCATTGGGGTTCTTGGGTGTTCAGCCTTTTTTCGATGTGCTCCCTCCCTCTGTCACGGAGGGCCTCTGAGTTCCACGAGAGGTGGGCTGGCGAAGTTAGAGCTTATCTTCCCACCTTCTGAACAGAGTTTAGACTTTTCGCCTGCAGGCTATGGGTTTTGGCTCAAGAGCCAAGAAGCAGCGTGCTATCTAATGCAAGTTACAGCCGAGTTGTTGATAGATACCTAACGGGGATGTAGACTCACTCCACAACTCCCGAGCTGTGAACTCCCCAATCACATAGCCGCACATCTTTCACTCAGTTCCAATCAACCCGGTCCCCCAACTAAAGCTGGAACCCTAGCCTAAGCCTGTGAAGCCCCAAAAGCCGTATCGTCGCTACGAACTCCCATGTGAAAGATGTAAAAGCATGCTGAACGCTGGCAAGATGCAATCATTGACTAAGAATTACAATCAAGTTCCTGTAAGACTGCTGATAGATACAAGACAGTCATAAACAGACGATATACCATTGGGAATAGATTCTGAGTCCGATCCAAGCAGCACCACAGTTCAGCACCCCATCAAGCACGGTGCGGAGCCTTTTTCACAAAGAGCAGGACTTCTCATCCTGCTACTCGGAGATTGGCTACCCCGGGCCGAAGGGCGAGACGAAAGTCAATTTGGGGTGACGCTGCCTTGACAGTCTTGACAGTCTTCGGGGTTCAAAACCAACAGACGAGATTTTCCAAAAAGGTCATCAGGTTGAAGCCCAGGCCCCAAGTCTTGCTATACGCTCTGTGCCGGTTCGACCGCTGCAGTCGACACAAGTGCGTCAGACCGGCGATAAAACGATCACAAGCTGGCTAGTTGAAAAGTACACCCACCAATCCACAGCGCCCAAGTCTCTCCGGCAGGAGTCTTAGAGCCTTCCTTGCATTGCTCACAGGGCCATGCAAGCGGAATTCTTTACGACCCAAGGTCCTCTCTCTCTGGCCTTAGATATTCAGGTCCTGCAACAGCCAGCGGAATATTGGCAACATCATCCACGAGCTGGGCCACTCTCTAGGCACTGCGGCTGCAAGTTTTGTCATGAGCCTAAGCTTGTTGTGGGATTCCGGTGCGGCATAGGCCGCGAGCTTAAGCGTGGCCAGCGAGGGCTGAACATATGCCTTGGGGCACTGGCTTTGTTTGTGCATGACGTCTGGAATTGTGTGCTAATTCGCTGTCGAAGATTTAGGAAGGTTCCAATACAGGCACCTAAGAGCACCTCATGTAACAAGTGTCCCCTGGAGGTGCCAGACCAGAATGATGACATTCGAACTATTGGGCTCATCTCAAGCAGCAAGGTTTCGGTTCAGGCTCAGGCTTTTGGACAGCCGAAGGCCCATCGCGAGTCTGTCGCTGATGGCAGCCGACTGGCTCCCAGCTTGACGGTGTGTTTAGCAGCCGTCCGCACGTGCCCAAACCTGCAGCAAGTAGCCTTTGACGTGACTCGGGGAGCAGCATCCGAAACTCAAGACAAATTGCCGAGGCTGTGAATCATCTCAAAGCACAACAAAGTTCGCGGTTCGGAGTCACATATACAGACGGCAATGCTGACCGCATGTATAGCAAAAGACATACTTGGAAGCAATAGCCGCTGTCGTGACAGTACAGTAGCAGTAACTGGGCAGAAGCAATAGTGGCAGTCGTAGAGGCCTTGACAGCATTGTCGCAGTCGTCGTCGGCGTCGCGGTCTTCATCAACAGCGAGTGACAATGACAGTGAGAGAGCTAGGGTGGAGGTAAATAATCATGGCAGCAGTGAGTAGAAATAGTAGCGACAATAGCTGCAGTGTAACACTAGAAGTAGAATACCTTCAGACAACTGCTTGCTTTCTCCATCACGATCATCTTCTTCGTCGCTTTTCGGCACCCTAATGCCTGACCTCTGGACCCTGGACCCAAGCCTGCAGACCACGTTCAGAGCCCCCAGCTACCAATATCGTTTCCCGGTACCATCAAGGCAAACGGATGATTCGGAGTAGGAGTCTTATACGAGTTTCCCGCAAGGTGCTTCGTACAATGAGGTTATGAATCCAGCCATGCAGCCTCAACCTCAAACCCTTAAGACTTCGCAGTTGGAGCCCACCTACAGACCCAAAACAGTAACAGCTTCTCTGGTCTGGTTCAGCTGCAGTTTGGTTTCAAGAACATCCAGATACGAGCTGGTTCTCATCGTTGTTGGGCGCCTGTGGATCTGGCCTGCTGTTTCCGAAGCAGGGATGCGCGTCTGGTATGACATCCCGAACAGTTTTGGGTTCAGGCATCCTCAAATCCCAAAGCGATCGACCTAGACTCGGTTTGAACGCGGCAGGCGGAAGCCGCTGTTCTTGCCTGAAGAATGCCGCATCAATGCTTCCAGGCATGGCTCACGAGCATCGGCGCCCTGATGCAGGGTCGCGGAAACCCGGCTCTTGCGTAGGGGTGTCTTTTGGGTTGTCGCTGTGGCACTGTGGCTCCCGCCGAGGAACTTTCAAACTTGTATGGCTTCCCAAACTTAAGCTTTAAACCTGAACCCCGGCTGTTTGGGATCCGGATATGTGGTCCCCTGTTTTGCACTTCTTGGTAGGTGCGCGCCCAACATAAGGTAACACTGGCTAGGCCAAAACATGTGGGTTGGGTACGTACGAAGCAAGTGCGATGAACACAAGAACAACACGAAGCCTTCAACCTCACCAGAAAGACTTTGGAGACCTGTGGGCTTCGGATTTTCTACACATCCATTCCCTCAGAGCAGAACTTCAGAAGCATCAAATTCCAACCACTACAGTGACAAACCCTAAACCCTAGCAAAAAGCATTCGGAGACAAGCTTAAAGTCAGATGCAATCGAGGATGTGGCTGGCTGACGAAAAGCGCTACGTAGGCGGAGTTTGGGTGCTCCGGATGGTGTGAAGCTGCTGTCGGCATGAGTTGGTGAAAGCAGGGTTTCGTTTGGAATCGTGCGGAATCGTGCTTGAAGTAGAGTATCAGGTTTACGTATCGACCGGCCTGGCCCAGGAGGCATCGAAGGAGTCTAGGGCCCACAAATACTTCTAGGATCTTCTAGGTTCGAGACTCTAGGTGCACTGCAGGCGTCGTTGTCGTAACACCCGTCTGTGCAGGTCCGTACTTGATCTTCCACTGGGAGCCCACGATGTGCTTGGCAACATGTTCTTTTTGAACCAATGCCCAGGTGATTGCCTTTCAGTTCGGACACTTTTGGTAAGGCCTCAGATCAGTCTGCAAACACGGCAACCGAAGACATCCCCAGTGCTCATCCCTTCGGCCTGAAGCCCTGAAGCCCTGTTACCATTATTGTCGAGATCGTTGTGACGCAAAGTCCAGCAAAGGCAAGGGAATAAGTCAACAGGATGACTTTTCATCAAAACCGAAATCGTTTAGGGCGCTGAGATCCGAGGAGAACATCCCCCCGAATGTGCGTTTGCAATACGACTCTCACTGGCAGCTGGTTTCTTACAGGGTGCCGGGGTTTGCGGGCGAGTTGTTAGTTCAATTGGAATCAGGCATCAAGGACGCAAAGTCTGGAGCGGGTGCACACTACAAAATTTCAAAACGCGGTTGCTCGTTTCCGCATGGCCCGCATGCTTTGTGAGGCCTCGCTGCAGCGCTTGGGGTGAAGGATGGAATCAAATTCAGCTTCTGTTTGAGGGCAGCTTCAGAGGGGTTGAAGCCTCCGGGTCTTGAGATTCAGTTTGGTTGTTCTCCGCTTGCATGTGCCAAGCGGGGTTCGGGGTTCTGGTCGTGCCTGTGGCCATGTCTGTCTGCCGGTGAGTGAACTACTGTCCTCGTCCATGGACAAAGGCTGTCACTCCCAAGTGCAGAAATTTGCCAATTTGAACATCATCCTTGTCGCAGGTTACCAAGGGGCTCATCCACACTCCCAGACTAATCACACAACGAACGGGTCTGCCATTGTGCAGCTACGACGGATTGGCTATCCTTCGTTTAGCTGCAATCAGAATGGCATTTAGCAGTAGCATTGCAGCAGGCAGACAGTCATGGGTCGATCAACTGCAAGTGTGATCAGCACGGCTTTCCGTCATTGCGGAGCGGTCAGCGAGTACGCCGATCAGCTGTTCAGATGGCTCGATCAGCTCCATTTGTCACGCCAACACAGTCAGTCATGGACCAGAGTTCCCGTTCATCTTACGATCTGGATCCGGTGCCAAGGGTAGAGTGCATGTGCAGAGGCAAATGTGTCGGAACTGCAGGCGCTGTTGCAAGGACAGGTCATGTCGTGTGGCCTGACAAGGAGGCAGCATAGCTTCATTTCCCGCCACATCATGCAGATCCACCTTCCAAGACTGATCACTCGAAGAAGGTCGGCCGTCGTTCTCTCACCTTCAAACGGAATTGGCTAGTCGGCTAGTAGTACTCAAATCGTACTTCCGGGTCTTGGTGGCTCTGTGTGGCCCACTCTTATCCGTAACAAACCGTAACCGTCATGTGAGTAGGAGCAGGGTTGTGAGCGGATTAGAGAAGGCTGGCACCAACGAAAACCTTTCTGCTTTCCTGTGATATCGACTGTGGACGCCAAGCCGACGTACCTGTGTGGACCGGAAACCAGCCACATAAAGTCAGGACCTTTTCCAGTTTCGCCAGACCAGGTGTCACAGGCCGTGATTGAGCGCTTCACTTATGTTCGTTCATGTGCATTCATGTTCAGTCATGTGCAATCTAGCCTGGATTGTCATGCAAGGTAACAGCGAACAGAAAGGAAGAGATAAAACAAAAGCCACAGTAGAGGAGTCATTGAGCGAAAGACCGGATGCAAAAGTGCGTGTGTGTGTGTTGTGTGTGTGTGTGTTGTGTGTGTGTGTGTGTTGTGTTGTGTGTGTGTGTGTTTTTTGCGTCTTTTGTTCGAGTGCCTGTGTGTGTGTGTGTGTGTGTGTGTGTGTGTGTGTGTGTGTGTGTGTGTGTGTGTGTGTGTGTGTGTGTGTGTGTGTGTGTGTGTGTGTGTGTGTGTGTGTGTGTGTGTGTGTGTGTGTGTGTGTGTGTGTGTGTGTGTGTGTGTGTGTGTGTGTGTGTGTGTGTGTGTGTGTGTGTGTGTGTGTGTGTGTGTGTGTGTGTGTGTGTGTGTGTGTGTGTGTGTGTGTGTGTGTGTGTGTGTGTGTGTGTGTGTGTGTGGTGTGGGTGGGTGGTGGGTGGGTGGGTGGGGGGTGAGTGGGTGGGTGGGTGGGTGGGTGGGTGGGGGTGGGTGTGTGGGTGTGTGGGTGTGGGTGTGTGGGGGTGGGTGGGTGGGTGGGTGGGTGGGTGGGTGGGTGGGTGGGTGGTGGGTGGGTGGGTGGGTGGGTGGGTGGGTGTGTGTGTGTGTGTGTGTGTGTGTGTGGGTGGAGGGGGGGGAGCGGGTGGGGTGGGGTTTAAGGTTTATGGCTTGAGGCTTTATTGCTCCATTTGATGAAAACACGGACCCCTTGCTGCCAACCTGCTGCTGCTTAGGAGCCAGATGTGGCCTCCTATACCGGCTCGAACCATCAGGGAGCAGGCTAATTGGATTCGCGATGTTTGGGTTATCAGGTGCAAGTTTCTGTGTTGGGGGAATGGAGCAGTCTGGTGCCGTTTTGTCGATTAACCATGCAGCTTAATTTAAGTGCTTCGTTGTTTCGGAGCTTGGGCCTTGGCGCTGAAGCTATAGTTTTCGGCTCCTCGTCTCATTAGAGGGCGCAAGTTCAGTACGTAGAGCGCGTGTCACGGCCGTGAAGTCATGAGTCATTGTCAGGGCTTAGGCCGAGCAATGTTCTTTCGAACTTGGGAACCGATTGCGAAACAACGCTTAGCAAGGCTTGCAGTTCTCTGACAGCTCCCTTTCAGGCATGTTGGCCGCTGCAGTAGTAAGCGACGAGGTGCCAAACTAGAGACGGCTTGCAGTCCAGCCGCCGCCCTTCAAAAGCCAAAACCTCGTGGACGACGTTCCTTGTGCGAAACCTCGTGTGCTTTCAAGGGGAACAGTCGACAAAAAGGCAAACCGTCTTTTGTCTAGAATCTAGAAGATAAACGTGATCATAGTCAGAAACTTTGGAAGGACGTTCTGCACAAGATGTCATGTGCATGTGTTTTGAAGGTGATCAGCCGACAAACACACGATCTGTATTGATGCTTCAACGTAGTATGGGCGGATTGCGGACTTTTGTATCCGGAGTTGTTTCGACCGCAGTACCTATGTCTGTGCAATGCCTTGAACTCGCAAAGATTGAAAAGAAAGCCAAGCTCTTTGGGCTTGGAGTCACTAACACCAGAAGCCCTGCCCTTCCATGGTAACGGCTCGGAGCTGGAGAGTCACAATTTTGCACCTGGCTCTAACAGTAATCTAGAGCTCTAAAGGTGTCCCCACGAGAAGGAATGTCGTGATGCAGGGGAAGTCCTAAGCCAGATGTCTGGGGCATGTGCTTTCCGGATACAGTTTGCGTCAGACGAGCCAGCACAAGCAAAACAGTCTTGTCTCTCAGCTTGACTCTTCGCGCATAAATGGCCCTGCATTCTGAACTAGGGACTTGCATGTCTAGGTTTGGCGCTCTGAAAGCCCAAGATCAGAATCGCAAATATGAATATTCAGGAGGTAGTTGGTCTTATGCGGTGCTGACTTACACGAGCATGAGGAGGGCAACACACTCCGATCGGTGGTTTTAGGCCTCGATCTGTTGCGAGCAGCCTTCCAGGATTGACATGACCCTACGGCTCCTACTGTTTTTGCAAAAGCAAACGATGGTGCGCAAGGTGATGAGAAATCCGGCTACAGCCCCTATGACTACGGCTCCATCATGCACTATTCCCGGATGCAAGCTGGCTGGAAAACGGGCTTCCCCTCAATCCAATCCTTGTGCGCAAATCTTGGCCCTGACTACCACCGCTTCAACATTCAGAGGCTTTTCAAGGGCTGAAGCTGAGACTGTTGCAGTGTAAGTCCGTCATTGTCAAAGCCTCAAGCGAATGATCCAAATCCTGATTAGGCAAAGCACTGTCAAGCCCTGTAGCGCGAGTCCTACAACCGCCACTACTACCGCTCCGCTACTGCTACTGCTACTGCTACAACTACTGGTACTGTTTTTTTGCTACTACCACTGCTACTCCTACCACCACTACTACCTTATTGCTACTGCTTACTGCTTTCTATTTACTTCGTACTTCTTACTTCTTCTTACTGCTACTGCTACTACTACTTCTGCTGCTACTACGACGAGGCTACTTTTACACCGCTCCGCACAAACATCTCGAGCAGTGCACTTCCGGGCCGCTGAAGTACTGAAGACACGAGTTTCAGCATCACCAGCGCAAGTGCCGCTGCTACTTGTACTAGCATTGACCTTTGTACATTGAGAGTCCCCCCAACCGGACTGAGCCAAGGGGTTTCGAAGTAGACCCGGAACCCCTGGGCTTGGGGTTGACACTTCGAAGATGGCCTGAGTCGGCACTTCGGGTGTAGGGTGTGTGGTCTGACATCCAAACATCGGTTGACAATCGCTAAACTCCGCTAAACTGCTTACACAGGTCCTAAACATTAGGCCCCCAAGAAAAAACAGATGCCATCTTCAGTAGAAGCCTGCGGGCACTTGGGATTGTCGCCATTCCGGCTCCAAGCGTTCACGTTTCTTCGGCTCAGACTTTTCATAGCTCTAGACCCGAAAGGAACAATCGGAGTATTTACTAGTAGGGCTTAGAGTCTTGGCAGTTTAGGGGATTGGCTGCTTTTGCTTTGATGAGCTCAGGAACAATCGCTTCGAATCTGCGCAGAGTTCGGTTTACAATAACAACATGGGCCAACGCAACCTGGACCTTGCCGGCCGAGTCAAGCTTGAGGTTTGAATAAGAAATTCGGGGTTGCAGGGCTCAGCTGGGTTTAGGATCGATAAAAGTTTGCTTTTTCTGCCGCTGGGAGGGTGCTCAGTTTTAGTTCCCAACTCTTGGATCTTGTTACCCGTTTGCGGGCCTACTTGTAGGACTGGCTTTCGCACGACCAACAACATTGCAATCGAGTACGGTTGAGAACAAGAGTCAGCTTCTTTCTGTTACCAAGGCTATTTGGGGCAGAGGTTTCGGGTGGCTCGATAGGTTACCCCGTCAGAAAAACCTAAGAAGGCACACCAGGTAGCTCCGAATTCCTCCTGAGGAAAAGGGTAGGTCCTCGGTGATCAAAGCTGCCAAAATCGTGATGATTTGCCTTCATCTGAGATGCGGTATTTAAAGTTTAGGACTGCGCGATTGGGGTTCATGGCTTCAGGCATCTGCCACGGAAATGAGCGATATGAGCGCTTGCTCACAGTTGACTGTCATGACTCGGCCCACCAAGGCAACTATCCATCGCAAGGTGACTTCAAGCAGCTTCGCGACATGCAGCTTGGAGGGATAAAGAGAGTATCTTTTCAGTGCCGGGTAGGCCACCGGGTTTGGACTTTGGAGGACGTTTCGGAGTCAACGGGTTGAAAGCCTCAGTCTCGGAGGCTCCGGACCCTACTGCCACAGGGATGTGTTGCAATTGCAATTCTCTCCTTGGTTTCGCCGTCGCGGGCGTGACATGTTGAAGTTTAGGTTCAAACGGATCGGGTGAGTTGTTGATCGCCTCTCAGCGGACATACTTGAGAAACATGTCGCCCGAACCCGAAGTCGTGACAGGTACCAATGCGGAAGCAAGGTACGGCACACCAGCTCCGGTCTCAGAAAGCAGGTTGAGTACCTAGCGAGATGTCCATGGGGCCTTTGAATCTGGGGCTCAAGGCGATAAGGAGTTCCGGGCTCGAGGTGGGACCGGGAGTTTCATGTGGGTTCCCCGATGCTGTCCCTGGCCTCGGCTGATCTTTGTCATTGTGGTCTTCAGCAGAAAGGACAGCAACTTACACTGCAGTCGAGCCACGGTATGTTTTACGGTGCCCCTCTTGGCGGAATGATTGTAAGTCGGCCGACCACGCCGTCAACTCTGGTGACGTGACGAAGGCCTTGGTAAGCTATGCAAGTGCGACGCGGCATCCCAGTACTGCAGCACTATAGCGATATTTATCGTTAGAATTAGTCATTAGTCATAACAATCGGTTTGTCATCGATACACGTAGCTCCCAAGAAACTGGTGATGCGACAGGCGTACAGCTCCTGCAGTGGTTGTGTCTGGGAACGTCATCCCTAATTCTAGATATCCCGGATAACTCGTTTGCTTTGCGTCCTTTAGGTTTTGCCGTCTTGCCCCTTCTCTCTTAGGCCGAGCTCTTGAAGTTTTGCGGATCAAACACCACATCAAAAAAAGTAGCAGGATCAAGCGCCACGCGAAGTTCCCTTTTCTGGCTAGAACGGTTTGCAGAGTGTGGGGTCGGTGTTGTGTAGTGTATTGTTGGTTTATATGCCCTTTTTTGTATCTGCCCGGGTTGAAGCCGGATTGTTGCTGCTTTCTAGCAAACATGGGTTTGTCATTTTGGGTTATTGCCGTCGGAGTTGGGTCCAGGATGGGACGAAAGCCAAGAAACCACGCACATAAGGCATGAGAAAGTCAGCAGCCTGCGTTGGAGAACGCATCAATACCAAGTATTACTATAATAGGTTTCGAGAGGTCATTCAACACTGCGTGTGACTTGCGGCCCACGGCTCGTTCGGTGTGACTCATGCCCACATGCCGTCAGTGCCTCATGACTACTGCCCACGAATGTTACGGTGCAGCTTGGAGAGCTTCAATGGTCATGGCCCATGCTGCTTCATAGCTGCAAACACCGGCCTGACGAAGCTCGTGCCATCAGAAGCCACCCTGTCAACATGGTTGACGAAACACCGGGCCGTTAACATTCCAATGTTCGAGGCATCGCCAACCGCAAAATTGGGCATCCCGAAACTGTCTGCAACCCCGAATCTCGTACATGAACTGAAGCGGGACTTGGAAATCATGCTCTTTGTTTGACATCCTCTTTTCTTTTCCCTCTTGCATTTACCCCTCTCTTTTTGTTACAGAAATGCTTGAGGCCGGAGCCACTACGAGACGACCAGCCTTTGGCTGCTTGGAAGCTTCCGTTGTGAGATTCAGCTCCGGCAGGGTAAGGTTTCGAGTTTCCAGGCTGTAGAGCTTCAGGGCCGGAGTTTCAGGCTTTCCAACTTCAGGTTGCGGCAGGGGCGGCTTCAGGCTTTCCATTTAGAGCTGTGTGGCTTAGGCCTTCGTTGTTGGTGTACCACCTTGCGCCACGGCGGCTGTTCTGCATGTTCAAAGCACGATGCTTGCTGCAGCAACTCAAGTCCCGGAAGCTTCCGGAAGACTTGACCCGAAGCTCAGCGCTTCCTGCACATGAGTGGAGAGATGTAGGAAGGCTTCTTTCAGGTCCGTGTTCTGAGCGTTTCGGTGAGTGGAGTCTGGAGTCAGGTACTGGTTGGGATACGACCAGTCTGACGTTGCCCGGTGGTCCGCTGGAGTTTTCGGCAACTGCGAACGTGAAGCAGGATCGTGCTCGGCTGAACATTCGGGTCGTCTGCGTCTGCACGGGTCAGGCGCTCGCAAGAAACTACCGAGGATCTAGGGGTCTAGGGGTCGTCGAAGAAGCCCCAAAGTTCTACTCGGGATTAGAAGGCGAAATCAGTCACTCGTGCTTGACAAGGCTTGGGCTACGGGCTTGTGGGGCTGGAGGTACAGGCTATTTGATGTCTTTGCAAAGAATACAGCCGTGTTGAGCTATGTGATGCCACAGTCTCGACGACTCGATGACGTCGGGTAGAAGTTATATATCCAACCACTCTACGGGGTTGCTTTTGGGCTCGGCTCGCAGCGATGCATCAGCTTTGCTCCATAATATGCGACCATACAATGCGCTGTTAAAAGGAAGAATAGTTGTTCTTTAGAGGTCCTGTCAAGGGTTCCTTGTCATGTCCAAGTCACACAGAATAGCCGCCCTAAGTTGAAGCCAAAACACCAAGAAGAGCTCTTCCGTTGGGTTTCGATCTACTAACTAAGTTTCAAGTTCGGGCTCATGTGCTGTTCTCAAACAATCACAAGCCCCGGCTTGTAGAGCAGACTTAGTCCTCACGCCCCCAAAGTTACCTTGAACATCTTCGCGCCATTGCTGCGGTCAGGAAGGGAGATGTGCTATCGATCCAGCTTCTTGGATTGAGTTTAGTCTGGAGTATTTGAATGGAGACACAGCTTGAGCTTAAACCCGAAGCCCTGAAGTTGCAGCCTGCAGCCCTGAAAGCCCAAAGGGCTCAATCAAACCTCCACGACTTCACATGAAGCCTCTCCCCCTTTCGGCGAGATTGTGGTCAGGCCGGTGGGGCTCAGTCGAAAAAGGCCCTAAACGCCATGACACGAAATCACTGATCTCCACAACTGTGTCTTGGAGCCAGCATCGTGTTCTTACTCGGCTCTGCTTAGGCATTACGACCCTCGCCTGAACACTGAAGTTCGGGCCCGTAGTGCGCGTGTGCTCAATCCAAAGCCCTGAGGTGTAGACAATACAAACCCTCACACCATCTCACACCTCAAGCCCCAACGCCGGCAAACTGTCTGGAGCTGACGAGGACCGGTGCACTGCCTGGGTATGCATGGTGAACCGGTGGAGAATGAGCACGCCTGCGTCCCTCGAAAACGACCCAAGGAGTGCCATGTGTGAAGCAGGGTTTGGATGCTGTGGCCCCGTTTCGCAAGCGGAATCATTGTCAAAATAGCTTCACGGTAAAGAGGCATGCCGCCTACCATTCTGCGCTGATACTGTTCACTGATACTGATACTACTGTTACCCCGAAACTGAAACCTGTAAACCATCATGCTTTGGATTGAGGCTTCAGTGCTGCAGGTGTAACTTGCTGGCTCTCGGTATACCAGCGTGTGGTGTTCATGTCTTGAACGCGTCAGCCCAAGAAAACATGCTTCCATGCCATTAAGCCATGCATCCAAGACCCGAGCTTCTTCGTGTTCAGACATTTTCTTCTAGAACAAACAATAAGGAAGACGAGACATCGTTATATCCCCAAGTTCTGAAGTCTTAAGCGCAAGCGCAGAAGCCCTCGCTAGACGCCCCTGGACTACACTCGTTCGACCTTCAGGGAAACCAAAACGGGCCTCAAAGGCCCGCATTCGAAGAAGTAAAAGGCTTTTGCAAGCCCCTGCACCATGCCCTAAGCTTCAAAGATCTTCGAGCCACGAAGCCCTGCACCTCTGCAGCCTTGAGAGAAGGATCGAGAGCCTTGCCCCTGCAGTACCGCCTGCGAAGACACGTGCCTCAGCCGGACAGTTCACGGTCGACCTTTGTAAAGGCTTTCTGCCCTGCATGGCAGAAACTTCGGTGTAGGTCTTCGAATTTCAGAATGTGTTCGTGTAGAGCTGAAGTGCAAGAGAGGCGTGGCTTGCAGATCGTCTGGTCTGGATGCAAAAGGGCCTGGCAGGGAGTTGCAGATGTTTGCATAAGGGCTCTGAGGAATGACAGGTGTCGACAATTGTGGTTTGGTATCGGGAGTTGGAGTGCAACTGTGATGTAAAGTATGATTGATTGTGAAGTTCCGCGCTTGCGGGTTCGTGGTTTAAGGATGTAGGGGAGGTTCCGGAATAGGTTTAGGATTAGGGAGGGCACGCACAGCTCTCTCCAGGTATCCCACCGGAATCAAGGACAGGGGCATGCATTTAAGCTGTTGGCAGCTCTCTCAGCTGTGTCACTTGGCCGGCAAAAGTGTTGGATTTCTTGGTAGCCCAGAGGTTACAACAGTCCCGGAAAGCCGGCCGTGAGATGCAAGAAGTACGATGCCAGAGGTGGCAGTTGTAGCTCGCAGCAAGTAGAAGATGGGACAGCAAATTCATGGCCTGAGGCCCTAAAGAGTCAAGCTCTTAGGGTGAGCTGGATCTTAGCGCAACACCGGTATCTACAGCTTAAGCGACGACGCTCGTCCAAGACATCCCACCTGCTCGCCTTGAATGGTTCTGCGTGAGAAAGGCCGGAAGCGAACACATGAAAGACACTCCTCAACCTCGCACGCTGCTCTAGGGAGTTTGACAGCAAATGAGAGCCCGCAGTTTGAAATCGAGAGCCCGGACCTGAGATCTGCGAGGCTACGGCGACCGAAGGTCGGAAGCAGTGCCGCCTGTCTTTGTGAGCTTAGGCCCAGGCTTGAAGTTCAGGGATTTAGGGCTGAAGTGGTAGAAGGGTTTCGGCTGTAGGGCTTAAGGCTTAAGGTGCTGACAGTCTGTAGATGAAGGAACTACTGGAAATCGGAAATAGTTATAGCCATTAGTTTTGCTAGACTAGATCCCCAAACAGTGTTAGAGCACCATCATGACGGCGGCGACTACGACCACGACGACCAACACAACCACGACCACAACGACAAGTGCTGCCGCGATTCAAGACTCCCCCATATACTTTCAGACATTTCGAAACCGCACGCAGGCCAATGCACTGGATTTTGTAATGCATCTGGACTTTCAAGTGGACCGGGCCCTATGGATCGTGCTTCAAGAACAAGGCATACGCAGAGCATTCATTGCACCATAGCCTGCCTGGCGTGAGCACTAGCCCAGAGAATGTACCACTCTGTTCGAATGCCGTGTACCACAGCCTCCCTCCATGTACGGACGGGAGTCCGGAGCACTGCCAAGAAGGCACGACCACAATGCTTCCCTTAACTGTCTACTGGTGGGTTCAGATACGTGCTGCCCTCCGGCGGGCTTTCCCATCTAACGGTGGATTCAGAGACATGACCACCATGCTTATCACCGGCGGGCTATTCCGCAATCTGGCGGATTCAATCACGTGAACACCGTGTTTCCTCCTGCGCTGGCGGGATTCAGAACTGCTGCACAATTTCAGGAGCGCTGCTAATGCTTCCCTTCAAGGACTGGTAGGATTCAGACGTTCGGGGCTGAAGGGAATGTACAGTAATATGTATATAAGTATATATGTATACAGTACAGATGCATATGTACATTGTCGCTTCTACTTCTTTTGACGCATACTATGCTAGAGAGTGTCAATCCTCAACACGTTCAAACCTCAAAATCTTGGACCCTAAACCCCCCTACTCGGGGAGCTGAATCAGGAGAGAGGCCTGTCCGATGACCTGTGATCTCTGTGGCACACCGGAGATGACCGTATCAGCTTTGTCCTGCAACTTGGTGCAGCTTGGGGCTGTCTGGGGTTTTGCGTGCTTCTGCCATGTGGGGGCCTGACAGCTGCAAACGTGCGCTCGCCCACAGATGTCCCTAAACCTTGCATGCTGGACACCCCACTCAAGACTTAAGCCGTCTTTTGTCCTAGCATGCCTTACTTTTAGGAGCTTTGCTTGGAGTTCGAGTTCCGTTATAATGGATCAAATAAGAGTCGGATCTTGACAGACATCTCTTTAAACCAAGTAGCTTGTATTGGTCGTAACGCCAATACAAGACACCAGAAAGGAGCGCCTCTGTCAAGCATAAACAAATACCATAGATAAAATTGGACAAATGCATGCATGTATGTGTGTATGTATGTATGTATGTATGGGTGTGCATGAGCATCTTTTTCGTCACTACTCAAGACCCAAAACCCGTTCGTTTCACGGTTTCATGCTGGGATACATGGGCTGTGTGATACCCCAACAGTGTGACATTGTGCACGGTATTGCACGGTCTTTTATGCTGGCATCATTATACCCCCAAACAGTTTTTTTGGTTTGTGGTTTGCGAAGCTGGTCAAACAGAGCGCGAGGGTTTAGCAGGGTTTTCACAGGGTGTCTCCGCGGATTCAGGGTTCTGGGTTTAAGCTTTGAGGGCTTCTAAGGGTGATCGCCACTGTTTCGGTTTTGCCAGACACACCTGCAATACAGGGGCTTTAGCAACTAGAAAACGGTTTTGCGGTAATGGGAGCTACTCGGGAACGCTTTGATTTTCCTGTTCGTTTAGGCATCTATTAGACCTCAAGCCCTAAACCACTATACGGCGGACGGGGGGGAGGGGAGAGGGGCAGGGTGGCCCGTGTTTGGGTTTGGGTAGCAGGAGCAGGTGGCGCCTGGGCTTTGGTGGCAGGGAATTTCGGGCTGTCGTCGTTTTGTTGTTCCCGTTGAAATCAGGACTTTCTCTCTACCTGCGTGGATCCCCGTCTGTTGTTTTGAACCCCCGTTTCAACAACTGCCCACATTCCACTTTTCCACCCCAGGTCTGGGAATCTGCGAAATGTATAAGGGCGTTCATGCATGTAGAAAGGGATTTAATGGTAATGCTACATGTTGTCATGGGATTCAGGGTTCTATGGGGTTGAAAGGTTGTTTAACCGGGTTTTTAAAGGGCCTGTCTGGAATTTTCAACGGTTTCTATTGGATATCGAACGCTTCAAAGAGGATTCGGAGTGTGACGTTGAAAGGCTTCAGTGGGATTTTGAATGGCTTTAGTGCGATTTGGTAGTACGGCTTCAACGGGATTTTGAAGAGTGGAGGTTGGAAGGGTGTTGAGTGAGTGAGTGTGTGCGTGTGTGATGGTTTTAAAGGGGTTTTGTGGTATTTGGAAGGGGATTTAGAAAGATCTCAATGCTTTTGAAAGCGTGGGTTTTAGGCGCCGCAGAAGAGAGCTGAAGCCCAGACTTAGGCCCAAAAATCTCAAAACCAGAAGACCGCAAGTTCTTTAGCCTAGACAGGAAATCCTTTGAAAACCGCTGGAAATCCTGTGAGCTTATTTGGAAAATGAAATCCTCTGAACATCCATGGAAACCCTTTGAGAATCCTTGTAAACCTTGTGAGAAAATCAGCGGAAATCTTTTGAAAATGCTTGAAGTCCTTCAAACCCAGTAGACTGTATCCACTGTGTTGGGTGGGTGGGTGGGTGGGTGGGTGGGTGGGTGGGTGCGTGGGTGGGTGGGTGGGTGGGTGGGTGGGTGTGGCGGGGGGGGGGCCGGCGAGGGGGGCCAGGGGGCTCCTGTTGTTGTTGTTGTTGTTGCGACCTCATGTAACAGAGAAAGCAGATCTTTGGTGTTGACGGGGCTGCCGTTGTTGTTTGTACGGTGTTGCTTGTGTAGTTGTAGTTGTTGTTGTAGTTGTTGTTGTTGCTGCTGTTGCTGTTGTTGTTGCTGTCGCTGCTTGCTGTTGTTGCTGTGACTGTCGTTGTGGTTGTTTTTGTTGTTGTTGTTGTTGTTGTTGTTGTTGTTGTTGTTGTTGTTGTTGCTGCTGCCGCTGCTGCTGCTGCTGCTGCTGCTGCTGCTGCTGCTGCTGCTGCTGCTGCTGCTGCTGCTGCTGCTGCTGCTGCTGCTGGCTGCTATTAGTATTAGTATTTAATTGTATGAGTAGTACTGTTGTTGTTGCGGCTAATGATGATGCTGCTGCTGTTGCTTTTGCATCTGCAAGGCTTCTGCCCGGGTTCGGGCCTCCTGAAGAGAGCTCCGAAAACTGCAGCCATACGCCGTCTCACGCATCAGCTGACAGCCGGTTGCCGTGCACAGGTTTCTCTGCTATCTATGTCCTCAAGATGTATTCTTCTTTTCCACCGCGGATATCTGCGGACAACAGTAGTCGGTGGCAGAAGCTAAGAGAGCCTGGGGAGTGGGTCGTGTGTGCCATCATCCGGTGTTCAAGGAGCAACCGCAACGAGGGCTTCACCCTCCAAATCCTCGTGATTATTGAACGGCAAAATCTTGTCAAGATGCCACTGCCCTATGGA